GCTCATTCCAACGACACACCCTTTAACATTGCTCCATCTGACGCTGGTTATTATCACATGAGAATGTTATTTGGGCGAGACCTACAAAAATACGAACTCAATGTTTTTTTCCTTTATGAAAATAAAACGAGGACGCTTCTTTAAAGAACCATCACAAATCGGAATCGATCAGATTTTCCCGTGGAGGGCACCAAGCAACAGGCATCAACAACGCAGGCCTCGCCAGAGCCCTGTGTTTAATATCTAATCTCACTAACACAAAAGCGTGAACCACACTGTGGCTCTGAGATCTCACAGGGCGACCGGCAGCCTCACATTCCAGCAGAGAGAGAGAGAGAGAGAGAGAGAGAGAGAGAGACAGATAACCAAGGCTGTGCAACTGAGAGGTCTGACTCGGATTGAGGCCAAGAAAGTTTTCCTGCCTCAGAGAGTTTCCCCTAGAAGTCCCTCGTCAAACACACAGAACAAACTGTAGCAACACAACTGACCGACCAACAAACACAAACAGCAGTAACACTACGTGGAGGCTTCGCAGGCGCACTTACATTTACCAAACAAAAACACACATGGGCAGCGTTACTTGTGATTAGTCGCTCAGCGCGCACGCACACGCACACGCACACACACACACACACCTGCTCCTCCACGGACACATCCTGCAGGGCCTGGCCGTCCCGTGGGCCTCGGATCCAGCTCAATATCTGGCCCATGTCGTGCGTCTCTGTTGTGGGTGTTTGTCTATTAGCCTCTGCCTTGACTGTCGGCTTGCTGCATGTTTCCAACTCACTGGCGGAGAACGGGAGGGAGGGAGGGAAGAGAGGGGAGGGACCCAGAGGGGGGGGGCGTGTTAAGGGAGCAGAGGGGGCAGGGGCAGAAGGCTCAGATGATATAAAGTCACAGGCCGGGATGCAGCTCCTGGGCTATAAAGGGACGAGAGCTCAACCCACCAGATGAGGGGGGGCGCATCTGAGCTGCTTCTCACAGATACAACACACACATTCAAGGGCCCACGTGATGCAGAAAAATATGCCTGGGCAGGTGTGTAAAACTATTTTTTACTGGGTGTAACGAGACAATATGCAAGCTACTTATCAACCGGCACGCACGCACACACACACACACACACACGCACACCCTGGTTTGTGACCTGCAGGCCTTGAGCACACACACGTATAAAGGCAAACGAATGCTTGTACACACCCTTCTTTTGTACACGTGGCAATAAAAAAAAACTTGTGCAACCACCCTGGCTGCTTAATTGAGCATAAAAGGGAGGCACCCGTCATTATAATCTGTCAAGAGAGACAAACGGGCAACATCGTCAGACAGGGAGATTCACACCTCTTGGGGAATGATATCGATTGGCCACCATGTTGAAACAATCAAGCCAATTCAAACATGTTATCTTTGGCTAACGGAGGGGGTTTCATCATGAAAACAGCTGTGGCGGCAGCGGTTCCAGAATAAAGGGAGTGGCTAATAGATTTACTGATGTCTATGGCACGGGCCTTTCTCAACCTTTACCTGCCGTACCGCTGAGGATGCTTTACCTACAACCGCATTCAAACAACATGCAGCAAACTACAGAGGCACAGTAAGACATCCAACGCTGCATTCTCTGACAACATAAATGCACACTGTGCGTAAAGTCTGGTTCAGCCAGCGCCATTACCACCGCTGGTTTCGGGCATAGCTGCGAGGCTTTACCTCGCCCCTACCGGGCGTCTTTGGGTGCGGTGTGCAAACAGCCTCCGAGTGAGTCAGTCTGAGCCTTTTGCTTTAGTATTTTTTTTAGCACACCTCAGCAAAATATGAAAGCCAGTTTTATTGCCAAGTATTTCTCTTCTCGTTTATTACACATACAGGAAATCTCTGCATCTAATCCATCCCACACAGTGGGAGCAGTGGGCTGCTGTAAAGGCGCCCGGGGAGCAGTTAGGGGTCTTGCCCAGGGACACAGCCGGGATTTGAACCTCCAACCCTGCGGTTCCCGGCACACCCTCTCTACTCCATGCGCCATGTACTGTACTACGAGCAAAAAGACACTGGCCAGACGTGAAACTCCTGTTTGTGCAGCACTCAGGTTGACTAATCAATACAACTAAACGTCTTGCTGGAGTTGTGAGAGCTTCCTTACCCAATACACGGCACATGGAGCATTTGAGGACGCCAAATACAGTTCACTGGCATCACACAACTATTGCAGACTGTGCATCTTCATAATGAGAGTGAATGGCAAAACAATGCCTCAGGTAAAGGTGACTAGAAGTGACATATTGTGTTCTGTAAAGGAACTATTAAGTTGTTGCTCCCAGGTGACTTATGACTCCATGGCAACATTTATGCGTCCTGTTTATTTTCCCCAACGCATTATAAGAACTGTTTTTCTACTCACACAAAGACAACTAATCATAGGAGTTGACATACAAAAACTATTGTTATTCTTGGTGCAAAAACAAACATTACAAAAGCTTGTTATTATATGTTATTTTGCCGCAACACAAAGGCTCTTTTCTACACTTTCATATAACCTAATGATATTTACCGTGTGCAGAAAACCCTCTGGATGTGAATACACAAAAACTCCATTAAATTGCGATGATGGAGGCCGGGTGTCTCTCAGAGGGAGCACACGATGTCAGACAAAAACATGGTGCTGTATTTCATCTTATCAGCTTGTGTGTTTGCATAGCAAAGGAATTGAGTCATTCAAGTTTGTTTTTCTCACCCTCCTCTGGACCCGAGGAATTTGAGAAGCATACCGTTTATGGCACATAATACAGTACGTTGCATGTTTGAACATACATGCACTTCGGCCATAGCTCATGTGTGCACATGTGTGTACATGTGTGTACATGTGCACACAAACATACACAGTCAAACATACACAGTCAGACACGCCTTTACAAAATGCCAAACGACCCAGCCTGTAAATATAGCTGCACCATGGGAAGCAAAACGATATGACTTGTGCTGCAACCTCCCAAAGACCTAAAATGACGATTACTTGTGAGACTTGAGATTTGCACTAAACTGATTCAGAATCAAGAGACCCTTTAACCCTTTAACCCTCAACATTTGGAACAGGAGTGTTACCTGAGAGAATAAAGTTGGTTACTAAGAGTGAGAATGAATAAGGAACTGTTCCTGAAGATGATACAGTGCTTCTGCATCAGCCAGCCAGGGATTATATAAGTGATTAGCAACTTCATGGCCATTTACAGATGCAAAACATTCACATTCAGATGTCAAAAAGACACCATAGAAATGCCAGTAGGGGCGTGGGTTGACATTTTCAAAAAGATAAAGACGGATTCCAATTGAAGATAAAAGGTCTTGCTCTGGAATTTCTAGATGAACTACTCCTCCCCATCAACACCAGCTGGCAGCTCTTATCTGACCGATCAGGGTGTGAATTAATTCAGCGGAAAGAGAAAAGCGCAGACAATCACCTGCACAAGAAAATTACGATCAGCTGACGCCCTTTCACTTAAGAAAACATGTGCATGTGTCTACTTGGACACAAGAATGGCAAGAAAATGGCATTTTCAAATTCCACATTATAACAGACAAATTAATCAGAAATCCATTCTACGTGTAATAATAATCCCTTTTAATGTCAATCCTGCAAGATTCCACCTGAGGAAAGTTTTCAACTTTTCCTCCTTGATACAAATACACAGACACACACACACGCACACACATGCACCACATTGTTGGCGTAAATGAAAGTCAATGGAAGCTCTGTACAGGAAGCTGTGATGTCGACCTATTGTGTTGGTGCTTTATTTGTCAAACATCTGAGAAGGTTGAAATAAAATAAATAAATAGTTTATTCATCTTGCTGCTATTCTTGTCTTTGTAGTGTAATGCTACATAATAGATAGCAAACATCAAATGGCAATTTGTTGCAATTTGGTATTTGTGTAAGTAACTAAATGCCATTTGAATAACACATTTTATTCCAACAAAATATTAATCATAAATCGTTTGGAATAAGCTGAAACTCTGCAGCGTATTTGACATCGGATCCTGAGGAATAAGTGTACTACAAGTGTGTATGTGTGTGTGTGTGTGTGTGAGAGAGGTGAAGCCTCTCTCAGTTTAAACAGAAACACACACTCCCACATATAAAAATGCAAAGCCCTTAAACAGGAGATAAATAAAAGATTTTAAAAAAGCTGACGGCGCCAAGATTATTTACGACGCATCCTTCAAAGCTCACGAGACTCCAGACTCGTTATGCTGGTTCACAAAAAGAACGCTGCCGCGTCTCTACAGGTGACAACTTTTACCCCCTGCGCTGTTTGACAGTATTAAACAGAGTCAATAAGTGGAGAGAGGGGGGGGGGGGGAGAAAAGTTGCGAATGTACTCACAAGACTCATCCAGTACGCCGCGTACGCCATGGAGGGGGACAATGGGGAACAACGGCCAGATGTGACGGGTTGTGCTCTGCGTCTCCTCTCGGCTCTCTCGTCAGGATCTTGTCTGTTCCTTCCCAAAGCACCGAGCCACTCCCCGCTGGCTTCTTGCAACCACCTCTCTGCTCTGCCTGCCCCGTAGCGCACTCACATTCATGAAAAAAAAGCGTTCTTTTCTCCCGGGATGGTCATTCCGCATCACCAAAGGAGAACTAAACAATGACATGAACACCCCCCCCCCCCTCAACCACCAACCGAGGCCCCCCCCGCATCCTCTCACACCCATCAACGCTTGTGCAACTTCCAGCAGGGGTGGGGTTATGGCTTCTCGGATACAAACACTTATGGATTGACCGATAGCGTGGGATTTATGGGCACGGTTAATCGACGCATCGATCAGAGACACGCATGTGAGCCTGGCATTAGTGTCTCGTATTGCAACCCGTGTCCTTTCATGGCAACTTTTAACGTTGTTGTTGTTTTTGCATAAAGCATTTGGAGATTATTTGCATCTGCAAACACATTCTGAACTCGTAGGATCAATTTGCCTCGTGTGTGTGACGTGCGATAGACTCACTTGGTCCGCGTCCTCGGGGTGTGCGTGGTGCCCGTGGCCCCGTTTCTTGCGTGGCATCTTTACCCCACGAGTGGATTCGCTTTTTAGGTTTTCCTTCCCTGCGTCCTCGGTGCCGTGTGTGAGGATCGGAGTCTACAGACGGAGCCCACTCGCGGCAGAAACAATTGCCCCTCCCGCTGAAGCAAATCCAAGTATGCACAGGCAGATGTTTTAACTATGCGCGCATCCGTGCGTGCTCGTGCGTGTGGCTTATTTAAAATGGAGCTGCAGCAAGCACAGTCTTGAACTTTGAAGTGATCTTTGATGTTCAGCTACACTGAACAAAACAACCCAGAACTGCCACATGCGTTCACGTGAATGAGGGGGAAAGGGTGTGTGAGTAAGATCCACACACCGTATTTCACCACGATAACTATGCATCAGATCAACGTGCAACACACGAAGAACTGACACACTAGATGTTCCTTCACATGACGAGACATGCCTCGCAGAACAGGGAAGAGTTGACTCACCGCTTCTTCTCTGGCGGGGAGCTGGTGCCTCACTGCTGCCCTCTGGTGGGAAACAGCGGGACTGTCCTCAGTATCCACGAACCTACCGCAGACATCAAGGATCAACCATCGGTCTATGGGTATACTTATCGATCCATCTATCTATCGATCGATCCATCTATCTAACCAATGACGGCCATTTAGCAGCAGCTTTAGCAGCAGCAAACGTTTGTCCTGTCAATCTTTTTATTCGTTCTTCTATTTGTTTTTTAGACCTACCTAGTTCTGAATGCGTTTAGTTGGATAAACTCTTCAGGTATCAAAACATTCACCCCTTGAAGAATATTCCTGCCGTGTTTCTACTTCTTATGCCTTTTTAAATACTAGGCAATATTCGTATTTTTACCATTTACGATGGTTCTCTACGGAGATATTCCACAAATCCTCTTAAACGTCTTAAGCTTGGAACACCTTCTGCTTCGACTTAGTTTCAGCTACAGGTTTAAAGTAACGTTTAAAGTATTGAAAAAACCGTAAGCTATGAAACGCTAAGTCGGCATTTTAATACGTTCTCAACACACCTTTGGATTTTATAAATGTCTTCTTTGACTATCGTCGAAGCCCGGATAGCTCAGTCGGTAGAGCATCAGACTTTTAATCTGAGGGTCCAGGGTTCAAGTCCCTGTTCGGGCGAAGTTTTTGTCAAGAATGTGACAGAGAAATTTGCCCATCCTCCTTCTCTTCAAACCCTCCCTTGTGCAACTGTTTTTAATGAAGCAAAAAGTGCAACATTTAGCACTTCAACTGTTGTGAAGTGGAAGCATAGAGTAGTACAACTACCTCAAAATGTAATACAATGCATGGACATGGATACATAGTTCTACAGTATAGAGAATATATGTGCTATAATCAATATGTTTTGTTGTGTAATCTTACAGTTATGATAGACATAACAATAACATAACAATCCCTGGGTGATCAGCACACTTACTCTATGTGGTGAGCACACCGACTTATCGTCAGTTATCTGTTAGAGGCAGCTGTGATATCACTGAAACGGGATGGATGAAAGTGATGACCATGTCTGAGCGACGGTATCCATCAGTCCGATGCCCTTCAAAAACACAGTCCATCTGACCTTCACTCTGCCTGATAACAGTACGAACCCCGTCCCGCCACCTCAGATACCAGCAGTCCACCCCCTGCAAAGTGACGCCAATCGGCTCGACTCCATAATGCCATTTTTTCGGATAACAGATGACATTTGTACAGCGCTTGTTGAACTTTGTGGACATGAATGTGAAACACCTCTTAACCTTTGCTACTTTTCTTTGAGTTATTATTCATATCTGCAACGGCAACACAGTTTTGTAGACTCAAGACTTCTGCTTCTTCTTGACTGTAATAAGCAACTACTCATGCGTGCTGTGTAAAAGGAATGCATTTGTAAATATATTCAATATAACAAAAACATTTCTTTTCATATTTCTACAGATGTCTACTTTATTTAACGTTAATTTTTAGCTTATCTTTTCTGGTTTGTATAGCTGCCTCTGTGTTTTTCAATTTTTCGACATCAATTTTTAAATATTTTTTTAGCAGTAGAAATCCTTCTCTTCTCCTGCTAAATTTATGAAATAACAATGTCATTGTGGTCTTAAATCATCTACTCCACTATTTACAAGCTTAAATGGATTAGGCTCCCGCTCTTAAACCTTGATTTTACCCATTGGCTTTCCTCTACATTGCTTTAGAATCAAGTTCCAACTCTCTTTGGCAACGTACAATAGCTGTAGTGTTTGGTGATTCTCCACCTCCTTAACACATGTGCTGATTTTTGAGAAATTGAATATAATATACACACAAAACAAAATCACTAAAATACTGTAATCGTCTTTGAACCATTGCTAATCTCTGGGTGGGATCAGTGGGAAGTGCAGTTGAAGTCTTTACACCTATTTGGCATCCTAATTGACTTTGGTTGAGTTGCTGTGAGCAGTCGATGCCGCTCAACCTGCGTCATTCTCCACCTAAAAGCAGCGCCTTTCCTCCACCTTCTGGAAAAATAATTAGCTGACGCTTAGACCTCCGACCTCATTTGACGGAGATGATGCAGGTATCGCTTTTGTCCGTCGCTGTGTGTGTGTGTGTGTGTGTCCTCAGGTTAGAGCAAGGAAGGTCGGATGAGTGCACTAAGACCCCTGTAGTGAAATACACACCGTTGCAGCCCAACGATAAGGACAAAGGGTAGAGAATCAATGAACACAGTCAAAAATCCACAGCCCTGCAAGAAAAAGCAAGGCAATGTATTTGTATACATTTCCACAACAAGGCAATTCAAACTGCTTTACATAAAACCAGTAAAGCCATCAAAACATCAGGCAAAAGAAAAGAAAATCTAAAAACGTTTAAGTAAATTTAACTAAAGGCATCAACAAACAGAAAGGTCTTGGGTCGACTGTGTCAAAACCACAATCTCCTGCAAACAAGATGGTCCATCTTGATAATATCTCTATGGCTCTTCAGCTGCGTGTTCCTGTGGGGTTGGCTGAATGCGTTGGTCAGAGCAAACAGATGTTGCTAGGTAATTGTGGATCATACTGCAGATCTGGCGCAGACCTGTTTGCAAATGGCCTGGTGACCAAAGGTATCAGGCCTTATCGGTTCAAGTGGAACTCACAATGACTAACAAAATCAACAGTCGATCTTGTATGAACTGCATCAGCAACATTGTGCTCCAGAGGAAAAATAACCTCCACTCTTACGACACCTTCATCTATTGTGAAATCAGAGCACAGAGATCCACTGTTTTCCAAAAACAATGAACATAAAAATGCAGAGGACAGAAAATACAAAAGTTAAAACGCACAGCACCTGATGCCGTTTAACTATAAGCGTCAGAGATGTGCTTATACCCGAACTTTTAGTTTGGATCAGTCCTTATTGAGTTTTAAAATGTGTATATTCTGACCAACTCCACCACTCCTAATGCTGCTTTTATAACAGTTTTATAAGCAGAAGAAGCATCTTCAGCTAACTGGCATATAATGTAATGTTCAAAGGACATATTATTAATTGCGGATATTCGATTTATTTTCTATTTTTCCTTGAGTGAAGCGTGTGAATACTTCAATCTCTGATTTTAATAAACGTCTTTGAAAATGATTGTTATTAATTATTATCATTGTTGTAAAAGCCTCGTCCGCTGCTGAAACCTTCACATCAGTGTTTGCCTCCAGTTGCATCATCACCTGATGAGAATCTGCGGGGGGGGGGGAGCTGTCCGCGGTGCTGAACCCCCCCATCTCTCTCTCTCTCTCTCTCTCTCCTGGCGACGTGGACACGTGAGCCTGAGGACAGAGAGAAACGTGTTGTTGGTTGAAATATATATTTCATTTATCAAGATCTTCAGCGCGAGATTGTCTCGTGCAGATTTGAGGCTGCAGCGGAAGTGCACGCGCCTCACGAGGATAATAGGATTGGTTTTACTGGTTTCTTTCTTCCCGGTGTCTCCTTACCAGCTCCAGGGACAACCGGGGGTATTTTTAGTCGGACCACCGCCCTCCTCCCTCCCAGACTTTCTCCCTCAAGGACTCGAACTCTCGTTTTACCGAAGGTAGACGCCAAACTGACGTCAGAGCACCCGTAACGTGACGTGCGTACACCCCCCCACCCCATCACGACCACACGCACACAAACACACACACAATGCACACACCAGCCCTCCCCATCACTAGTATTTCCTCTCCTCTCCTCCAGTTTCTCGTCCCCTCCATCCCAGCCAGCTGTTTCTTCAGGAATCAACAGAAAAACAAGGAGCATTCTGTCATTTACCAAACATTTATACATCGGAGTTGCGGCTGCTTTTCCCGAGAGCATTCAAGCTGTTTGTACAGATATTTATATTGTTTTCTCATCGGGTTGAATTTCCTCTGAGATGGAAATGAGATGTCGTCCAGCGATGATGTGTTGTGTTTTCGCCGTCCTCCTCTCCGTGGTTTCCCGGTCGCTGGAGTCCTCTTACGTGGACAGGCAGTACCTGAACGAGTGGGCAGTGGAGATCCCCGGCGGACTGGCCGCTGCGGAGGCGATCGCCAAAGAGCTGGACTACAAACTGGTCCGACAGGTAAAGGCACGGTGCCCCAATGTGAATATTATAATTATGTTTAAAATATATATATATTTTTTTAATATTTCCCCTCATTTTTAATTATTATTTTTTTATATATATTTTTGTTATATATATGTATATATACATATATATATATATATTATTTAAGTGGGTGTATCTGTGTATGGTCGTAGTTTTGATATATATATTATTAATTTGGAGTGACGTCAAAGCAAATTGGGACTCATTTTTAATAATTATTTTTTATTTATATTTTTGTATATATATATATTTTTTTTTTTGTTATTTATATAACAAAAATATATATAAAAAATAATAATACGTGGGTGTATCTGTGTATGGTTGTAGTTTTGATGGATATGGCTATTATTAATTTGGAGAGACGTCAAAGCTAATTGGGACTTGAATAATGTCTCATTTTAAAATCAAAGACCTAATTTAACAGCAACAAAACAGGAAAACCATAAAAGCAAAATGAATCATGAAATGTTAATGAAGCGTGCTGCCCACAGTGGGAGCCAAGCAATAACTGTATCAAATTTCCAGCATTGCTTGATCAAGGCATCAGAATGGTAACTTGTTCCTTTATGATAGCACTAAATAACACTGTATACTTTCAGCACTCTGCTAAATCAAGAAGGGGGGGGGGGGGGGGATTTTAATCAATCGATGACTCACTGTTTGCACACTTCTGATTACTCTGGTTTCCATATCCAGCTCAGTTTGGCTCTGTTCTTCCCAGTATTTCAGGCTGACTAATGTGTTCTTCTCCTAAACAAACACATGAATCATCATGAGTACAGCTGATTAATATGAAACCTGTAGCTCGGAACATCAGCGGGCAATGATTAACCGAACCGTCATGGATACCGAGGCACACTTCAGCTCTGTCAGACATAATCACAAACCTACTCGCACAATAATCAGCTTTTGTTTCATTTAGAAAACATTTTTGTCAATTTACAACAAAAACATAAGCCTCCAAAAGAACAAGGATCTCATTGAAAGAGAAAACATTGCACTTTACTGCTTAGCATAAGTCCATTACATGAATATGGATATAAAGAGATTTATATTCCCCAAAGCTGCATGCAAAGCATCATAATTCATACATGTGGGACCCTATTGTGCTTTGATTGATTTATTTCAATGGAAAATAAAAACGTAGAAATACTGTATTTCTGCCAATGATCTGATTAGTAGCAGAAATGATAATTAAGTAGTTTACCATTTATTTGCAGTGATCACACACCGTCTGAATTTAACTGTTCTTTTTTGTTGCTCCTCCAGGAGCTGAGGCCTTTTGTGAGGCATAATAATGTTTCCGCGACCAGATGGCTCTTAATATGTCATTTCCTATCCGTCTCTGACCTTCCTCTCTGCAGATCGGGGCCCTGGAAGACCATTTCTTGTTCAAACACCGCAATCATCCCGGCAGAATGAAACGAAGTGCCAACCACATCACCAGGCGGCTGTCGGAGGATGATCGCGTGAGTGGTCACCCCCCCCCCCAACTTGTCTTGTTCTGTGGGCTGTCATTTTGTCTCATTTTAAAAGGCTTTGTCTTTCTCGCCTGTTTGTAGGTGCTGTGGGCAGAGCAGCAGTACGAGAAAAGCCGCAATAAGCGGGCGTCCCTCGGAGGGTGCCGGGACTGCCCAGTGGATAAGCTGTTTGATGATCCCATGTGGAACCAGCAGTGGTACCTGGTGAGTCACCAATGAGATAATCATTCACACAAACACGCGCAACACAAAGCAGCAGATCAAGCGTTGATTGAGAAAGGGCGTGAGAAATTCAACAGGTGGTTCAACAACATTTCTAGTTTGCACTGGTTTAAAGATGCTCCAGAATCTACAGGCAAAGGCCGGAATACTTTTCATGTGTTGTGTCCTTCTGTTGTGTCTGCTGGAAGCGCCTGTTGCACGTAGCTGGTCTGCTCTCCGCTGAGACTAAAACCTTGCAGTGCTGGACAGCTCCACATTGTTCTCGGCTCTGTCCTCACGCGAACTTCATGCCTCCTGCAGGAGGCCATTGAGTGTGTATGAATTATAGGTATTATATAGCAGAATGCATTTGTACAGCGGTTGTATTTTTGCATGCATGTGTGTAGAAATGCACTAAAATGGGGGAAACAAACATGAAAACAATGTAACAATGGAGCTATGGAGCAGCTCTGGCCAAAAGAGCCATTTGCTAATTTGATAACAGGTTGGAGATGAGAGGAGTGGAGATTATAATCCAGCAGGGTGGAATAGATTAGAGCTGTGCATTAGGTCCTAATTCACCCTGGATGGGAAGGTTCAGTCACAGCTGTGCATCTCCTGCCTGATCCATTACACTGGACTTTACACTTTATCCTGACCTTAAACCCACCACAACATTTATTTTCATTGAAATCTTTACTGATTCTTATCATTACTCTGAGAATGAACTCTGCAACTTTGGCATTTTGCATACTACTGTGGAGACAACGGCGGATGCTGCTTGTATTTCTTTTATTTCACCAAGGTAAATACATTAAAACAAAAGATACTCTGGGAGGCAGCTAACTAACAATTATTTCATTATCCATTCATTATTCATAATGAGTCAAAAGATAATGACTCATTGTAGGCAGTCAAAAGATATCTTATTTTTAAGGTGTGAAATGGCAAAAAGAAACACAATTGACATAAATTATTGATCTAAAAAGTTGCAGATTTCTGTAGATTAACTATAAATTATTTATTTGTGGTTTGGGCTCTAAACACTTTAATCCACTGTAATATGTTGCTGTGACACCATTACATTTCATCTATACCAACATTGAGCAGTGACAGTTAATCTTATTTATTAGTAAACAATTTAAAAAAAACCATGTGTTTCTAATGAGGACCTTTAAATAAACAATAAACGGTTGACGTATATAAAAGAGAGGGAGAAATTCACATGACGTTCTCTCAGCTTCCACTTCTCCGCACCTGTGCTAACCGAACATGAGTCACATGCTTTTAGGGAATAAAAAAACACTTGGGATGAATCATTTTTGCCGATGATCACACTAATGGAATCGGCCTTAAAGTGGCGCTTAGTATATTTCCACATCGGTCTGTGCTTGTGTCAGTGAAAGAGCCACACAATAATTCATACAAAGCATTGTGATCCACTCGCCTTGTGGAGAAATAGCTGGAAGGAGAATCCAGTATTTTGCAAATGAAGGCGAACATGTGATGAACACTGAGAGCGTCAGCCCCGATGACATCAGAGGGAGGGCGGAGCCGTGCGACAAAGGCACTGGGCATGATAATTTGATCAGGGAGTGACTCATACTTGTAGCTTGAAATTCCTCTTGCCTGCATGGCTGTGTGTGTGTGTGTGTGTGAGTGTGTGTCGGGGGGGGGAGTTTATCTATGGCTGTGTCGGGGGTGTGGGGGGGAGTTTAACCATGGCTGTGTTGGGGGGGGGGGAAGTTTACCATGGCTGTGTTGGGGGGGGGGGGGGGGGTTATCATTGGTGGGCCAGGTCAATCTCCGCTAATTGTGCATCAAGGGATCTCATTGTGCTCTGGCGTGTGTGTCCCACTCTCTCATTTTATACACGATAGCTGGATAAGCTATCGCATAAGCTGCTGTGTGTGTTTGCCGTGTAACATTAAATTCTATGCTTGGTCGGCCACTGAGAGCCCCCTCAGCCGCAGCCAGCATCCACAAGTGACTCATTTGGTGTTACACCAAAGCAGGCCAGCTGTAGATATGAGCTCTCTAGCAAATGTGGGACATCAGCCTTGTATTTACATACAATTTGATCAGCTCCAATTGATGCTGTCCAAAGAGAAAAAGGAGTAAAGATAGTCGTGAGAAGATAAGGCTGAAAACAGGGAGTCAAAGTGTGAGCCAGGAAGAGGAAAAAGGCGATACATCACAGGGATGAGTCACGTCTTGGGGTGACGCTCTGCAGTGTCTGTGCATAATGCGCAAAGTGAGTTCTTTTTTTAGTCTTAGCTGTCTCCAGCTCCGGATCATACTCTTCTCCAAGCAGACATGCATGGACGCTGTTCCCTCTCCCTCATTTCCTGCTGATTTTCCACTTCAAACAGACGAGGTGCTCGCTAATTAAAGTGATATTCTATCGCCTCGTAGATTTATTTTTTCAAAATTATCCAACTGGGGCACTGAGCGTGAGTCGAGCCAGAGGAACAGTGGCTTGTAACACTACTGCATATCTTTGGGCACTGAAAGTCATGTTGAGGGTTTATTGAATCAGGAGAGTCATAATAATACACAAAGTCGGTATGATTTCCAACCTCTGGCAGCAATCTGCCATAGAAGTGGACTCAACAGGCCAACAATCAAGTAACACTTTTCTGTAAAGGTCAGTGGAAGAACAGGCAGGCTGAGAGAGCTGGAGGACTTGTTGACCTTTTTAACATGTCTGAAATACTAAAAGAGCCTGTTTAGATGAAGCGCTAATAAAGGTAATCCACACACAATTTAGCTTGAATTCTTGATGTGGAATGTTTTGTAATTCCATCCTCCAGCAAGACACAAGGACGTCTCCCTCGCTGCCGAAGCTCGACCTGCACGTGATCCCTGTGTGGCAGAAAGGCATCACAGGAAAAGGAGTGGTCATCACCGTTCTGGATGACGGCCTGGAGTGGAATCACACGGACATCTACTCCAACTACGTAAGACACCGTTTCCATGGAGACAGCCTCCGTCGTCTCAGCCTGCCGTTGCCATAGCAACGCTGCCGGTGACACCTTAATAGGCGATTCATAAAGATAGTGTTAAATCTTCATAAAGATAAAGATCCACTTTTTGTATTCCTGGATACAAATTGGGTATTTGGCACAGATGCAAATGTTGCTCTCAATCATTAATTCTTGCATTGAAGGTGTTCAGAATATGAAAACCTTTTGTTCTTGCAACAGTGTAAAAGGGCTTGTCAACAATTACAAACCAATGAGAGCGAGTACAACTGAAAGAGAATGGAGCGAGCTTCCATTTTAGCCTAGTTTGTCTCCTGTTAAGAGGAACTCTGAAAGCATTAAAAACACACATCTGTGGTTCTGTTGCTCTTAGAAGGCCTCCCATTGCCTTTGCAAAAGAAGGAAAGGGGCAAAAAAGGATTGTTGGAGGGAAAATAAAATAATTTATGATAACAGGGTTGATGGAAACAACTCCCACTGTAATTAAGTTACGCTGATCATACGGGCTCAATAAACCGGGACGCTCATCCTTATGAGGCATTAATAGCAGTGATTCTGACTGGCGAAAATGACGGGCACGGGAATCTGATTTACATCTAACATTAAATTGGTCATGGTGTGAAGATGACACTGGGACGAAGCATTTATTCTGATATCCTCTTTAATGAGAACAGGATTTGTATATTAAATTGCTCGTTCCATCGCAGGAAAATAAATGAACAACACAACTTTCCCAAACACACCGTGTAGTATTTAAACCCTCGCGGTTTATCAAAATAGGACACAACCTTCAGGAGAAATCGAAACAGGCACTCGGTTACCCTCAGAGTCATTCAATAAGTGTTCTTTTACCATTCAGAAACATCACTTTCCCCTCTTACCACGTGTAGAATGTGTCTCCATGACAACGGATTGTCTCTGGTAAATGTGCAAAGCCTTCGCCTCCGGTCCACACTGATGTGTAATCTCATTTTCTGTCTATTCTTTTCAAAGGATGCAGCAGCCAGCTACGACTTCAACAACAACGACCCTGACCCTTTCCCCAGATACGACTCCACTAATGAAAACAAGTGAGTTTAACCGCTGAGAATTGATAATGGTCATTTTGTCAAATGGGCTGGGATGCTACATGGTGCATAATGTACGTACAATCACACTCTCACACACACACACACATACACACACACACCTCCGTTGATTGTTAACAACGCAAACGAAGGGATCAATTAAGTGGTTATTGAATGTGTCATTTTCTCTCAGACATGGGACCAGGTGCGCTGGAGAGATCGCCATGCAGGCGGACAACAATAAATGTGGTGTCGGAGTGGCATTCAACTCCAAGGTTGGAGGTGAGAGCTTCTTTTGTTTTTGCAAATGCCTATTTGGGTATTTGTACTCCATCACATTAAATTCACTTTATATTGATGCTTGTTTACATTAATGAAGATTAAACACTGCTATGAGGAATTTAAATGATCAATGATTAAATCAGTTTGAGTGTAAATAAAGTAAGTATGCATGAAAACTGAAGGCTTTTGTCTATTATATAATTCACATGTTTTACCCGCGCGTTTGCGTTGCTCAGTACTTCTGTTCTCAGCACTGTTGTTAGATACCATGGCGGCAATTTATTCAATGTATAGCCAGCATATGCCAACATTTAACGAGTTCTTCATTTGCCAATTCTTCAACCTTCCACCAAGTTTCAAGAAAATTGTGCAAGTAGCATTTTCCGCAATCCTGCTGACAAACAAACGAATAAACCAAACCTGAAGCGTAATGACCAAAAGGGTCACTGAGCACGGATGTTCTCTCCCTTCAGGGATTCGAATGCTAGATGGGATTGTGACTGACGCCATTGAGGCCAGCTCCATTGGGTTCAATCCGAACCATGTGGACATCTACAGTGCAAGCTGGGGACCCAACGATGATGGAAAGACAGTGGAGGGCCCTGGACGCCTGGCCCAGAAGGCTTTCGAATACGGTATCCAGAAGGTAAACACACTTAGCTGGTGGGATCCGAGACACAGGTTCCTAATGGGAGCTAGTATCTGCAAAAGGGATGGAAATCAAATGCATTCAGCAAAGATGTGCATCGGACAGCGCCCATTTCATTTTGGAGATAATTAGAAGCAGGACATCTTAATACCATAGAACGTTTTCCCTCATAAGTATTATTTATATACCAGTATCATGGCAGCAACAGAATGTAAGCTATAAAACGCTATCTGACACAACAACATATGTGGCGTCTCTGATCGCCTCCTGCTCCCTCTCCGCCTTGTGTCTCCTGCAGGGCCGTGGTGGGAAAGGCTCTATCTTTGTTTGGGCCTCGGGTAATGGCGGGCGCCAGGGCGACAACTGTGACTGCGACGGTTACACAGACAGCATCTACACCATCTCCATCAGCAGTGCCTCACAGCAGGGCCTGTCCCCGTGGTACGCGGAAAAGTGCTCCTCCACCCTGGCTACAGCATACAGCAGTGGAGACTACACCGACCAGAGGATCGTAAGTAACTGCGTGTGTTACGCGACGAACGTTGTGTTGTGTGTGTGCATTACCATATGTCATTGGAGGTTATCTTAATAGAAGAATTGTGTCACACTTTCAGACGAGTGCCGATCTGCACAATGAATGCACTCAGACTCACACGGGAACGTCGGCCTCCGCCCCCTTGGCTGCTGGAATATTTGCCCTTGCGCTGGAACAAAAGTATGCTATGCGGCCACTCAGCATCTTGCATGTGAAATTCGGCGCTTTCATAAAAATACTCACTGGTTGGCTTCTGTGTCCTTTCCTCCGTCCATCCCTCAGCCCAGATCTTAACTGGAGAGACCTGCAGCACATTGTGGTGTGGACCTCAGAGTTCGACCCTTTGGCCAATAACCCCGGCTGGAAGAGGAACGGAGCTGGGTTGATGGTCAACAGCCGTTTCGGCTTCGGCCTTCTCAACGCTAAAGCCCTGGTGGACCTGGCTGACCCGGCCACGTGGAAGCACGTGCCAGAAAAGAAGCAATGCATCGTCAGGGACGATTCCTTCCAGCCCAGGTATGAGGCTGTTTCACAGCTGCTTTTTAAATGGTACACGTGTATACACGTATTCCCCAAAGCAAACAGATGAAACTATCTGAAAAAAACAAGCATCTGTTACTTTTCCACCGGCGTCATGACAATAACGCATCATAAGGCTGGGAGGGCTTCTTGTGGTATCAACACAATTCAAATCAATTTTCGACAATATAACAATCCTTCATGATCGCAGCTGAGAACATTCGAATGTGATGTCAATCATCCACTCTGAACATTAATTCATTGTAAATACAATTAAATATGTGAATCTAAAAGCTGCCAAGCGTGGACAGAAACACAACGTCCCGTCTGTTTACCTATCTTTCATGGATTAAAAATAACTCAAGAGGATCGAAGGCTAATGCCCAGCTGCTTTACCTTTTCCTTGATACAACCTTTTGATTTTACAGTTTTCTCATGACAACGCTGAGTGGTTCAACCCTCTCCAGCTTTACACCATCTTCAACATTTAAATCCTTTCATTCATGTTTTGGGAAGAAGAGGATTCTTTTTTTTCCAAAATATGTATATCAATCCTTTTTTGGATATCATCTTTAGTTTTTTATGTTCCAAATGTTTCCCAAATTTCTGATTTGCATTGCATTCTCTAGTACACAGTAGTGTGTAATGTGCGCAGAACCTTGTTTATTTCCACCCCACCACTGTTTCCGGGACAGTAATGTCAGGGAACTACATGTTTGTGTCTCTGATTCCCTGCTACGTTAATGCATCCCACAGGGAGCTGAAGGCAGCAGGGGCAATCACTATAGAGATTCCAACCAAAGCCTGCGTAGGGCAGGAGAACGCAGTCATCTCGTTGGAGCACGTGCAGGTGGAGGCCAGCATCGAGTACTCCAGGAGAGGAGACCTTCACATAACACTCACCTCCCCAGCCGGTAAATGTTCACATAAACTCAAACAGACCTAAATAACCAAGTTCGTAGCTGATTTGGGGCTCTTCTCTTAGGCACCAGTACAGTGCTGCTGGCTGAGCGAGAGAGGGACACGTCCGCTAATGGTTTCAAAAACTGGGACTTTATGTCTGTCCATACATGGGGCGAAGATCCTGCTGGTACATGGACCATAAAGATCACAGATACTGTAAGTTACACAGAGAGCACTTTTGGCATATTTTGTATAGTTCCTGAACCTCTGCTCGTTCTTCCTGAGATCTAACCAACATTATGTCCCCCTTAAAGTCGGGCCGCATGCAGAACGAGGGTCGAATTTTGAGCTGGAAGCTAATTCTTCATGGAACATCAGAGAAGCCAGAGCACATGAAGAAACCGCGAGTGTACATTCCCTACAACGCTGTACAGAATGACCGCCGTGGTGTGGAACATATGGATGACATGATGGAGGTGAATACAAACGTCATTAAGAAGAATAGGAATGAGTGACAGAAGGAATTATATGTTGCCTTATTTATAGGTATCCCAACTCTCAATAAATTGCTTGTCATGTGACATGGAGCTACAAACTGAAGCTAATAGTCAGTGCGCCGCTATGCTCGCAATGACAATACTAACATGACATTTTTTTGTCTTAGGTCAGCATGTTAGCATTATTGACAATTTGCAATTTGTGGTGTGTCAGTGCTCTGAAACATCACTGCTGGTGAGGCTACATGTGCAATAAAGCCCCTCTGACTTAAATAATAAGTTATACGATTCCAAGTAGTGTATCAAGTAAAAGAGGTATGCATATTCTGTATAGTTTTTTATTATCTGTTCTGTCGGTTATTTAAAATTCAACAATGAATATTAAGTTTAAATGTCAAATATTAAAGCCTTTACATTCATATTTCGTGAACACTGTTAGTGGAGTGAGATAAGTACAATCCGAACATTGTTAACTTTAAGATCCATATTAATAGTCTAAAAGAACCTAAAAAAAATCCCTGTGCAGGTGCTTCGAGACTGTGTTGATTTTTTCAAATAAATAGAATACAAAATGAATTTATAAAAATGTTTTATTTCAAAATTTGCGTCATGCTTCAATAACATGTCTCCTCTCTTTCTCTCTGGTGACACAGGAGCCCACACAGGCCTATCCACCTCCAAATACCGAGCCTGCACATGCCTCCCCTCCTCCCAACCCAGGGAAAGAATCCAAAAAGCCCTTAAACCCACCCGCCTCCCCCTCCCTGGCCCTTCTGCGCCTCCTTCAGACGGCCTTTAACAGGCAGAACCCTGCCCTCCCTCAGCCAAAGTCCGCAGCCAGGGCCTCCTCCGCCTGGAGGAAGCTGCAGCCAGACCGGAGCATCTCTCCCCCTGCAACAAGACTCCCTCCTCAGATGTTGTACCAGGCTCTGGACATGATCAACAAGTACCAAGGCCCCGAGGACAGTGTCTACAGTGACTACAGTGATGGCTTCTACAGCATCAAGCCGTACAGGCACCGAGATGACCGACTACTGCAGGCCCTGTTTGAGATGATAGATGGCGACCACAAGTGATGGAGAGGAGAGATATTAGATCGGGGGAAGCACGATAATGTGTTGGTTGGGGAGCAGGGGAGAAGGCAAAGAGAGGAGAGGAGCAGAGGGTATCTGGCTTGTGGAGGAGATTGGAAATACAGGAAAAATAACTCTTTCACTCAGCGATGCTGCATATATGATCTCTTAACCTTCATTTGCCAATCACCGTTAATTCAAATTAATTTCTAACCCACGCGTTCTTCAAAACACAGACTTGTTCAGGGCCTCTCTGCTACAAACTGTATCTCCATGTAGTGACAGTGAAAGCATTTCATCGTAGGAAAGGAGGGGGAGGCTTCATGGCTCTTCTCTTCACTGCCTGCTCAAGCATGCTACCTTTAGAATAGAAGTTTTGTATTACTATCTATATATTATCTATATATATTATACAAGACTATGATTGTAATATGGTTTTGAAAACAATTGACGTCTAAAAATGTCACTTTCAAAAAAAAACGTTTAGTTTCTATTTCTATTTTTTTTTCTAACAGTTTCATTTTCAATGTGTTTCACGCTATCATGGGGAACTTTTTCCTTGAATCACTTTGACGACAAAACTGACACAAAGTCATGAAATGAGTCAGCATGAATTTAAAATGAAACAAATTTTTGATCGATTAGCAATTTGAAAGGTTGAAACTGTGTTCATTCTCAGGGTGTCAACAAAGCTCAAAAGCGTTGGAGAGTCATATTCTGGTAGTATCAAGTTAAATATTTATTGTGAACAATTATAGACTATAAAAGTATGCAGATGAGACTTAGACTATAGTTGAAACAAACACTATTAAAAAAAAGGAACATCCTCTATAATAATTCAGACCGTTGGAGTAGCTATACATTCAAAGTGAAAAAAAGAATTTTCTTCTTGTGCTATTTGTTTAATTTTGTACAAGTACAATGCTGCATTAAATGAAATATTTTTCTAAGGATCCTCATGGTTTATGGAAATAATATATACAGTATCAAACCCTTGAACACTTTATTTTCTTGTGGCATGGTTTGCTCAATAACTGCACCACACTACAAATGAGAGTAGTTATCATAAGTATAAAAGAACACTGCCAAAATATTTGCTGTCAAAAAGCTTCCGTGTATTTCAGTAAACATACAAATGGCCAACATGTTGTTTGTTCATCATCGCCAATATGCCAACTTCAAACAGTTCCTTAAATTCTGAAAGAATTATTGCATTCATTATCATTCTCTGGTATGATTTAGTTGATATGAATAGATCATTTTGTCTGTAGAATAGGGGCTCTGCACCGCAACCTTCGAGCACATTCATCTTGAACGCCTTAATACATGCTGTAATAGATTTGCGTACTCATCTCCACATGGTACAGATATATTTACAGATGCTAATGTAAGTGTTTATGACATGAATAGCTGTGAATGTTCTATGCAGAGTCTCTATCCTCCAGCTTGGTACCGCCTGCCCCTGCTTCTCTGCTAACAAGGTGACATGAAATAGAAGATATTTAGGAAGCTTCACCCTGTAATTTATCTATTCTTTCGTGTAGCCCGTGCTGTTTTATTCATGTTATTGACTGACGCTTCGGTCCAAAATTGTTTACACAAACCAATATCATGTTGCAATTTCTGTATGGATATACAAAAAAGAATGATATTTATCTTAATAAACTGCAAAGTGAGCTCTTGAGTCTGTTTGGGTCTCTGGTAAGGTGCAGTAAATCAGTGACTGTCTATAAGTATCTGTAATAGATGCATGAGAGTATACGGTTTTCAAGTACGGCGACGCAACAAACATACAATCATCTCATTGAATAATGCTGCGGATTAAGCTAATCAAGAGTAAACAAATAGATTATAAACATCTATAGTAGTGAAATGCAACAAAAACATTAATGCAGCAGTATTATTGGTCAAAAACACAATGAGTATTTTACTTTGTGGTATACTTGTCTAATTATGTAAGAAATGTCACATTGACTTCAGCAAGGATGCTTTTCAGGGCTTTTTAATTAATAAAAGACATATGTTCTACACAATTTCCCACATTGCCTTTTCGATATCCTTATAGAATCACAGTGCGATTTATATGATAGGCCTATGTCTGTTTTATTAGAAGTTTTCTCTTGCCCTCCATCACATTCCCTAATCAGTGCCACCACCTTGTGGACAGAAACATTACTACACATTGCTGACGTGCACTGAATTGTATCTTTGAAGTCAGGCCAATTCTTCTCTTTACAGAAACAACCACAAACAGAGCAGCTGAAATGTGTAAAATGAGATTTTTTAGGTTCTCCTCAGAGATTCGAGCGACCACCGATCATTGGAGGAAAAGAAGGTAATCCCCCACCCCCCTTCTCCTCCCAGTATCCCAGATTCCTCACACATCTGGTTGCTTTGTGTCTCTCCAAAACTGACTACTGCAAACGTCTAAGGGGGAAAGCGAGGAGGCGGAGGGACATATGTGAAGAGGGGGTGGAAAATATTATAAAAGCAAGGAAAGGAGCGTGAAAGAGGAAGCAAGGTAAGAAAACAATCATTGGTGGAACAAAGTGAGTTAAACAGCATATTTCCAGGAGGACAGCGAGAGTAGGCAGAGGAGAAACAGCAAAAAGCTGAATTTTGGGGGGTAAAAATATCTGGCCTCAGACAGAGAGTTGTGTGTTTATCCACCAGCAGGTCACAATCTGGCGCTTTTCCCATTCTGCAAGACGCCCGCAGGTCAGTAAAACCTCAGCCGCTGCTCCACCTCTTCTGCTCGTGTCACATCTGGTTGTTTTTCCCCTCACCTGTCATTGATCTGCGACTGCTGTACACGCTCAGTTAAAACACCAAAGCTCTTTGAAGCTTTTCTCCCATGTTGTGTACGATGTGTTATCTGATCTGAAAATAAGTCCATGGCCAGTTAAAGACTTTACGTACATTTGTCCCAAACCTCTTGGCCAGTGACAGAACATGTCGGACTGTGTGGAATACGAAGATAAGATTTTCGTTGACTCACATGCGCCTCTACTTAACTTCTCTCTCATGTAATGCATAGCTTGTGATTCTCTTGTCACTGCTTGGTCTTTTTTTCCTCATCCTTCTTTACTAAACTTCCTCAATATCACTTTAAGAACTTTTAGCACTATCTCAACATATTATATCTGTATCTCATTGTCTCACTAGTTAACCAGCTCTGTAATATTTAAGTCAAATTTAAATAGCTTATGTGTATAAGCCTGTAGACATGATATGTGCTGCAGCACACAACCTATATTGCATATGCCTTTAAGATTTAATTTAACAACTTGTAGTGGTTTCATTTATTTGAATGTACATGTGTATGTTTGTCCTTCAAACAGGAACAATGACAAGATGGCAACTGGTTCGGTACTGTTTGCTCCTCTCTCTTATCATATGTAAGTGGACCAAAGAATGTATTCTACGTTAACACGTTGTGTCAGAACAATAAGTGCACATAAAATAAAAAAATAAGCCTGTGGCAAAGTGAATGTACTGCAGCTTTGTTGTTGCATGCTCGGCACATCCTGTTTCGTTCTGTTATCTTGATAGTAATACATTATAAAAAATATGCTGTATTGTATTTCTTGTAAATATTCCAAACCCAGACATATGGTGGAAGTTAAAAAGCCCTTTCCACAAGGCCAGTTGTGATCTGATCGGGGATTTGGATTGAACTGGGTGACTTTTCCCTCCAGCTTAACAAAAGTGTACACGTGTACCGTTTTTCATTTCGTTGGAATAAAAAGTACAACCATGTTCTGCCCCATCAGACTTCCTCAATGGACGTAAAGCGTCTGTCAGTGTGGAGTCGCCTCATCCTATCTTTCGTGCCTTGGGAATGGACAGGGAAAGAGCAATGAGAGACATGACGGTTACCAAGGCAACAGCACCAGAAACTCCTGTGGAGACCCCTTGGGGTGCTCCCTTGGTGTGGGGTGACACCCAGACGTCAGCCCTGCACAGGGCTAAATTTGCACAACGGGGAATCCGTACAGGTCTGCTGGCCCTCGTTGTGGGAACTTATGCCCGGTTCGTGCAACGCTTCATCACTTCAGCTGAAACCCATTTCCTCCCCGGTCAGATGGTCACCTACTACATTCTCACGGACAACCCTCGCACTCTGGACCCCCCCATCGTGGTGGGCCCCGACCGTCAGCTGAAGGTGGTTCCTGTTGCAGAGCTGCCCGGGTGGGAGAGGCTGGCTCGTCGGCGGATGGCCCTGCTTGCCGATGCCATCAGAAACCCAATCGGCAGCGAGGTTGAGTACATCTTCTGCGCTGACATCGATCAGGAGTTCGTGGCCCCCGTGGGAGATGAGATCTTGGGGGACCTGGTGGCTACATTGCACCCGGATTTCTACGGGATGCCACGAAATGCATTTCCTTATGAAATCAAACAGGTGTCATCAGCGTGGGTGGAGGAGGACGAAGGAGACTACTACTACACCTCAGGGTTTTACGGGGGCCTGGTTTCGGAGATGTACAGTCTGGCTCGAGCGTGTTCTCTGCTCATTCTGCGGGACCAGGCTGAAGGGGTAATGGCCAGGGGCCTCGAGGAGAGCTACTTAAACCGCTACTTGATCGGCAAAAGGCCCACCTGTGTGCTTTCCCCAGAGTACAGCTGTTGGGTGTCGGCCCTGGCTCCTGATGTGTATGTGCACAGGCTGGTACCATTGGGAAAGAAAGACTTGTGATAATCAGAATGGGAATCAATGTATAATGTAGGTTTCTGCTGGCCGAGGCCATTGAGGAATGAATGTAGATTATTGTTTTTGGTGTCACATTTCATTTTGGTGAAGGTGTCTGTACCAAAGCTCCATCAGTGTAATGACAGGTCATATGGGGAAGGGAGGAGATCAAAAGAGGGAATGTATTGCAATAACTTCTATTCAATGTATACTCAATAACTTCTGTTTCTGTTCCATTAGCCATTAAATGTAGGTGGCAAACACACACACAAGCACACTGCACTATCTTCTCTCAATTAAAGACCCATTTGTGTAAACAGTTGTGTCCGTGAGCTATCTCTTCCACAGCAGACAAAAAAGAAATTGACCTGTCTCTTAAAACGGAGCACTGTGCTCTCCATTAATGTCAGCCCGGGAGATACTGCTCCAGTGGCTTTGTGGTCAACAGCGATAAGAGTCAACAGTGTAAGTGCACACTTTCCCCACAGTGGCCAATCATTAACTGGAAGAGCTGCTGTTTCAAGGTCTTTAAATACCAGGTGGGGGAGAATGGATTTACCGGGATGCTGTTTCTCCAGGTTACAGAAGCTGCCATGTTTAAGCCTCAGCTGACACTAAAATGCTTTTAGAAATTGGTAATAGTGGTTTAGGAAGTTATTAAGTATTTTTCATTTAAAAAAACGTTGTCTTCCACATCATGTGTTGGAGTAAACTTAAATGACCTGAAGTTGGTGTCTGCTTATCTCTCTTTCCCACACACAAACACATGCTACCACGTTCACACTGTGCTTCTCTTCCTTTTTAATGGGAGGGTTAATCAGCAGCAGATGGCTTTTCTCCCTGCCAACAGAATCTGTCCTCAGGGATAGATTGCCACGTGGAATGAAGCTGGAGGTAAACTTCCGAACATCCGTGAAAACTCATGTTGTACTCAGTTGTATTTGACTAAAATCAAGAATAAAAAGAACATTTGAGGACACACAAACCCAAGAATTGCTTTTGTAGAAAGGAATGTGTCCCTTTATCTCGCGGCCCTTTTAACGTGGATGTCTGTGGGGATAAACTTGCTTTTGGAGCGAGCTTTAAACAACGTTTTTTGGCCCTCGCGTGTTTGCTTTATTTCTCAGTGCTAGAAGCTGAGTTGAGAAGTGCCAAGTGTCTGTACTGGTAGTACAATTACCTGCCATACAGTCTAGTCCAAAAGCTGTTAGCCAAACAGACTACAACCTGTTATCCTCCTGTCGTAAAGCAAGAAGTAAAAGATGGGGTTTGGATATGCACTCAGCACGTGCATGCAACATAGTGTGCAGTTTTCTGCAGCAGAATGCATTCACAGCCCATCGCATTACTCTCCAGGACTATAATAAATGTATCCACATTCAGGAACATTTGTAAGAGGTCAATCCTCATAGCAAACTAGTAATACAATAAAGGACTGCCCAGGTAAGTACTCACTGTGTTCAATGTTTAGCCTCTAACAAAAAGTTTGTAATTTTAAGCATTCTTTACACTGTGTCAGGTGACACCTTCAGGGCCTCTATTAACACAAAAGCTCCAAAAACCAATGAAGGCTTTATTTGCCTAGCACACAACCTGTCAGACAAAACGCAGTACTTCTGGAATCAACTCAGTTCAGTATTTAAAATAAGCATGTACTCAAACTAAGTCTGGCATTTTATTTTGGGAGATTTGAAGAATCATGTTGTTGATAGGTTAATGCAGGAAGTCCCGAATGTGTGTGTGTGTGTGTGTGTGTGTGTGGGGCTGTGTAAGTCAGGGGGATGGGTGGAGTGAAGAGCTATGGTAATCTTCTGGATTCACCCAGGCCTTACCCCACCCTGCCCCAGGCTGATCCACACCAAAACACGCTGCCCTAATCACCAGGTCGAGGGGACTGACACCAAAGATAGTGGAGGTGCAGCTCACATGGGGGACACACTTGTGCCCATTGTGCTGATGTCACATTACGAACCCGTATCATTAAAGAGAACCACATGAAAGACCATTTCAGAGCGACTTATAGCAGTTCAAAGAGTAGCCGGCTGTGAAAAGACCTAAAAATACAAGATCAAAAGCGGTGCTTGGTTTTTACTACTGACCCTCTTAGTTTATTGTCCTCACAGTGCGATTCTTGAGCATGGCAGTTTAATTTGAAATATATGAAGAGTACGCACAAAATGTTAAGACAACATTAGCAAAGCATTTCAGAATCGTATTGATTTAGCTCATGCAGATATATCTTACAACGGCTGTATGACCTGTATTTGATAAATGTTTAGCTCCCACTGAAGTGTAGTCGACAAAAGCCACCTTTAACAGTTTCACTAGGCTAGAATTAGTCAGGGCATGTCAGCAAAAACACAGCAGGCCGAGGCAGTTTCGCCAAGAGGTAACTACAGAGAGCGGCTTCTGGCTTACAGAGAAAGGGCAACTAAAAACTGGGATGTTTCCTTCAGTAAGGCTTTAAAAGATCAACTGTGACAACGTGTTTTCTTGGTTTTGTAAATAGCTTGAAAGACAGATTTGTAAAGCTACAAATAAATCATGTTACAACTTCTTGTGCACAATCATTCCCAAAGCAAGTGGTGAAATAAGAGCTTTTACTTTATTCCCACAGCAGAAGTAGCAATATCAGAGTAGAAATACTTTTTTTTTTACATGTAAAAGTACAAAGTAACCTACACTAGAAACACTAAAGTAAAGCTCTCCATGGTTGCCTCTAAATTACAGCCTACGCAAGTGCAGTGGGACCCTTTAATAGACGTTTGTTAATTACTTAAACCGCAGTGAAACGCACAATTATACATGCGACAAGCCGACTTTAACTCCACTCTGGTGGGAAAGTGAAAAACTAACAAGCCAGGTCGAGACTAATCCGACAGCGTCAGCCCTTCAGGCTGCAGCTGTAGTCCCTCCCCGCCAGAGCGGCGAGCACAGGGCGCCTGGGCTGCTAAATGCTGCTCCCTCAAAGGGACGATGGTGGAGGGCTGGTAAAGATGGCGGCGCTCTCCGAGGATGGGAGGTATGGATTAAATTGTGGCCAACAGACCGCAGATAGAGTCACCGTATTACACGTCAAATTGACCGAGACGGCGCTGAGAGCCATAGAGAGCCACCAAAATTGTATGGTGAGTGAAACGGCCGTTTTTACTTCAGTTTAGAGAAAACAGCCCGGACCGTCGGGCTGACACAGCTCGTCTCAGCTGGGAAGCCCAACTGCCACGCACAGCTACAGCTAACGCGTCAAAGTTAGCTGCGCTGTTGACAGGGCGACTTTTGCTTGTTTTTTTATACGGTATTAGTCTTGTGTCATTATGTTGACCGACTGGTTACGGCACGGGGGATCCCGGCCGTGTGATCTGGCCGGATTTTACGAATTGACAAATTGTATTTAATTTAGAAAACCTGTCGGGAAAGTTAGACGCTTTAAGTAGCCAGCGTTAGCTCTAGCTAGCTAGCCACTTCTGTGTGAATCCCCTCTCCTGATCTCCGTACACTTAGTTCTAAACCAACGTTACTTTGACCTAATTAGGAAAGTGGTGACGTTAATGTCATTACGACGAATGCACTCGTCGTCCCCCCAGACAAGTTTAACAAACTGAGAGTTAATCGTAAATGCTTGGGTCAACCAATGTGGACTTTTATTCGACGAGGTTTGTAAGTTAACCTTCTTTGGCAGAGCGGTGGATGTCCACGGATACGTTGATGCTCATTTAACGCTGACTGGCTTGCGCCATAAGGCTAGCTGATAACTAGTTAGTCAGCTCGCCATATGGCTAGAAGTTTTAGCTAACTGAAACGTCACGTTACATCCTGGCAGTGGTTTGAAGCGAAGGCTCATCCCTTCTACAGCAAATCAACTTCAATATAAAATGTGACACACCGCAGCCAAGCATTCGTACGATTAAATGCCTCAAAGGTTTACACACACTTTTTAAATATTTTATTTGGGCTTGTTTTCCAAATGTTCAAATTGTTTTGGCATTATCAGATACTTGCTGCATGAGGTGTTGACCAGCATTAAGAGATAACGCTACAGGGTTTCTGACAGCAACATCATTTTTCTAAACAAAAATAGTCTTCATTTTGTTAAATCTATTGCATTTGCGTACTTTCTAGCTCTCAACACACTGGCTTTTGGAACTGTGTGATAATGGCTCACTGCATAGATAGATTAAATATAATTAGTTAATCTTGAACCGCACAATTGGCATAATCTTGTGGAGGTGCTACAAAGGTGACCTAATTTGGTGCTCTGCAGTCTTGGGTTGCAGAGGCCTGAAGCCAAGTTACCTGACCTTAAGTCTGCCAACAACAACGCCGTGCGTTACGTAATGGCCTGCCTGGGCCTGTGTCTCCACTCAGGGCTGATGCGCTGCGCGGGGCTGGACCGATCAGAGGTCCATGTGACCGCTTTTTATGGCACATGCTGTGTCTCTATGGATGCCACACACACACACACGCACGCCACTCGCCCTCCTGCACATCAAACCTTTGCTCACTGTGAGCCACGTTTTTTTTTAATGAACTGACGAAAGGAATCAACATTTTAGAACGATTGAGTTTAGTTTGTCAACTTTCAAAGCGATCCGTCGGTAAGTCGGAGGAATTCTTTTGTGACAGTCCATGCTACGACCTTATTGGATGTGGTAATGTCGGTCTGTGCGCTACATTGAACGGCAGCCTGCCATCTCTTGCTGACTGAGCAGCCAAAACTGCCTGCTTTTTGTTTCTCTCTCCCTCTCGGTAATGTGTGTTGCAGCTCAACCAGTCATCGAACTATGGAAGCTGGCTATCTTTGTCTTTCTGTGGTGATGTGAAATGTGATCAGAACTGTGTGTGTGTGGTGGGGGAGGGAGCCAGTGGCTTGGACTACCTTGGGGTTTAAACATGAGTTATTTTTAGTCGTAAGAAAATTCTCATTTCATCCAAGATTATCAGTGTCTTGTATGAGTTGGCAAGACAAGTTCTACTTTTAAAGAATACAGAGAAGCTGTTGATAATAAAAAGTAAATCCCTCTGAAACAAATTGATTGATTTAAAACATTTTTTGAAAGTCTGATCAAGCCTCCTCAGCTCTAACTTAGTGAAGTATCAAGAATCATATCCTGTACGCCATGAGAGCAGCCACTGCATTTCTGTGGCTGTCAACTCCATTTCAAGTACCGTAGCCTCCAACACCAACCTGAGAACCTGCACAAAGCAAAGACCTTTCCAAAATTAATTTCTTTTCAAATAGTTGCCGTATTTGAGTCAAAGTTCAGATTAAAGTCAAAATGTTTTGCTTACCCCGCACCTCTTAACCACTTCAAAAGAAGGTAAAGTTGACTTGCATGGTTTCTGTGCAGGGGCCGAGCCCTGAAGTTGGCTGCCAGTGGATTGTCGAGTATGTGTGGCTCACAGTTCCCCATTGTTTCAACAGCCAGTCCACTAGGGCCAGCAATTATTGTTGCTAATTGTTTCATTTGCATCGATTTATTTTCAAGCAAAAAAATCCTTACATTTCTTATTTTATTACTCTGAATGGGAGTTTTTTTTTTCCAGGGGACTTTTAAGCTGAATGTATTTAGGTTTTAATTGTCCTCAGACAAAACAAGCAATAGACGTCACCTGGGTTTGGAGAATTGTCATGCTCATTTAAATTGACTTTCATCGACTCAACTTGAATGATCTGTAATCCGTGATGTAAATAAGCTTTAGTTGTAGTCCTGCATCAGACATACTGTCAGTTCTACTATTGCCATGACAGTCGCATGGAAATGAGGCTTTCTTTCTGCATTGCTGGCGCTTCAGGGTTTTTTTGCATGATTACTAGCAATTCTTTTCTCGCTTGGGCTCAGAATCTGCATGTTGGTTAATACCTAGCTGTGGGCTGTAGTTTTTACGCCATGTTTGAGTGCAACATTTTAAAAAAGTTGTATTGACAGTGCTTTGAAGTGTGCACCCAAGGCTCTCCTGTTTCCTCCAACTAAAACTCCAACGCAACGGTTGCTTTGTGGGTTCGAGACTCTTAATTCAGCCAATTTTTGTTACTTAACATACTGTTATTGTTTTTGTAATAATCCTTTACATTTCCAGTGTTAGTTGGGCTTGAACTGTTGTTTCTCTTCCCTTTACAGAATGTACCTTCACAGCCAACAATACAATTCAAGGGACTCCAAGGGGTAAGTTAATAATCTACCCAACTGTGGCTTTGTTTACACTTATCTGTCACCAGCATGGCTCATTATTATTATTGTTGTTGTTGTTGTTGTTGTTATTAGTAGTAGCAGCAGCAGCACTACGAGTAGTTGCAGCAGTACGATACATTAGTATTTATTTCAGGTTCAGTTACAGTTGCGTCCTTTTATGCAAACGGTCCGCTGAACTGCTCAGAGCGCCACAGATTTCAGATCCTTCCAAATAATGTACTGAGAACACTGTTTCTCGTTGCACGTTAGTCCATAATGCACATGACTCGCATGAGGCCTCCCCTTAGCGGATGAGACCTCAAGGGACCTTCGTGTTTCGTGCTAGTACCATTATTCAAACATACAACCCAACAGCTGTGGTGTGGACCCTGCCTCTACACAATTATGTGTATACAGCTGACCTGTAAAAAGAGAACGAGGGCCACATTTGAAGGTGGCTTGGCATAAGTTTTGTAGTGACAAATTAACGTGTATTTGATTGGCCAACTTAGTTCAATTAATCGTCAGTGTTCAGATGTCAATGGATATTATATATTGTTGTTCCCTCTTTTTTGTGTGACCCCTTACAGCGCATTAAAATTCCCAAGAACGATTCCTCCTCAGACACCTTCCACAATTTTGATTTTTACCTGTCTAATGTGGGCAAGGACAACCCTCAGGGAAGCTTTGAGTGCATCCAGCAGTATGTGGCGAGGTAATGGTAACCACTGGTCCGCTGAATCAACTGTTACTGTCTTGCTACACACTGCTAGAAGGTAATCCCTTTCTGCTTTGCGCATCACACTCTCTCTTTGTCTCCAGCTCAGGGGCCTCACACCTGGCATTGTTGGGGACGGTACAGGACAAGGTCACAGTGTGTGCCACTAATGACTCCTACCAGGTGACCCGGGAACGCATGACCCAGGCTGCTGAGGACACACGTGAACGTGGGACCAAAGTCATCAAGCCTGGAGGCCGGTACAGAGGTGGGGCCCTTGCTACAGTCTCACTTTTGCACAGGGCGCCGCCAGATGCCAGGTCTGTGTCCTGGACACCGGCATGGCTTTACGTCCGATTCAACACCTTTCCTCTCTTTGCAAACTTGGCCCCCTTTTGTGGGACTGAAAGCTGATGGCTTGACCCTATTCAAACCCATCACTGCAGCTGACTCAGCCATTTTGCTGTCTCAGTCTTCTCCAGATTAGCAGCCTGCCTGATAAGGGCCAAAGGTTTCAGTTTCATTGGCGCATAACTTGTCAGAACTGTACTAAAAGTGCAAGCACTAAATGCTGTTTTTGTTTAGCACCATGACATGCAGACTTCATAATCTTTCCCTAAAGCCTAGTTTATGCTTCTGCGTTTTCAGAGCGACGCAGACGCAAGACCCCCTTGTGTGTCCCTTGCGTGCCTTTTCACACCTCCTTGCGTGTGTTGAGCCATTTTTCTAGGCTTGCGTCGCCATTATTAAAACGAAGAATGTTTACGAGAGAGCGGATCAGATTTAAGAGCTTTTGTCGGAAGAAATGCGTAAATATGACCGCTTATACAACCCGTCATTGGCGGGTAGAAGCGGGTTGGATTCATGGAGGGATATCTCCGCAAACGCCGGTTTGTGGAGGAAAATACGGGACAAATGTGTCCGCGATGAAAAGCAGCAGTGGCGATGTGTCTATGATAAATAAACAAATAAATAAATAGACGTGACTCTAGGTCGTCTTCAACAGAAACACGTTACTCCGCCTGTTGTTCTGGCGGTGAATTGCTCTGCAACACACTATAGAACCATGAATTGAAACGAGTGCGTCGACGCAGACACAGAAGCATGCGCCGGCCTTTACACTTTCCGGCCCACTGTGCTGACCAGTGTCTGGATTTGTCACACAGGCTCACTAGGAAGTCATAATTTATAATCTAATTTGGCTTTTCACTCTCCAGCCACATCCATTTGTCCAGGTAGGGCAAGGGATCTGCAGCCCAAAAACGTGCTTATGTAGTGTCTCATTCCGAATGTTTATTCATCTTTCCGGGCTTATTTTCAGCATCTTTTTCCAATAATATGGTGACGAAAAGGTCTGCATGCCAGTAAAGGAAACCACAAGGGGAAAGTAGCCTCATTGAGCCTCTTATCATATGGAAATGGTCTGGCAATCAAAGGTCCAACAAACTACAGCATCAACGCTGGATGCAATCTGTTTTGTAATTGCGAATGGGGATGCAATGTGTGGTTACATTTTGCATGGAGGTAAAGATGGTGTATATATCACTTTTTGATACATACTATGGTTGGCTGTGGCTGGTGGGAAAACATTAGCTGCAGGGTTTTCTTGTTACTTGTTCTTTGTAATCTCGTCTGTTTTAGCAGTGGTTGTCTGAATGTAACCCTGTGTGCACAGCAGAGAGTCTTTAGGCAAAACGACTTATCTGAATGAAGAAAAAAAAGTCTTCACTCAGGCCTGATTTCCCGCCCTAGAAAATTGCTGCTACTCGGGTCGTGCGTTTTAAGTTATGAAATATCAAAGGCTAGATTTTAGAGAAAATATAAGCGTGAAAAAAATAGTTTCTATAGTTTGAATACAGATGACTGTCGCATCTATCCTTTTAATAATTACATAAATATGAGATACGATCAACATCTTCAAACATTGATTTGTAAATGTATAATATAAATTAGTTTTATTTCCCATCGCGAACAATTCTAACAAGTCATACTCTTTAACAGGCACACTTAAAACTAGTTAGTAGGATTCAAGCCTTTGTCAAAGGGTTCCTTGTTTGTACCTGAATCAAAATGTAACTCAGTCCCCAAATTTTCAACATGAAACCAAACCTCTGGCTTGTTTTCTGGGCCCGGGGGAACATTTGCATATAACTGGCCCTGATAGAAACTGGAAAATGAGAGGAGCTGCAGAGAAAAGGGGTGTGGGGGGGCTTCTAGCAGCTGGTTTCCAGCAAGCGCCCTATTAACTAATGTAAAAGGGCCTTTAGCGTCCTACTTTAGTAGGGTGTTAATTTCAGTCTGAAACTTAATTTTTGTTGTCTTCCTCTTAGTAAGCTGTTTCTTGCACTGTGACTAAACTCTTATTCTGTAAAAGTTCTCCCATGTACAGACCATGAGACCTTTAGACAGAAAAGCTTCCTCCTCTGACATTGCTCTTATAGTACATCCACACTAGTCCAGGGCCACTCATAATAATTAGAGTAATTAAAACCTCAAAATTTCTGTTTTGAGCTTAGAGTATGATAATACTCTGTAACCAAGCAACCAATCTACTTCCTGTTTACATCAGTACCCTGTATGCCCATTGCGGCTAAATAGTCATGTGAGAGCCGTTTTCAGGCATACTATTGCAAATCATTTTTAAAGGAAAAGATGTAGGGGGGGTTCCCCACCTCTTTTTACGCTGCTGGGTTCAAGTAGTGCGTGGGGGGTCAGCAGGCTGTCAATTGCTGTATAAAACAAGCTCTGAAATATATTCTAAAGAAAGTGTGAGTAACCACAAACTAGGGCTGTCAAAATTGCTCAAAAATGATGTTCGAATATTTTCTTTCGAATAATTAAAATGAACAACAATAATAAAATAAATGCGGAGTGCTGATCAAGAGTTTTGTGCAAGCAATTTAAAGTCGCAATTGTTGTCCCAAATATGGCAGGCTTCATTCAGTGATTAAAACTGAAAGTTACAGTAGCAACATTAAACGCTCCGAGCGAGCTGTGCTGTAAAAACGGAACTTTTCCTTGGCATGAGACGGCAAATAATCAAACCAGTGCATGAAGCTGTTGTAGCCTATCTGGTCTATTTTATTCATGCAATATAGTCAGTAGTCAGGCGAGCGCCCATCCGCAAAGCAGACAGTCGCAGTTTAAATTCGTTGACAGCCCTACCACAAACGCAAGCGGTCCATAACAGACCGATTTTGTATTTCACAGTTTCCTCCAAGTTGAAATTAGCTGTGGACTCGTTTGACTGTTCAAAACGCCAGCAAATCAAATATACCTGGTGCTTATTGGCTCCTTTTCAAATATCCAGTCAGCGTGGTTAGATGGATTCGAATAACTGGCTTAGTCGGACTGAAATCGAATTCCATTTCATGTAAACACCTTTGTCCGACTATGTGCTGTCCGACTACGATCCGACTAACACCCCTGGATAACTCGATCCGATCCAGTTGATAGTTCGACTATTGCGGCATGTAACGGTGAATCGGATAAGGAACTGGACTTTGCGCATGCTTGAGATCCCGACGGCGTCTTCTCTCCGTTATCAAATCAGCCAATAGCGCCATTCGCATTCGCTGTACTCCTATTAACATCATGCAAAAATAGTAGAGGGATGTAGCTTCACCTTGCTCTCCGTTTGCCATCTTTCTCGTAATGTTGTTGTTGTTGTTGGTAGTGGTGAAGCGGTCAAGCGGAAATGGCTGTATCACAACTAGTTGTAATGAAAACAGCGCCACCTATCGTATCGGATAGGACATGCTTTCGGCCAATGATTCGATTTATTCACTGCCATGTATATTGGGATAATAGCACTTGCCCCGAAAGATAGCATAGTCCAACTAAGCAAAGATTTGAATTATACCATCATGTAAACACACTGAGTGTTAGTGGCCATCTGAACTAAGGGAGAATGAGTATACTTTAAACTATAGCCAATCTCCTGTTGGTATTATCACGGATGGGTGGTGGTGTCTGTAACTACGTACGACTGGCTCCAGGAAGTTAGATGTAGATAGTAGCCGGGGAATGTTCTTGAGCATATATGAGTGATAATAAACTTCCCTGCAAGGAAAACAGACTTTTAAAATTGTCTTTGCTTTGTTTCCTTTAGGAAAGCAAGTCCATATGCGCAAGCCGGGGCTATCAGGCCAAGATGTGGTTCCAGAGCGCAAGCGCTCCACCCCCATCAACCCAGCCAACACTATTCGCAAGTGCCTTTCCAATAACCCTGTGTCCCAGCGCTCCTGCAGGGATCGCATCATCCACCTGCTGGCGCTCAGGTCCTACAAGAAGCTGGAGGTGCTTGCCCGTTTGCAGCGGGACGGTATCAACCAGAAGGACCGAAGCTCACTGGGGACCACCCTGCAACAGGCAAGTTTTATTCTTTCGGGTGTCTCTTTTTTAGATGTGATTAGATGTAAATGTGAGTGACCTATTCATCAGTGGCTACAATTCCTCCATTACAGAGAAATCCAGTACATATTTTTGTACTTAAACAGCCGATATTTTATGTATCCTACATCTTCTTGAAGTGTTTAATTTATCACAGAAACAAGCCAACTAATCGTTAAACATTATTTACATGCACAGATGTTCGGCACGGCAGGAAATGTCAAGTTTCAGAACACGTATACTTGTCTTGCTCTCGGTTTTAACTTTAAACTGTGTCTGTGTGTCCAAAACAGGTGGCAAACCTAAACCCCAAAGACAACACATACTCATTGAAGGACTTTATGTATCGTGACGTCCATCGGGACTGGCCGGGTTACTCTGAAGATGAGAAGACACAGGTTGACCGGAACGTGGCTCGGTACATAAGTGGCCTGTCGAGCCTTTTATTTTTCCATCGGAGATCATAGCTCAGCATTGTAAAGTTTAACAATGTAGCTCACAATTAGGTTTATAGTTATAGACGTTATTTGATTTTCCCTAATGTAAATACGGGGATACGTTGTCTAATGTTAATCATGGGGACATAATGCCATATAGGTAGATATTTGAGCTTTCACCACTATTTGTGTCCTTAAGGCCGGACAAACATTTTAAACACATTTCTTCACTGCAGAAAACTGCAAATCGGAATCTTTAAAACATTTACCGTTATGCAAAGGGCTCGTTTTTGACAACACTATTTTCTGTCTTCAACAGCAAATTAGGTCTTCCTACTGAGACCCTCCCATCCAGCAGTTCTCCCAAAGAGGGCGTACCCACATCCCCCCAGGTATCTGAGCAAAAACACTCCGTCAAGCACGCGCCCAACCCTGTGAGGTATGACATTTTTCAGACAATTCTGTGTGTTTTCTTCCAGAAACGCCAGGCAGACTTTGACTTTATTGATCCTTTGGCCCCCAAGAAAGCCCGTATCTCCCACCTCAGCAATCGAGGGCCAGCCGCGTCCTCCACCTCCTCTGACCGCCGCGAGGAGGAGGGCAGCCCCAGCTCCAAGCGCTCGTCCCTCCCCGCCAACGTCACCTCGGGCCCTCCTCCCCATCTCCCGCTCCCGTCCCACCCCCCCGCTCCTTCTCACCAGCAGCCCAGCCCCGCCTCAAACTCCAACTCACCCAGCACCCCGGAAGGCTGCGGCACCCAGGACCTGCCTATCGGCCAGAGCTCCTCCTGCAGAGACCCCTCCCCCAGCCCTTTCTCCTCCGACAGGACCCTGCAGGAGCACTATCCGCACCCTGTCCCCGTGGCCAGACCGACCACCCCTCCTAGTCCCCCCCGTCCTCCTCCGGCACTTCCTTGCACCTCCCTTACAGTTACTTCCACTGTCATCACCAGCCCTCCCTTGTCCAGCAGTACCAACAAGAAGTTTAAAAAGAAATCCAAGAAGCACAAAGAAAAGGGTCGAGAGCGGGAGAAAGGGAAACGGACGGAAAAAAGTAGCAGAAGTCCTCCCAGTGTAGCAGAGCAGGCCGAAGACACTCATAAGGCCAAAAAGAAGCGCAGTGCAGAAGAGAACTGCGAAGTTATCGACAAAAATACTCCCAAAGATCAAGGTGCGTTTCTGTCTGAATGAAATATCAATTATCTGTTACGCAAAAACACATTTCTAATGTTTGAGTGTGTATTCAGTATCATGCTCTCAGCATTTTTTCACATTCGTTTCACTAATTACAGGGTTTACTTTAGATCAGTGACCTACTGTAAGGGGACATCTCTTTAAAGTGTGGTAATCAAATTTGTACTTTATCTAAATCAACATCGAATGAAATCAAGTACATGTGATGGAAAAGGAGGTGTCTAGCTGTTACACTCAGACCACATTTTCTGTACTCTGTGCTGTATTTTTTTGCTCCAGTGTTTTAAAGTCAGCCTGCGTACATGCGCGTGTTTGGACTCTCTAATTGAGGCTGCGTGGTTCTATCTTGTGACTAACTACTTTCCAGCCAAACGATCTTTCAGACTTTGGATTGTTGCTCACCCTGTTACAAATTATCTCTGTCTGTTCCATCCCACCCAACCACATGGTTTGATCTTTGATAACACTGATGTGCTGGATGTTGTCTCAACACCCCGACTCATTGATCCTTTGCACTTCAGTATGAATAAACATCAAAATCTATTTATAACATATTCAAATGTTTTTAATTCATTATTTTATAAATAGGCCTAAGTAACTATCTCTAAGGCGTCCAGCGTGCACCTGCCCATATTTATGATTTCTGGAAAATGGAACCAGCCGTACTGATGGGTTGCAGTTATTTTAATAACCAAACTGTTCCAATAGCCGGCATCTTGTTTAAATAATTGTTAAATGGGTTCTTTATTAGGTTTGGAACAAGCAACTCTTCCTTAAGGCCATGACCTGAAACGCATACACGCCCTTCTGCTAAAGTGTTGAGCTTTTTCCCTTATGAAAGTAACACCAGTATTCATTCAACCTGCGCCACATTTGCAGGTCGAGAGCATAACGACCGACCTACCAGCCCTCATTCTCAGTGCAGTATTTACATTCTTCCACTCACCTCTTTCTCCTCAGGCCCTTCAGATAAAGAGAAACCAGCCCCAGCCCCCGAGTTCGCCCCCACCATTGCGACGCCAGACTATGTAGTGTGAGTAACCTTCATATTCTGTGCCGTTCCCGGTCTTCACCTTCTCCGGTCTCACATTTCACAATTTGTAGTATTAGACTGAACAGGACTTTGAGAACTGACCCACTCTCAACAATGAGAGCACAGGAAATGCATATGTTTTATTTGTGTGCTGTGGGTGCTCTGATCCAGTGCACTAATAGAGAAGCTCAAAAGTTGTTAAACGAGATTCTCACCTTTCTTTAAAGATTACAGCTTTTAGCAAATGGCATTTTGAGACCCAGAAAGTTGGGCGAGAGTTTGCACCTTTTTTTTTTTTTCTTAAAAATAAATCCTTTAGTTGACTTTCCTTTTCCGTGCTCACAGGAAGTACATGCCCATGGTGTCCATGGACCAGCGGCAAAGCTACAAGGACGACTTTAACGCAGAGTACGAAGAGTATCGCCAGCTACACGCCCGCGTGGAGAACATCACCCGCCGCTTCACCGAGCTGGATTCCAAGTGCCGGAAACTGGCCCCCGGCACCAAAGAATACCAGGTCAGATCAGCTGTCCTGAATGCACTGTACCTAATGTGGGTGTCGCCAGCTTCTTCTAAAGCTGCGCACTGTTGAGCTTGGTTTATACGCGCCAAGTGGGCACACACCAGAAAATGACATCATCGAGGAATGCGCTTGGCCGGGCACTTTTTGTGGTGAACTGCTAAAATCGCTATTCAAAGGGCATTTCATTATTAAATGCTTTCTTCTAAGTAAATATTGTTTGTTTCTTTATCTTACATGTCATATTTTGTTACGAGACTTGTACGGAAGCCATAAAGTAGTCGTGAAATACTAGATATGAGTTTACGTTCCGTCCTCTGCTGTGGCAGTTAGTTTGTGTCTAGTCCGTTACGCCTACGGACGAGTGTGGGCTGAAGTTTTCTTTTTGACTCTTCATTTTGTTTGTACGTCCGATGGCGTTTCAGAGAATAAAGCAGCATACAAACGTACATGCTTGGAACTTGCGCACCTTCTAAAGACACTCCCACTACGTCGGCAAATGCGAATATGCGAGCATCTGTGGGCGAATTGTAATTTAACACAACGTTTCGGCAATTGTCCAAAAAGGTGGCTGGTTAAAATAATTGTATTAGATGCAGACTGTGAATGGACTCGAATCATACAAATATTAGATAAAGTATCTAATCAATAGTAGAGTTCCTGTTATTTTGTCAATTCCTGGTATACAGCAGATAAGACATTCAGCTATATTGAAGGATTCCTTCATTGTCACAACTTCTGTTGCAGTTGACAAGCTGTCCTTTTTTTAGTTGTGATATCTCTATCGGCTGAATGTAGCATTCATAACATTTTGATATAGGAGATAATAATAGATATTGAATGCAAGCCATGTCGTTTCTGATTATTCATTTGTGTTCTATATTAATGTGGATTCCGTTTATTTCTACAGAAGGTGCAAGAAGAAGTCGTGAAAGAGTACAAAAAGATGAAACAAGTGAGTAGTTGTATGGACTTGTTTCTTATGAGGATGCGTTTTCTTTGAACTACAAAACATGGCTTGTTTATTTACTGCGTTTGCTGCGTTCTGTCAAACACGGGTTGTGTGTATGTTTATGGTGACATGTGCGTGTTTCGTTTTACAGCACAGCCCCAACTACCAAGAGGAGAAACAGCGCTGCGAGTACCTGCACAATAAGTTGGCCCACATCAAGCGGCTGATCGCTGATTTTGACCAGCGCAGATCTCAGGCCTGGTGCTGAGGTCACCGCTCGCCGCCGCTCCGCTAATCAGTATTGAGAAAGGAGTGTCGAACCGGGAGGGTGTCTCCAACTGGCTGTTATTTATGAACACACCTTCAGTTACTGGCTCTACTACAGCGCCCCCCCCCCCCTCCTCCTATCATCCTTTTTCATTCCTACTAGCTACTTTTTTTTCCTCCTATTTTTTGATTCCACTGGCTTCATTGTTGCCTGCGATCTTGGAAATCTCACTTTATTACTGACTTTACCCCCATCTTTTGCTTTCTCTAAGTTTCTTCTGAATGGGCTCCTGTGGAATTTCATACCACTGGTCCAGTGGAAGATTATGCCTGCATGTGTGAAGGGGTTTGGGGGGGTAAACCGTCAACTCTTTGAAGGACTTTATCTTCAGGCAAAAAAAGAACAAAAAAAGTATTTTTGAGCATCAGAAAATATTAACTTGTATTTAAGTAAAAAAAAAAAAAAAAGAGGGAGATCTATTTATTTTGGGACTCGTAGTGCAAAGAGTCCGCAGATGATATATTGTTTAACTTTTGTTGAAAACAATGCAAAAAAATTACCGCGGGCCTTATGTGTTTTGACTTTGAAGCCATTTTGCACGCAAGATCCATTATGTAATCTCATTTGGCAAAGATCTCTCGCCCGCCTTGTTTCCACTCTTTTGATGACAACTGTACTGGATTACCTTGTTTCAACACAATACTGCTGTTGAGGTTTAAGGCTGAAGGGAAAGGAAATGAGACGATCAGCAGAAATCAATTGAGCTGATTGAGATGCAACAGTACGTGTGCATGAATTGTAAATTTAGTTGTATTGGCCATGTGTGGGTGAGGGTAACTCAAGGATTATGATCCCCTGTCTGTAGGGGGCAGGAGTCCTTGCACCAACAGTGTTTAGTGTTCATGGTGCATTATGGGTGCCTTAAGGTGTTTACACCCAGAAACGTCAAGTGAGGGCCGACCCTTTGGGTCTACAGGCTCCACAAAGGAACTAGAACTGCCTGGAAACAGGATGTGCGTGTGTGTGTGTGTCAGAGGTGAGTGAAGGAACGGATGTCAAGTCTGAAAGGAGCGTTACAAAGTTTGTGTGTGTGTACGGTTGTGCATTATGTGGAATGACCGGTGTAAAAAAAAGAAATTTAAAAAAAATCGAAAAACTGGAAACGTGAAGAAAAAGTGAGAAACGTGAAAAACACAAAAAAAGCTGCTATAGTGTTCGACCAGCCAGAGCACTCAGGATCAACCTGGCTGGAGTAACGGTACCTGATCTTGAATGATGAGATATTGCCGATCCTGATCTTTCCGAATGGTTCATCTCTGAGACCCTGGTGAAGGCCCTCCTCTCCAGCTTTATCCAGCGGCAGACGGCCTGTGTTCCTGTTTATAGAAAGAAGCGACAAACCTGTCATCCACCCGAGGGCAAGTCTGTATTACAATTTAAAATGTATTTGATTCTCAGTTTTGAGTTCTGCAGAGCAGTGAAAGATTTTCTTTTTCAACATTGATTTATGGATCATGGATTTAGTTTGATGGACGGATGAATGGCTTCTTCGAAAAGTCTTTATTTCAACAAGGGAAAATTGTTTACAAACCTGTGTTAGAATGTTTGCCAAAAATGTAGTACGTTTCTGGTACTGCATCCATGGAGTAAAATGTCTGAATGGGGTTTCATTTTAGGACAAATGAATACTGGATTATCTGTATCAATACATGTTGGCATATGAGGAACATCGAAGTCACTGACGCCACCAGGAGGATCAACAACAGAGTGTTGACTCTGCTCTTGTGTTGCGTTCAGCTCCTTCTCAGTCTGATTCATATATTCAGCTAGTGTGGACGTGTATGAATCTGTGTCCTGTATTGAAAAATGTAGCCCCATTTCTAACCCCCAGAAACTGATAAGTAAATATCTATTCTATTTAGCAAATATTTTGGTTGTGGCACTTTGTCAAACGGTCGGTCTCTGCAGTAGACTGGCTGTCATGTTCAGCTGTCAGAATCAATTCCTCCTAATAACAGACTTGCGTCTCAAGTTATTTTGGACAGAACAACAGCACTTGTATCTTGGATGTGTCACAACTGCGAATAAAAAAATGTCCACAAGAGTTGAGGCTCTACTTGAGATGCAGACTTTGAGTGCTACCGGGTCAGTTTTATTATTTTTATTTTATCCCCTTACAAGGTTAATTTCACAGACTTGGTAGTCCTAACAGGCAGCTCCAGCAAATGAATGATGGATGCGAGGGCTTTACTTGGAGCCTCCAGGGTGTTCGCCATAAAGTGTGTCCTCTTCTCTGCCCTTTATCAACAGCACATTTACTTAAATTAGGTCTGATCATTATAAATGGTTTGACGCATCGTGGTGGGAGGAAGGAGGGGAGAGACCGAGAGGGAGAGAGGTTTGTTCTAGAGTCTTAATGGGGACGTGACGGAGTTGAAAAATACCCCTGCAGTGTTTTAGGTATGAGAAACCACTTCAAGTGAACTTTGGTTGAAACCTGATCCTGCCCAGCTGAAAATGTACGAAACATTTCAATAAAATTCTATTTCGTTTCACCTGGAAAATGTTTTGTTTCAATGTCTTTGGTATGATCTTAATTAACTTGTCAAAGGATGCGGCCTCGTGTAGAGCAGAAGCACACCCTGCTGTCTCTGACATACTTACGGTGATTTATCTAATGCAGGGAGTGCCAGCTAATCTGCAGCATTCCTGAAGTCCATTCATTCATTGTTGAAAGGTTCAAAACTAGTCACACTAATTAACAGCTCCATTTAGCACCAGCCCATGAACATATTGCACATTTACATTTTAAAGTTCACTTTCCTGGAAACCGTTCAAAATGCAGGCAACCTGGTTCAAAGGATCCACATTTAACATGAAAGGGTCCCTTTTTTATGGAGCAATTGTAATTTAATAATCAATCTGAAACATAAAACTGGATTTTATATCTTCTGGACAAGGAACCGGAGACTGGACCCTTCAGAAGATGCTCGATGGGATCGGTTCAAATCGGCAGCTGTAGAGCGTTAAGTACGACTTTCAAAACACAACCTCTGTAAACCAAGCGATGTTCAACTACAGCTGCTGTCAGAGCGGTTCGACCTGGTCGTAGCGTGCTGATTGAGTCAAAACATGGAAGGGGACGCGTGTCACACTGCTCACGTGTTCGTGTTTCATCACAACCCCACATGCTAAATTAGACAAGTATCCTACAAGCAGGTAAATGGGGGTGGGGGGCCTCTGGTCATCTGTCTATCCCTTTACCATCGCAGGTCATCTCTGGGTCTCCTTAGCCTGCGCATGCGCATATCAGCTTGTAAAGTCAGTCGAGTGAAATATCCCTTTAAGAAGAGGGGGGCGGCTGCCTCTGACGTCATCCTCAGAGAAAACTGTCATCTTTGTTTCTCTCCCATTGATCCCGATTGATTCTCTCGCCTTAAACGTTTCATCGAGCGACTTAAAATGGCGCAGCAGTTTGTGCAAACTAAGATCAAAGGAGACAAAGTAGTGCTGTTCATCAAGCCCACGTGCTCCTTCTGCATTACGGCCAAGGATGTTTTGTCAAAATACAAATTCAAGCCGGGACATTTTGAGTGCATCGATATAAGTGGACGTGGCGACATGGACAACCTGCAGGACTACTTCCGGGAACTCACCGGAGCGCGCACGGTAACCTCGAAGCAGAAACATTCAGAGACCTAAGTTACTGCGTGTGTGACGCTCTTTTTTTTTATAACGGGAGGGTGATTTCAACCCGAGTCATTTTGCTACAGTTGATATGATCCATAAATGTGGTAGAAATAAATGGGAGTCGACAGCTGGAAGCGCGCGCGCAGTAATGAGTCCGGAAGTTCCATTCATGACGGAGTCAGTTTCGCTCATGTGCGTACAAGTCGAGTTATTGATCGTTATACATGCAGTCCTGGAGGAAGAATATCCTCTTTTTCTGGAGCAAACCAAGTAAAATAACTGCAGAAAAAGGCCTACTGTTTTTTATATATATATATATATATATATATATATATATATATATATATATATATATAATTACACTCGCACAGTAATCCAAAAACAGCATTTAACTGTCATTTTTAACTATTGCATCAAACTAACTTGATTGTTGCTTAATTTTACTGCTCATTTTCTCCATTTTAAATGAATGCCACCTTGTGTTTTTTTGTTTTTAATGCTGATGGTAAATGTTGTCCACTGAAGAAGTAAAGTGCTAACTACAATACCCCAGAGAGCCAATAAGACTGAGCCTGATTTATGGCATCAACTTTAAAATTAATGAGAAAAAACTACATTCAATTCCACCATGCAACCTTGATTAGTTGCAGTTAGAACATCACACATTTACCCTTTTTTAAAATGACAAAATAGTCAAAATAGTGTGCGGCCGTTGCCCCCGACGACCCTGTGCCAGATGTGAAGGGGGTGGAAACCTTGGTGTTATGGCAGATCTTTGATGGTAGACTAACGCGATCCGGTGGCGGAACGTTACATAGTCAATGGACACCGCCGAAAATCCATGACTGCATATTGAACGGATCCCTGTTTCCCTGTCATCGACTTGTCAAACGAAGGTCCCGAGGGTGTTCATCGGCGAGGAGTGCGTCGGAGGCGGCAGCGACGTGGCGGCGCTTCACAAGAGCGGTAAACTGGAGAAGATGCTGCAGTCTATCGGAGCCCTGCAGTGACCGGCTGCAGACCTCCAGGTACATGAACGGGCTCACAAGATGTTTGCTCAGGGAAAGACCGCAGGGGAGAAAAGGAGGGGGTGGGGGTGTAGCCTCGCAGAAAACCCAAAGTAAGTCATTAAGTGCACACATTTGTAACAGTAAGCTCTAATTAGTGCATAAATAAAATGAAAATAAGATGCCCGAGGTAGTGCTCAAAGAGATAAGAAGTAATTGCGCGGTGGTTAAGACATGAGTGAAACACTGTGTCCCGTACCAAAGGAAATGTTTTCATGGGTGATAAATTGAAAACCGCCTGAAATAAATGAAACCGAATTACTGCAGATGCTTCCACAACATGGTTTGATGAGTAATCAGCCCAAAAACGGAGATCTGATAAGGTCCAACTACAAACGTCATAGTAAGAATGAGGAATCAGTACGATTATCATTCTGAACTATGTTCTCCACCAATATCATGAGACCCCACATCCAGAGACGACTGGTCTTTGTCTCTCCAGAGAGAATCTCTGCCGAATGGGTACATTTCCTAGAGGAAGGGGAGGAAGAATCAATCGACTGCCGGGGGTTAAAAATCGAATTCTGGATAATGACGCGAAAACAGAGCTGAGAGCCGACATTCGTCCAGTCTGTGGTTTGTTCATTCTAAAACATGTCTTTATTTAAAGTCAGACGTCCAGGTATCTACAGTCTGTGCCACGCTGGCCCGGCGGAGCTGCAGGTGGGTCTCCACACACCGGAGTACACTTCGGTTTACAGTCCACTCTTTCAACTGTTATTTACTGTTTCTTTTAAAAGGTGTTCCTAGCACACACACACAGACCGATTGCTGTGGTGCAGCAGCAGCAGGTGAATGATTCACCAGGTGGTGAGAAGGTACTGACTGATGTCACCTGCACACTGTCAAATATTCTCACAGCTCAAGTACTGCTGTGGTTGACCGTAAATGACAGCTGCTAATCCACTAAATAAAAAAATAGCTGCAAAAATGTCAGTATTGACCATTTTGCTTTCACTTTGTCAGACAAATACAATTCTTTTTTTAAACATGCACCTTTTTTAAAGTAAATACCAGTGAAACAGTGAACAGTAAAATAGTGTGACCCAAAAAAAGAAAAAGTCATGTGAACATACAGTATAGTTTACAAAATAATTGCAGCACCAATAAATTATAATCTTGTTATGATTAAAAACAATCCCTCAAATAAAAAACATAGGATAAAATAAATACTATCTACCTAGAGGCATTGTGGTTTTTAAGCGTACCAACTTATGTTCATGATATGGTTATTTTTCCTAAATCTTTACACCACTTTGTCTGCTACCAAAGGCGTTTGCCATTTCATGTGACCGAGACAGACCCTTATTATTGGTTATTGCAAATAGATTCAACATTACGTCGTGTAAACCTGTAAAGGAAGAGGCGTAAAAGTCCAAGCCGCAGGCTTTAGGTAAAAAAAATACGTTGTGTTCTTTATTTGGTGTACTTAATATCTGAGACCGTAGTAGTTTAATTTTTACGATTTAATGTCAAATCAACGACCAGAATATATCTCTGAGTGAGTCCAACCGCGGAGATCTGAAAGAAAATTTGTTCTTTACGTTGGTCCTCCTCGTGTGAACTTGACGGCCGTGAAATGGTCGTGAACGTGATTCACCGGCAGCGTTACCGGCGCTCTCCTCTCCGCGATGACGGTCTCCTCTCAAATACAGACAGTCGGCAGCCACAAAGACGCTTTGCAGCAATGCTGCGTGTGGTCACGCTCACAGCTTTCACATGACAAGAGAGCACAGGTGCATTATGGGCCGAGGTTTCGTTTGAGACGATACGGAGGAGCAGTTTTCTACCTGCTCACTCATCATTGCAGTTTGAGATCTGTTCATTTTTTAGCAATAGAGCCATATTGTAGATATTACAGTATAAATATTCTTCACATGGCCCATGGCGAGCTGCTCGTTTTGGATTAATTTGGGGTTTAAGGACCACTCATTTTGCATTGCCCGTGATGGAATAGTCATTAGGCAAAAGGATGCAGTCATCTCTCCCGGGAGGGGGGGGTGAGGCGCGTCACAGCCGAGTGTGTCACCGCGAGGCGACGTTGTCCTTTTGGTTGTGGATCCCTGCGACCGCTGCACCGCGTGTCATCAGAAACAGCCCCGTCGCACGGAAACCACTTCTCCTGCGTGCTTCTCCACGACCCGTCTGACCCTTTTTATTTTCTCCCCCTGGTCTCCCTTCGCTCTGCTCTCCTCCCTCTTTCCCACAGGCATCCGGGGGGCGGTCACATGACTATGCAGCGGGACTTGCGTAGTTTGCGTCGCCGCTGCTGGTACTCGCTGAGCTCCTGCAGGTAGCCTGTGGACGGCCAGCGGAGCCTCTCCACCTGCTCACGCTCCTCCTCTGCAACACGTATAAACACATCAAATGTAGTCACAGCTGAACCCTCACACCTGTATTTACTGTGCTTGGCAAGTAAATGTAACATGTATACTTACAAATGCTTGCATGGTTGCCAAGAGTACAGCCAACATGGCTGAATTGTCTGGTAAGACTTTGTTTATACCAACAAGCATCATGAGCTGTGGCCTTATTCTGACCTTTGACTTCTGTTGTGCCCTTAATTTCCCGTCCAATGACCTGAAATCTATTCTAGTGTGAATGACTAATGATGACAATAAAAACAATGCTATTAACCGGAGCAATGCCGTTAATCTTTGCCTGCATTCATGTGCCGAACGCATATGAATATATCATAGTATTAACTGGTATCAAGCATTACTCCTGTGTAATGCGTAACATAACATGCCATATGCTGCTGTGTGGACTTGGTTTTCAAAGGTGTCAAAGCATGTTTCAAACCTTCAGAAATACAAAGTGAAACGCTCACTTTTTATTCAATAACCGATGGCAATTCACAAGTGATTAATGGACACCTTTTATTACACCTCACATTTTAAAACTAGTTGGCCAACTAACAAAAAATGGCAACCAGCGCGTAGGAGACACACAGCCTAATGCATTTACCGTGTGGAAAAGTAGGACAGATCCTCAATAGCCTGCAGGCATTCTGACTTAATTATTTTAAAAAAGAAGTCTAAAGCCTTCTAAACTGTTGAAATCAGCCGTTTTATAGCCGCAGCTATCGCTGTGCAGCAATTTTATTTTGCACAGCCATCATGTGCAAGGCTTATTTGAATGTGTCCGAGGGGGGAGGGGGGGACCTAACCTGAGAGTTCCAGGAAGTCAGGTTTGTGACTGAAGATCAGGTAGTTGTTGGCGATGAAGTGGAGGAGCCAGACATACAGCTGCTCTGCATTGTGGCACTGAGATTCAATACAAACATACACACACGGTTTAATAACAACACTTTTCTCATGAGCATGAACGACTGGTGACATAACCTGAATATCTGTAGAACTAGACGTACAAGATTAAAGCTGGTCACTGAAAAGATTACATTGGGAGGTTTCCTCCATAAACATAACTCGTATCCCGGAAGCTGCAGGAAATGTCATATTATAATGAAATAATCAGTTTAGCCGGCAAAGCCATCTCCCGCAGTTGCGTTTTATTTTCTCTATCCATCTCTCTCGCGTCCTCAAACGTCGCACTGACCTTTGCTCGGCGCAGCAGTCGGATCACGCTGATGCCCGTGGAGGACAGCTCTCTGCTGGGCATGCTCTGGAGGTAAGCGCACACACACACTTCACACAGATGCTGCAGACGCTTCACCTGGTACATCTCCGCACAGACCAGCACGGCCATGGCCTGCAGCACGCTGGCTGGACACACAAAGGCACACAGCACTGTGATGCACATGCAGTAGGAATCACCGTGTGCATTCCCTATCATAAAGTCTAGTTGTAGTGGTTGCAATATTTTCAAGCCTGTAGGCCTTCAAAAGTATTTTGGACGCTTGGAAACCCTCCGTGGGGTAAATAGAGTGTTTCTGTGGTTATTGGCCCTAATATGTTTTGAACAGGGCACAAGCACATTCACCAGCGGCATTAAAAAAACATGAAAATAAAAGAATTTTGTGTGTATTTCCTGCAGAATTATAAACAGTATATGACAAAGTAGTGTACTGCACACAGAGGTTGGGAATCAAAGGGTAATAAGCAGTTGAATTCTGGGCCGTCTCGCTGTAAAACTGTATCAAGACCATGCAAATGAAAGGTTTTGCTTGTGTTGAAGAAGGCACGGAAAGATATTACCCGATGATAGTTACTCACATCTATAGCAGTTTGTGAACATGCACTGGATATGGCAGCAAAAGAAACAGTTCGTGGAGACAAAATTGGAGCTAAAGGCAGAGTGAATGTAGAATATTTGTCATGTGGCCAGATGCAAAGCTCAAAATATGCTAAAACAATATTTTCAACACCGCTTTTACAGAAAAAGACAGTCCAGTTCAAATCCAGCCCTACGACATAACACTGGTGTATTTAGAATCATATTCTCCCATATCTAAGTCCTAATGTATGCGGCATAGTCACGTCAAATAGCATCCTTACATGCGTCAGCAAATCCAACTGTCAGTCTTTTTACTAAAGTCTTAAGTCCAAAATGTCAAATCAGATGACTCCTCATGTTACATGATTCAGTCCCACACAACCCTCAATGTGCCTCCTCCAATAAACACGGCCACTAAGGTTCATCTAGAAACATAGAAATGAAGCGTAGTAACGTAGCCCTCCATCCGACAGCGCGTAGTGTGCAATATTTGCATGAGAGAAATACGCTCCTTCCAATTTCTTGTGGCGACTGCTGGAGTTACCTCGTTTTGACCTTGAGCTCTTACATAACAACAGTGCAGCGGCTGCAGCTTAATGCCTCGTGTTCCCATGACTCCACCTGAAGCTGTTTCTCTGGAAACAGCTTGCTCACCATCCGTCTACCAAAGCCCAATGTTACGGTTTGCTTTTCTGAGTTTTTACATGTATTTTATTTATCAAAACATCTCATGCCCCAAAATAAGGAGATTGTCAGCTCTCAGTAGCTGGTTATTCAGGACAGATTATTCGGACCCTTTGTGGTGGAAATTTGTGGATTTAGCCCCTGTGAGGGCTGTTTAGGTTCTTTATTCAGCCGCATTGTTATACAGTATAACAATACTGACATGGATGACATACAGTGTTTTAATATAGAGCTACGTTTACAGTAGGTAAGTTTATGGCTGTATCTTAGAACTGTAAAATCTTGATTTGTTTGGGCTTTCTGAAGCAGTGATCATCTGTAGTTGGGGGGGGGGGGGGAAGGGGGGCTTGATTTGTGATCCGTGATGATGGATGTCATGATCACACACTCACAAGCTTGTAATTCAAAGCTGCATTAAGGAATCTTGTACCACTAGGGGGCTGAAACAAACTCAGCAAGAGGCTTCTATGATATTTTAGCCAATTCAATCGTTTTGCCAACTTGTTAAGTAGGGTTTGCTTTGATTCCCATGTATGAGAAAATGTACCACTATTGTAACTTTAAGGTGGTAGAAACAGGAAAAGAAAATCTAACGTAATTGCCTTCACCAGAGAGAATTGTCAATACTAATTACTTTGTTAATTCAGCGCACATCGTGTCAAAGAGTGACACAGGGAAAGAAAAACGACAACATGTTTTGGGGAAGTGAGTTGCGAGTGCAGCGGCGATGCTGCGCGTTGATTTTGTCATCACTGCTGTGCTCCACCAGACTCGTGAGACCGACACTGGCAGCACGTCGCAGCACAGATGGTTGGTGGGACTTGTCATCTGTGCTTTTGTTCTGGGCCGTGCTCAGTGAGCGACGCCAGGGGGGGGGGGAACACCGCTGCATCTCTCTCAAACGTTCGGTAATGGAGCATATTCCTGCAGCACATTAAAAGGACATCAAAGTCCCATTGTCCTTCTGCAATAGACTGTCATTTTGTTGGTCAGATCCGTGGCATTTAAAAGCAGCTTTTCATCTCTAACGGGTGAACAAAACCACCAGAGATGGTGTTCCTTAACAAAGCATGCTGTATTCGTATTCACAGCACTTGTTGAAAAGAGTAGTTATACACTAATAAGAGAATAACACGCTGACTCAGCGCTTTAGTTGAGGAGGGGAGGGACAGCTTGATTTGTCTTTACTTAAAGGTGTGTTTGCAGTTTTAGGCACCTGAAACAGCCTTAATGTTATTGTAATAGAGTAGTTTGACGTGTGGGCTGTGTGCAGTAAACCCACCAGGACAGCAGGAGTCAGTGTAGAGGTACTCCAGGAAGGACAGGAAGGTATCTGAGGAGACACCGTGAATGGGCACCACTCGGCTCCGGGCCTCTGCATATTTCCCACTGAACATGGCCGCCATGACGTCACAGCGCGCCACCAGCACTGCTCGATGGGCTGGCAACACACTCCCTTAAACACACACACACACACACACACACACGTAAAATTAACAACTAGGTTTAGAATCTCAGAGTAGCTTCAAGGAATGTCCCACAGAGCTGTGAAGTGAAATTCCTGCAGGTATAAACTGTTAATGGTAAATGTATTGAATGTTGACCGATGGGGACAGATCGCTTCTCTTATGTAAAACAGTTTGAAGTTAATCCCAAAGACGTAAACCCATTTGAATAATTATTAAAAACCCCAAAGGTTATATCACCAACAAAGCTGTTTTTGCTCGTCACAGAAGTGTAACGGGCAAATTTAATTAAATTTGACTTAGAAGTGAAGATCTGTCATTTCAATTAACGGGACAAAAATATGAAAAGCCAGGGCAGAAGTCCTGACATAATCACTGTCATGAAGTGCCATTAACAGCTGTCATTATACTCGGCACATATGGGATTAAAAACATCTTTATATTTGTAAGTGTAACTCGCCGTTCGGGAGGTGCAATGAGATGAAAAGCTCACTGTTTTTTTTAATGAAATAAATATTGATTAGGATACACTTTCTTTGGGATATCATTTCGGGATTTCTCAGTTTGATCATTTAATAGGAGGTTTGAGTCGAGGAGGAGCTTCTGGTGGGATGAAACCCCGCGGGACCCGAAGGCCTCGTCCCTCGTACCGCTTTAACTTATTATGCCTGCGAATGGATACCAAGCCTCTGGAGGGAAATCATATTAAATCACTGCTAATTAAATGTGACCCGTCGCTGATGTGTGACGGCGCATTCATTTGTAAATGTGTGTGTGTGTGTGTGTGTAACAGATAAGCGCTGACCCACCTTGCACCATGAAGATGACGTCAGAGTAAAGAGGAGAATTGAAGAGGTTGACTAGAGTTTGGGGGCCGAGCTGAGCTGCCCGGGCGCTCGGCGTGTCTCTCTGGCTCTACAAAAGCACACACACACACACACACACAGAGCAAGAGACAAGAAGCCAAAATGAATGTTCAGCGAGGTAACATCCCTGTGCCGGATGTCAGGTGCTAGTTACCAGCACAATTGCCATTCTGTGCATCCAGCTCACCGCCGCTGTGGAATACTAAAGGCTCTCTGCTCGTCTTGCTCCTCTACCCAAACGCGCTTTAACTGCAATGCCGAGAACGACTTGACAGGACTGAACTAAGACCAAAAAAAACGACTGGGAACCACCCGCTCGTCCAGACCGTCTACTTATCTACACGTTGAAGATATGCATAATCTAATACATGCGCATGCGGTGTTGCAGTGTACTGCATTGCGCGGCAGGTGAAATCTGTATTATGGGAAAGGCTGTCAGTTAATCTTTGCAGTGAATGTGCACAAGCTGCTGTGTTAAGTCCTCAAATTAAATTCTTGAAAGCGTCCCATTACCATTGCGTGACCTTTCTCAGTCAACTGAAGCGCAAAGGACTTCATATTCTCACACGGCTCGGCTGCAGAAGGAGCGCTCAGCAAACAGCTACAGAGTCGAGCTCCTTTTTTTATTCTGTGTAAACCAATACAAAGCTTACGGGAAAGCTCTATGGCAAAAAAAATGCCCGCCGCTGTCGCAGCGGGAGATGACCCGGAGGTGTTTGTGGAGGACGAGATCAAATCACGACAGGACATTAACGGTGTCTCTTCGCGTTAAAGCGGCCCAGCCGTCTCACGGTGTGTCAGCTCGCTTCAACACTGCCTCAGGTAGCAGACCTAGTTCTATCCAGATGGGTTGGTGGACCATGCATGGTGGGGCCAAAGGCTTGTCAGACGCACCCGTGTCACATCTCCGGATCCCTCTTTAAATGTCAAAGCCCGCCGCCTCTTACAAAGCGCCACCTGACTTTTTTTTTTTTTCAGATGGGCACAATACGGTTTTGAAGGCAACGTTGGACTTTATTGCTGATGTCTCATCTGAACTCTTCAAGGATATTGTGTTTTGCTTTGGCTCCTTTAAGGGCATCTCTCATTTGGTCCTTATTTGCAAAGTGTCTGGGAGGTGATACGGGCAGCAATTATGTAAATATGCTCAATTTAGCCAGAATATTACTGCGATGCTTTTTAAACAAAGGTCTCGCCAATTAAGATGATGTTTGATCTGCAACTACAAAAACATGCGTCTATTTGACACGTTATAGATATTTAACCTCTATTGGTGGGGACTGCTGTTTTAGGATACACAGCATAAGTAATTCCATCCTTGGACGACATCATTTGATTTTTAGGGTGTGTGTGTAGTTGTAAGAGAGGTGATTTTAAGACCTCACCCTGTCTTTGCCGATGAGGGATCGTATGCGCTCCATAAGTTGAGCCACAGCTAGTGAATTCTTCAGCTTCTCATCCAAGGCCTCCTGAAGGTGATCCCACTCCCACGCTCCTTAAAAACATCCACAAACACAATGATTCTCTGCAACCAGAATAGCACCGTTAACAGAAATACACAGGTAAACTCTTTTTAAGATGGCACCATGTTCTGAAACACCCACATCCCTCACACACAGACTCCTCTAGGCCGGTTTTTCACAGAGTTGCCTTGTTCTTAAATGTGTTTATATAATCCACAGTGGTTATGGGTTGGACACCAAGTCTGGGTTGCATAAATGTCAGAAATAGTGACCCAAAATACCTTCACCACACACACCAGGAGCAATAATACATCTTAATATAGCAACCAGCATAAACATATGTAAACATATTTTCCTATTTAAATAACAGATATAGTAATAATTAAATAGTTTGGCTTGTAGACAGAGTATATTTCTGTATTTTTGATCTCGTGTTTTGATCTAGTGTGTTCTGCAGCTATGCCGACATGCTGCCATTGACAATGCTTTAATACTGATGTGTATTAGATGATGTTGATCAAGTTCATCTTAGCTTAGCGGTTTGGTGTGCTAACAGTTCGAACAAAGTACGTCTGAGGGTCATTAGTCGTGGAGGTATTTGGTCATAATCAAGACTTAAAGACTTTCAATTGGTCCTGATGATGCGTAATGGCAATTGAAAAAAGTAAGGGATCACCTGAATAAATTGATTACAATATTTCTGAGAAAAACAAAGGGAAAGTCAGGAAGGGAAAGGATTCATTCTCTGGGGACCATTGATGTCACTAGAATTACAAAAACATTATAGATGCACAATGAACAAATAAGAGCGGTAATTAACGCACAAATGAGTTAGCAGTTTTGCACATTCAATTGTACTAGAATTATATTTTGGGGAGCAAAATGTGTCAACATAACAAACTTGTGTTTACTCCAGAGCTTTTTTCAGCCATAATCCAAAATCACATGGGACAATCCTGTCATCTTTTTGTCAATGAGTGCAATGCCAAATTTCTGGGTCAGCCTAAAAAAACATTATCCCCTGTAGCACTTAGACACTTAGTCTGTGACTAATTTGCCATAAAATAGGATGTAAAATATAAATACTTCAAGCTGCCCAGCTGCGTTCAATCACTGCACTGGTATTCTCCTTTATAACGCGTGCACAGCCCTGCAGCTCGATTGGGATGGCGCAAGTGGTCTCACTGGGACACAAACAGACTGTTGAGGGAAGGAGGGCGCTCGGCTGGGCAGGATTTATCTCATCACCAGCTCATAATGACGGTATTTGGGCTGATAGAGGGATTATCTCAACACGCAGTGCCCGGATAATGACACTGAAAAGCACAGGCCCATCGTGGGCAGCGTGAGGGATGAGCTCAGGAGCTGAAGACGTATGATGCAGCCAGACACCGAGCAACACACCTGGATGGACCAGGAGATGCCTCCATGTGAGTTATGGAAAGCAACGGGATACAATGGAATACACATGCGCGAAGCCAGCGTTGCAAGAATGCTTAAATCCTTCAAATAGGTTTTGAGTGCTGATGTCTCAACCACCTACACAAACGACCACAAAGTCTACTTTTCAGTAGACATTGTAGAGATTACCACTAATTTCCCCAGAGGCTCTTCTTTACATCCTCCAAAATGACTTAGATACTACATTCCTGATTCTAAATCTCAACCCAAACAAGGATATAAAACTGTGCACTTTATGCTAAATTCAGTTGCTGGGAAACTCGATTATATGTCCCAAAGACAACTGGCCTGTAGTCTAACACCTGATCCCAAATAATGACCACAAGCACACAAAGTGATTCATCTCGGTTGTACACGAATACATGTGATAAACCTGCACACACACACACACACACACACACACACACACACACACACACACACACACTAGCAACTGAGTGACAAAGTCAATAAATCGGCTGCACACTACACAAGGAGACAGAGTCTCACATTGTTAACATCACACAAACAAAGTCACGGCTTCGGTGACCGTCCACACCAAGCGCGGAATAATAACCGCCAGTGTGACGCGCTGCGTTTACACAGACACGATATTGTTATGGAAATGAGTTCCGCTAAGCCAATAAAATGAGCCGCAACGGAGAAATGAGTGGCACTGAATTGCGAGCAGAAAACAGTCCTCCCGTCTCTGGGAATGCAAAGTACGGCTTGTTGTGGATTTACTGCAAATGAACGTCAAGCACTGACTCATTGTACTACCAACATTTCTATCTTTGCAAAGGAGGCGCATCAGGAAATACACTTATACAGAAATACACACACTGTATGCAAGGTCAACCCCTTTAAACGTACAATCAGACCCACATTTTTGATGGTTAACATTAGTTATTGTTCACACGAGACTGGACACCGTCTCCCTGCAGTGTTTTATATGCGTATTTTGCTCTCCGCTATTCTCCCCGGCCACACACACACACACACACACACACACACACACACACACACACTGCATGCTCTGTTGCCCATCACCCAAGCCCTCTCCACCAGCTCCTTTAAACACTCCATCCCCCTCTCATGTCCCGCCACCTTGGTTTTGCACCCTTCTCACAATTTTCTATATTCCTCCCTCCATCTTTCAACTGCCTCCGTTCTTATTCTCATTCATGCAGTCACTCACTCACTGAAACTCAGTGTGCCCCTATGAGCTTCTTACCCTTTACCAGCACACACGCACTCTGCTTATGTGTGTGTGTGTCTGTGTGTGCCTTTAGTGTATACGTGTGTCAAACCATCAGTGTTGCTTACATACATGTTAAGAGGCGGCCATGAATCAGATGTTAGCACAGCTTTTTGCCATAAGGACGTCTGCACGACATTGAGCCTGCGATGAAGCGCTGGCGTGCAGGCGGCAGCACAGCGCTGCAGGTTCTGATCCGCAGACTGAGAAGGAATTCGTGATGGCACTGCCAATGTAGGGAACATCACGCGGATGTTTAACTAGCGTTCATACGCCATCGCAAGAACATCTTGGGGGGCGAGTGCCAATATCTGCAAATTAATTGGTTGATTGTTTTACGCCTGCGTGAGGTTCAATTTCTGCAAAGATGTCGCTGGTGTACAAATCCATGTTCAATAGAACTGAGCTGGGTGGAGATAAAAGACACACGAGTGGCCTGAGGCCTCGGAGTACAAAGAGGACAGCACTGTGGGATAACAGTATTATGCAATGAATGATCAGCCACTAGATTGAAACACTGCAGTTGGTTAGTAACAAGCACTTTCAAATTTGACTGATTTCTGTTCCCCACCATAATGGAACATTGGATGAGATCCAATGGCAAGCTGCTTTCTGCTGCCAGCAGACATTCATCATGACATCTAAATTATTGGAATAAGAGAAACTACTTTTGGGGAGCTCCTGTGCTGCGAATGTATGTTGAGCCCTGTGAGCTGCGTCCAGTCGTAATGTGCGTTTTTCTCTGGCTGATATGGCAACAAACGGGGAGCGCCATGAATGAAACACCAGCCTTGCTATTAGCAAGATGCGGACCAGTGTCCGCAAAACCAGGTTATTAATGATAAATGCAATTGAATAAATTGGGCAGTTTGTTGCAACTGGAAGATTTTTTTTCAAAGCCCCCAGAATTCCTGTGTAGCAGTGATGCTGTTGTCGGGAGAGTTTTTTATTTGGATCTCCAGTTTGTAGTTGACACTTTTAAATTGACATAACGGATACTTGTTTTCAAATCCGTTTTTTTTAAGGAGTGTCATTTGAGATCACAAGGATGAGTCTGATGTATTAATATACAGATATACAAACATAAAAAACACAAAACAGCAGATTTATGTTTTTCTCAGTTGTGTTCCGAGTGTGCTGCGTTTGACTGATGGTTCTTACCTCTATAGATGAACATGAGAGTTTCCCACAAGCACATACACAGTAAGGGGTCCTTCACCACCAGGCGGGAGAGGCGTCCCGTCAGGTGGCCCTCTGTCCGTGGCAAGTCATCAATAATCCCCCCGTCCCAGGTGGAGAGCAGCGAGGGAGGGCCCCCGTCCCGCTCTCTGCAAACACAGCGCGACTGGGGACGTTCCCTGTGCAGCCGGAGATGAAGTGAAGCAAAGAGTCACAGTTGGCAGACGGTGCCGAGCTGCTGCCGGCTGCAGGCTCAGCCGGTGAATAGCTTGTACGCCCCCCCCCCCCCGCCATGTGAACTAGCTAAAGTCTCTCCTACCTGGCCTTGGGCCCCAGGAGCAGCTGTCTGAAGTACGGACTGACGGCACAGAGCACAGCCGCGTGCGCCCACCCCAGCTCTTTGCCGGAGTCCCCGGCGTAGAACGCCACATCGGCGAACTGCACGCCGCGCTCCAGCAACCACTGCATGTCCTGGGAGAAGCTGGACTCCTCTACCCGGATGGGGGGGAGACGTGCTGAACGGAGGGGTGGGGGGGGGTGACAGATGGGATGAACAATCGAAACGATACAAGACCAAGATTTTTTTGTTAATCCACCGCGCGCCTGCGTGGAATTTCCCTTTTGACACCGGAGATCAATGGGGTGTACGCGGGTGTGTGCACAGTGATAGTGACAGCCATAGTGTAGTGGGATCTTCTGGTTCACAAAGAGAGCCGGAGGAGAGACCGGTGTGATGGTGTGCCCTGCCCTGTTGCTTCAGTTAACAGTGGATATAAGAAACATTCTGCAGTTGATAGAAAAAAAAAGGAAGAAAGGAAGAAAAAGAACAAACTTGGCTTCATGATGCATGTTCTCATGAATTCAGATGAACAAAAAGAGAAAAAGAACTGAGCAAGGAAGCGAAGGAAGAGCGGGGGATGGGGATTTACAAATCATTGTCCAATTATATTCCCATTCATGCTTCACACATACCGCTCCTCTTAGACCTCACATTTTTTATGACCGCTCAGATTTGGCTGTAAAAATGGTGCTGTTGTTTAATCAATGAATGTCATATTTAATACAAGCCACACCTTAAGTACAGTTAAGTAGCTTTGGACAAACACCAACAACTCTGCCAGCTCTTTTTGGCTCGACTTACAGCTGTCAGTCACTTCATTAGATTTAGTAGTAAAGTGGCCAGATCAGTATTTATAACATAGTTGATGTTGAATATTTTTCAGGTTCTTTATTCTGTAAAAACGCTCTGTGAGTGGGAAAATGCTGAAATGTCGGCCTGGAGAAGAAGAACTTAACGTAAGCTTCTACCCAAATAAGTTCTCATGATGTCATTTTGAATAAAGCACTTTGTCTATGGCAACATCCAGTAACCAGGAATGGCAGACGACTGCAGATTCAATCATGTTGTCTTTTAGTCATTTAGTAGAAGGAAGTGCCAAAGTCTAAAATAGCAGAGCATAAAGAAACGAGCACTCCAGCTCGCCTTGTTTCTTTTAAGCTTTGAAAAACGTTACTTTGCCTCTGCTTCTGGCAGGTATTAGTCTATTTTGATCTTCAACCTGTACATTCGTTTATTAATTAATTAGCCATGTGTGTTTGCAATATCTGATTGGCTTAAAGGCAATTTGATTAAGTGTATAACAAAGCTACTGTCTGCTACCAACTGAAATCTTCTGACAAAAGTTCAATGAGGCTTGTTTAGAAGCTAAATTAATATCTCAATTGAAATTTTTAATTTCCGCAGATTAAAAACTAAATGAGGATCAATTAGTTGATCCTTAACTTGCAACATATTTTGATTAACAATTGAATGTTTGCTGGACATTTTCTGATGCATGTTTCTTCAGAGAGAAAGAATATTTAAGAATGTGCCAGTTTGGTTTGACTAAAACTAAACTAAACTAAAACTTAAACGTTTTATATATATATATGTATATATTTATTTCAGCACTAGGCTAAGTTAAAAACACGTAAGAAAAACAAAGACATGTATTAGGGGTGTTACCGGCAGGACACGATCGGGATCACGTTCAGTTGCCTAAATACCTGAGTGGATTTAGAACATTTGTTTAAGGACGCGGTCAATAAGTAATCTGCAGCTCTGCGAGCGCTGCCTCACAACGCTGCACTGAACTCTCAGTTGCTGCCGTGTTCGGTGCTGAAATGAACTCAGTTCAAAATTGATTCAAACGTCATGAAATAAAAGTAGTCTACCTAGCTCTTTGTCTCGCCTCTAATTTCCAGTTTGGAACAGGGCATATTGATCTGGATAAAAACCTTTGTGCTCAGCTTTTTTTATAGCCATGTAAGCTGTAAGAAGAAACAATTCAGTCAGTCCGGTTGTCCGAGTGTTCTGCCTGCAGCACAAAAAGAGCATTTTAAAGCAGCAATAATTACTGAATAATATGAAAACTACTAAATGTGTTAGTAAATAAGAAGACTTAAATTTGTAGAATTGCTTAAAGGGAGTAAATGCTGACCAGATCTGAAAGATGCCACTTGAAATAAAAGAGATATCAGCTTTTGAGTACCATAGTTACGCTCTCACCTGGTTGTTCTAAGTGAGGGGGGCGGAGATCGTTCACTTTATTTCCTCGCCTCTTCTCCGGCCTCTCTTTGGCTTTGTGTTTCAGACACTGGATCATGAAGTACTCGAGCTGAACAACACAGAAATGTGTGCGTTAGTACGAAACGCAAGGCACCCAAACACTGATGTTAGATCACGAGTTCTTGGCCAAGGAAACAACTTCCTGAGAAGACCGACTTAGCTCCCTGTACTCGTGTCTCCTCTGCTGAGAGCTGAACTCAAACCCAGAGTGAAAAGTTACTATTTCATTTTACAGCTCATTTGCTGTGTGAGGAGGCCGCTTACCACGCTGCCAAAGTAGCGGCCCACAAAGACGTGGTTGAGTGAGGGCAGCTCCAGGTACGTGGCCCCCAGGTCGCGGGAGAGCTGCAGACCTTCGCTGTGAGGCACGCAGCTGCTCCAGTCGGACGCACAGAGCGGGCACGTACACGGAGGGCCTTCATCTGAGCGCAGAGGAGAGAGAAGAGTTCCGTTCCACGATTATTTAGATGGTATAAATAGCTGAATCAAATAAATAGTTAACGAGGGTATCTGAGAACCATTACAGAGTCGCTGATATGACATTATGCTAAATTCAAGCACGTGCTGTTAATGGCGATGCCAGGTATGAAACAGAAGATGTTTAAAGACGGAAGTGAGATCAAGAAATGTGCACCGTGCGGCGATAGTTCCCAATAGATTCAGCAAATTCATTTAACAGAGTTCACACCACAGTGTGAACAAGCCCTAACTCAGGTGGTATTAGTCTGCATGACCTTTTCCCCACTAGACCAATCAGAGAAAAGCTGCGTGACAATGTTTTAATATCCTTATATGTCAGTAAAAGTGAAAATATATTTATGTACTGTCACTATAACAAGAATTTAGTCAAATAAAAGAACACGACGCTCAAATCCTATTCTTTTTAATGTGCCAGTGCTTTAAAAGGACAGAAAGGTGCACCAAATCCCTAAAAGTTACTTTGTTCCACATTTTACAATGTAAAGTAAAAACAAATCTGGCCAAACAGAACATGAAAGCCAGATGTTACAGCCACATGTGCTTTGATTGAGTGGACCGGTCCTTCTTTGTAATTCCACTGTAGTCAAACAATAACAATGTTTAACAGGTTCATTTGTGTCTTTCCATTTCGTGACCAATTTTCTGCTTTTCTGCTTTGTAGTGTTTATTTGATGCTGATTCCCGTCATGTACATCGTACTTCCACCTTTTCATCTTCACAAGGTCAAAAAAAGAAGAAGAAGAATTCTTTTGCAGCAGAAACGATGGATCATCGTAAACTCTGCAAAGCGCATGTGCCACACTGTGTTATGTTTGCATCGGGACCAAAGCGACAGAATCCGACAGAAAATTTGGAGGGATTAGCTTGAAGGAGAACAAAAAACAGAAAAGGACTGGCAGAAGAGGGAGAGAGACAGATATAAAAGAGAGAAATCACTGAGGCATTACATGAATACAGCTAACAAATTAATTGAAAGACAGAGCCGGACAGAGCGCGCGCGTGTGTGTGTGTGTGTGTGTGTGTGTGTGTGTGTGTGTGTGTGTGTGTGTGTGTGTGTGTGTGTGTGTGTGTGTGTGTGTGTGTGTGTGTGTGTGTGTGGCTGACAGGCGGTGACTTGGCGTATCAGTGATATGTTTGTGTGCGTGCGCGTGCCCTTGGATAAATCTGTCTGTGCTCCTGCGTTCAGCTCCGGTTTAATGGCTCCATTAATGCCCGTTCGGCAGCGCTCTCTGCCTCAGCGGTGCCTGGGGTGGTCTAAAGCCGAGCAGCAGGAAGCGCTCGGTGCTCAGCCGTCGCTCTCTTCAATCATGGGTGGGGGGGGTGGGGGGGGGTAGCGTGGAGCTACTCGCAGCAGCCACAAACAAGTACACAAACAAAGGCTCCGGTCTGCATCTCCCCACTTCCTCTCCTCCCTCTCCTTCTCTTTGGCAAAACCTTGCCTTAAAATGTGATCGTTGTGCAGCGGCGCTCTGACAGGATCTCAGAGTGTGTGGTGCAGACAAGCTAAAAATACAAGCTGGTGCATTTGATGAGTGTGTTTACGGAATCTGGAATCAACAAGGGTCAGTGAGTGTGTGTGTGTTCAGAAACACATGCAGACCCACCAACCTGCCAGATGCATGCATGTAAATTTGTGATGTGTTAAGCAGCCTCCAGCAAGGCTACACCCGAGGGCCTTAGTCCTACTCATTGGTGTGATGCACTTTTGCGTTTTGTGTATATCTAAGTGCTGTGTGCGTGCTCTTGTCTGCTTGCAAGGCTAATTAAAAGACCAAAAAATATCAAACTTAATGTCTCGCTTTGGTGCGTTTCCAGCAGGCAAGCATGTGAGCGGACCCCACGACGGCAGGCGAGAGGAGATCTAATCACGAGCATCCTCCTCCTCAATGCTGGGGAGGACACGCTCGAGGACACAAGGCTCTGGAAAAGGGATCTCACTGCCGATATCATGGTGCATCAAAATCAACATCTGAGGCAGCAGTTAATCATCCCATTAAGACACCAGCATATGATGTAGAACGGCGGAGAGATAAGACATTTTCTATTTGCGCCTCTCAAACTATTTTTCCCACATAGCAATGAAAACTGTTGGAAGAGCCGCCGGTCGTCAAGGCGTCGGAGGGCCAAACTGAACTCTTATCAAAAACACGGGACGACGGCATCCTCACCGTTGAGCCGCGCCCCGACAGCGACCAGGATGACCGGCACGCCCCAGTGCCTCAGGAGCGGGCGGAGTCTCGGCGCGTAGTTGTTCCTGACCTGCTGAAAGGCCAGCTTGTCCGTGACTGAATATTTAATGACCAGGATGTCGGCCTGTTCGAGAACTTTCCGCACGCTTGTCCAATCGCTGTCCAACAGGTCCTGGAAAAGGCAAGAGCAGCAAAAGATAATAATAAATAAACAGGAGGTCCGAACGGCCAACCTGTGGGCCACAACTTAGATGACCCTAATCTTTCCCCTCTGACTCTCCCTCGGTATGAAATACCTCAGTGTGGCGTCTGGGACTTTACCCCCAAGGACCTAAGAGAGGCCATAGCTGCTCACTCTAAACCAATCGGATTCAACTCATTAGGCAGGCAAGAACACCTCAGAAAGCTTTGAACAATTCGAACAAAAACAAGGACAAAGAGCCATAGAATTCGATTGACAGACATTGTGCAGCACCGCCCGCTGACATTGTTAGATGGCCCCACAAAAGGCACTTACAGTGCTGCTACGAAATAACAACTGTGCTTTCATTTCATATTCACAGGCGAGTTCTTTCATCATTCCTTTCCCTTTGCGTCGTGCGTGTTAAAATAGCGCCCTCTTTAAACTAGAGACACTTTTGTGTACTTTTGGCAGGGTAGTGGTTTTGGAATTTGAAATGTTGTTTGTCTTTGTGAGAAACACGAGCAGAGTGAGAAAGTAAACAGCACGTCAGTGTCTAAGTGACACGCACTCTTTTACAACGACAATGCAAAACGACACCCTTATCTTTATGGCGTGTTTTGCCGTCTTGGCCCTGACGTCCCCATGAGCATCATGCAGGGAGAATTGAGGCAAAGCAACGCCATGAAAGACTCCTACGGGTCCAAAGTAAAGAGATCAGAGTCAATTGAAAACTAGGATTCACACTGTTTCTGTGGGTCTCTCCCTCCCTAAAACAAAACCTGTCGTGCACACACACACACACACGCACACGAGCACCCTTACCCAGCTGGGGCAATCCCGAACCACAACAGTGACGTCTCCGAACACGCGCGACGTGTACTCCATGAAGGCCGGGTTGTGAATGCTGCTCTCCAGGTCGCACGGCCCCACCAGCGCTCCCTGGCCCAGGTAACTCCACAGCAGGCCTCCCTGGAGCTGCCCCTGGCCCATGATCTCCTCCCCGGGCCCGACCCCCCCGGGGCACTCGCTGCCCAGGGCCACGATGTGGATGGACCTGCGGAGGAGACAACTCGGCGGTGACTTGAATCCTCCAGAGGAATGGTGAGGTGAGGGGAGTCAGGTGTTGGGGGGGGGACCTTTGTTCATTATTACTCTCATCTTTCACGGAAGACAGTGCATCACCATTGTGACACTGAACGAGGCCCTAATAGGCTCCACGTGAGGCGGCATTACGGACCAATAAATCAGACACTTTGAGACATTTATTCGGCGATGAATTTCCTACGAAACCTACAACGACAACAGCAGAAGGAAAACGCATGCGACGCGGGAAGCCGCGCTCCTCTCGCGCCTTAATGAGTTGCGGCTTCACAGCAACTTACATTGTGTCCGCCGCGGCTTTCGTTCCGCTTCTTTACGCCGTGGAGCCCGTTTCCCTCGCGGTGCGTTTTCCGCGACAGACTGCAGTCGAACTCGGCTTTTCCGCAATGAGCCGCGGCTCCGCTCCGACGTTAATCCCTCTCATCGGGGGCCGCCCCCCCGGGACCGCGGCTGCTGCTGCTGCTGCTGCTGCTGCTGGGGAGTCTCGTCCCCCCCCCACCCCGTCTCGTTATTCATTCATAAAAGCGGAGACCGACACCGTCCCGAACCGACCGCAGAGGCGCACCGGACAGCCGGCGGAGCAGCAGACTGTGTGTGTGTGCGCGCGCGCGCGCACGCGTGAGTGTGAGTGTGTGTGTGTGTGCGTGCGTGTGTGTGTGCAGCTGCGCCCATGGGCAGCCAATGCGCTAACCGACGAACAAGTTGTCACTCGATAGGAAACACAATTAGCGACGAGAGGTCAACCTCGCGCCTCTACGGGCAGAGCGACCGGATGACGTCTGCGCACAAGTCTCTGTGGCAGAGAACAACTGTGGGGAGAGAGAGAGAGAGAGAGAGAGGGAGAGAGGGAGAGAGAGAGCGGTCGCGCCTGACTCAGCAACGCGCACGCGGGAATAAGGCGCGTATGCGCGCCCGAGGGAGCGCACACCAAAACGCACGCACACACACACACACACACACACACACACAAACACCCGGCTTCTCGTCACACATGACAATTTTTGTCAATTAAACATGTGTTTTCACCTGGTTGTGTTTTCGAAGCAGATCGTTTGTGACTGACTGCAGGAGCAGAGCGCGGAACGTTGTCAATACAAAGACGGAGTGAGACAGTAACTGTCTCCTGTCCCTCATCACTAAGACAGACACAAAGGGAATGGATGTGCGCGTGGGGAGCAATGTTAATGGTAGCAGTGATGTGAATGATAATGAGCCAGTGTTAGGAGACGATCTGAACTTTAACTGGCTTTAGGGATGGTTTTGTAGTCCGTTAGGTGACAATATCCGTGTAGGATGAGCTCTTTAAAACGAAAGAATATCTCAAATATGTACAGTTCTATCAGAGCCTGCCCGTCATTCATCACCACAGTAAAAAAAGCTCCCCCTCTGGAGTATAAGATACCCCGCTGAGCCGTTTCCCAGTCTGCTCTTTATGGTGACATAGAGCCCTCTGCTTGACCTTTTGCAAAGGACCTTCTGCGCACAACTGTACCTGCTTTGTGTCAAGCCTTACGATTTAACCCCCTAATAATAATTTGAAATTCCATGCGTATTAACTAGCATATAGGCGCTCACTCCTCTCGTTCCATGTGACCGAGGGCCTCTGTGCATTTCTTGATGGCATTCAAAGTGTTGACCAATATCTGTAGGCCAGCCCAAGCGAGCATTCATGCACAGAAGAACATTATTGCCCATAGTCTTTGTGTTCTCAACCCGTGACATGTGCAGTTCTAGGGCCCTTGTCAATCTTAGCCCACACAATTGGTACGGAAACAAAGGAATAATTCTGAATGTGACAAGCTGTTCTGACTCTTTAGATGACGTAGGATGAATATGCAGCACACTCTAACTAAAGGTTTTAATTTCTGCACAGGGCCGATAAACGACCTCACCTTTTTGCAGTAAGTCGATTACAACCTCATAGACAGTTTAAATTAGAAATGATAAGGTTTTTTTATTTGTTTTCAAATGTCCAGACAGGGAGAGTCCAACAAAGAGGCTATCAAGATACATTGTGTGAATTGTAAAAAACAGCATTTTTGTAAGTAAAGTTAAAATGGAAGGTATCTTGGAGGCTTTCTGTGCAGAATGACCTCGTGGGATCAGGAGAGGGAAACAGTTCCTCTCAGCGAATGTCAACACACTTTTCAACAACCTCCAGTATTGTCGCTGCTTGGTGCCCTCAAAAGGGTTTTCTTCTTTTTTTTTCTCTTTCACAGTTGCTCAAGAAAATATTTTGCAAATTGAAAAGGAACATAAATACCTGCTGAAATCTATGACCTGTTATACAAACATTTTCTGAGGTTATCTGAGGGAGTGAAAGCGATATGTTACAAAAAGTGTGGTAGGATCTTTACATTTAAACAATTTTCCACTGAACCTTTCTTTTAAATCTTACTAATGAATTCGCTGTATGCATAATAAATGATTCAAATTAAAATGCAGAGGGATACTCGTGTATGGATTTGCATTTAGCTACCTCATGCCGCTCCCCAATTCAAAAACAGAGAATCAGAGAATCTAAATGAACCAAAAACGTATGTTTCCAACTACTATGATTGTTTTGATTTCATTTTCTCAACACCGGTACAGTATTATGTTTTCTTCTCGGCTGCTGCGGCTTTGGCCCTTTCCACCTTGCCCTTCTCTCCCTGGAAGAAGTCTGACTCGATCCAGTTTGAGCACTGGGAGAGCATGACATAGACATCCCCGTTGCTCTCAGTGACAGTGTGGATCCGCTGCTTCACGCCTTTGGAGTACCATCTGCGCACAGGCTTTTCTTCCGTGGGGTCCCTGGCCTTGTACAGGCCCTCCCCTTCTGCAAGAGAGATCTTGTACTTGTGGTTCGGACAAATTATGCACAGCTTGCCAGCAATTTCCTGTGAGTGTGTTGAAAGAAAGCAGGTAAACAAGCTGGCAGGGGATGAGTGTAGGTCATTTAGTCTCTTCAATATTAGCATAACATTAGTTTAATGTTATGCAGGCTGGGTATCTTAATTACAGCGTGTTTCTCTGCCTCAGCACAGGGTTGCAGTATACATTGAGTAGCCTGTGAAGCACGTATGTGGCAACTAAACACAAAAGTACAGTACTTTGACTTTAATTGTTGTTATTTTTGTTTGCTGTGCTCTAGACCAGACACAATGTCTTATGTCAAAAGTAATGCTCACCTCAATGTCTCCATTCTGCAGTTGTCCCCCAGCATCTGTCGAGTGGGTAAAGCATCAATGTAAGCTGACCGTTTAAAGCCCGCACTTTAAAATATATATATATATATATATATATATATATATATATATATATATATAAAGGTGATAAGCCCCAGCGCAAACAGACAAGAACACATGTTGTTGAATGAACAGGCATTTTTATACTTTTAAAACTAAAGCATAATGGTTGCGCTTTCCCTCTCTCAGAAGCGGCAACTGTTTTGAGAGGAAATTCACTCACGATAGCAGTACGAGTCAACAGCATAGAAGACGCTCTGGTGGTGGATGATCAGTATGTCCCGACCCTCTAGTGTTCTGAATGAGCGCTTTGCTTCAATCAGTTCTTCCTTCTTCCCCACAAAATGAGGCACTCCCGTTGGCGGCATCTTCTCCTCCATGGCCCTGTGAAATGATGCTTAGAAAGCCAATACTGTATACAAAAAAAATATACCAATTCAGTATTTGATCCAAATGAACTATTTTCTTTTCTTTCTAAGAATCTAGTGTGTGTCTCATTTGCACCCGTTTAACCATTGAGAGAACATATAAATATGTTATATAAACTAAACGGAGCCTGATCCTTTAGTTGAGCAAAATGAAATTGTATCCATCCAAAGTTGAACGATTATTCTCTAAATACCAAATAGCAGACCAGTCAAGTGCCTGATGATTGCAACATGTATGATGCACATTCATTTCATTATTTTACAAAAGCATTGGTCATCTGGAGGCTAAAGTCCAACATCCATGTGTGATCTCTGTGACAGTCAGTACACATGAAAAATAATAAATAGATGGAGGGGAACTTGAACCCAAGTGTGATTCCTGTATAGTGGAGTGGAATAATCAGCACTTTAGTGAAGGCTGAGTAAGCACAGTCGTAGTGGCAGCAAAAGTCACACATCCTGAGGCATTTAGCTAAACTACATGCAGCTACACGCTAAGAATGAAGCAAAAACAAGAAACTTCTTTATGTCAGGACAAAATACAAGCCCCAAGTGACTGTGGGATAAATTCCTACAAATCTATTGAAATTACGTTGTGTTTATGCAATCCCATCTGTCAGTCTGACTGTGCCTCTCCCCATATATTTTTTATATGAGAATAACAATACATGTATTCTTAAGTTTTAAGTTTTACGTTACCTTGAAACTCTTAGCAGCAATGTCTCCTCTGTGAAGTTGGATAACTGTACTGCTGACAGCTCGGCTTGTGTGGTAAGGTGGGCCCATCTCTATTATCTTCTGGCACAAGCTGCGTTCCCATGGTCCTATCTACATTGTGTGTAGGTACATTTCTTATCTGTCTCCCACAGGCATAACAGCATTTTTACTAATCACAAGATAAATAATGTTACTCTATTTAAAGACCAGTGAAGCTAGGGAATATTATTATTAATGTGTTTCCTCTATTACCATCGTAGCGACCAATTTTTTTACATGGTAAATTTACAATTAATTTATGAAATTGTTATTATAGATGCACACACCCAACACAACCAACATTATTTACAGTGAATACAACTATATGTGTTGCACAACAATAACAGTGATATTGAACAAAGTGATCCTCTTTTAATAACTTATAGTGTTACATATTAACCATATAGCATTACAAGATATTACATCTTGATAAGGAGTCCTTTTGTTTTTCATTTTATGTATTTCTAATGCCTCTTTTATTACCATTAAGAAAGTAGCAACAAGCGGAACGTTTCATAACCAGCGTCAAAGAGGCTCGGAATCATTTTATAGAGCACCACGCCACACTGATCGCAGCACGGCGACAGCTGACAAACCGCTCCCTTTGTTTTAAAATTAAGTAAGTAGCGACGCGTCGAAGCTATAGTTTGTGTTCGTAAAAGGTCAAATAGATCATTTTGAGCAAGGGTAGAAAAACAGACGGTATAACACACCGGTAAAAAGTCTCTAACGTTTGATATCTGAGCTGCATGAGCAACGTTAACGGTTGACGTTAGCTGCCTGAGCTAGCTAGTGACAGCAGTGCTAACAGAATAATTTTCATAAGTAAACAACCCAACGGTTGCTGCAGTGTTGGACGACAATCAGTGAAATCCGTAAGCTTTAGTGTGCACGCTTCCGGGTAACGTCTTTCAGTCTCAAGTGAGGCCAGTATGTTTACTGGATAACTGAACTTTAGACCAATACAATAATGGGAGCTGGGGAACTTGTATAGTATTTTCCATGTGCTTGTACCCCCATACTACTAGAGATTCTATCTATTCTTTGACAGTTAGCCTTAGATATTACCATCATCGCAATGACTTTGTCTTGTAACCATGTTGTAGTCCAAGTCAATGTAACCATTCACTCTCAGAAGTGCATTTCCTTGATTAACCTGAGTTTAGTTCTGATGTACATGTGACTCGACTGCCCACATGCGATGCTAAATGTGCTGTGTGTGAATTTGTTAGATCAGGGAGATGGCGCTGCGTGCTTGTGGCTTCATAGTGTTTCGTCGTCTGGCCGTCGTGCCTCCACCAGACAACATTGAGTACCTCCTCTTGCAGACCTCTTATGGGGAGCACCACTGGACGCCACCCAAAGGTGTTTACGAATTCCCCTCATATAGCATGAAATGTTCTTTGTCCCAGTTGTAGATAATCTGTAATCTGACCCCTCCAGGCCATGTGGATCCAGGTGAGGAAGACCTCATCACAGCTCTGAGGGAGACCAAGGAGGAGGCCGGGTTGGGGGCGGAGCAGTTGCAGGTGCTTGACGGCTTTGTGCAAGAGCTGCGCTACGAGGTGCGAGGCCGACCCAAAGAAGTGCTGTACTGGCTGGCCGAGCTGAGGGACCCAGGGACAGCGGTGACGTTGTCTGACGAGCACCAGGACTACCGCTGGGCCCGCGTGGAGGAGGCGTGCACTTTGGCTCAGTACAAAGACTTGCAGGACACACTGAGAGCCGCACACAGACACCTGGAGGCTGACCTGGACAAACAGCAATGAACCAGGATGTAGACTGTGCACAGGGGAAGAATAAAGCAGGGGGAAGCTGAAGAGGTGGTAGATCACCCAATTGGACAGTGTCTACAATTTATTTGATTTTCCAACTGTCAGATTGAAATACTGTTGCATTAAGCACTTTTCTCTACTTAATAATTAAAGGCGTAATGGATCACCTTCTGTCAAGACAAAAGGTCACTAGGTGAGTAACTAATCAATGCTTGAAAACTGATTTGATGTTAGTCACTGCGAACAACCATAAACATTTTATTTCCTTGGAAGTCATGTGTAATTACATATATAAATATCTTTGTCAATAAAATAAAACACAAAAGTTTGTAACGGAGAAAATAAAGGAGATGGACAGCCACTTAATATTGCCTAGTACTCTGTGAAGCAGAGTTTGTGTACCTGGATATTTATAAAACTAATTTATTATATGAAAAGGATATATACACAAGGGGAATTCATAACTTTAAAAAAAGTACAAAGAAACGCTTAAAAGAAATGATCAAATTCAGCTGCGAGCAGTAGATGATGCCACTTGGTGGCGACAAAACCGAGACGTTATGGTGATAATTTGCCACCATGGACTACAAGTACCGGAGGCAGCGGGAATACAGAATTTACTCATTGTCTTGCTTCTTTACTGACAAGCTCATTTAAAAATTAGATAATAAAAAAATGGCACGCATACATCTAATCCAAAAGGCTTGTTCTGTCACAAGCAAATGGGGAAAGTCTAGTGGGACTTAACTGGGACGAACTTAACCCCTTGTTACTGGCACATTGTACTTTACACGGGGATGTTGTGCTCTCAACATGCTGCAGGATCACCAGCCTCTGCTGAAGGTTTGAAATAAGAACTATTAGAGAAACAATTCTGTTCGTGCAACTCACCAAGCTGAGTGGAAGCGCTCACTTCAGTTAGCTTCTATTTGTCTTCTGGGTATTTTAAGAGGACACAGCAGTAAACTTGAGGTCAGTGAAGCAGCCTTTCTACTTTCATAAGGCATGCACAGTCTACTGTAAAGTAACACTGAAGTACTGCTACGTTGGGAATATTTTCCCACTGCAACATTGTAGTTTAAGTTTCATCACAATATAAAGAAACACCTCAACATCTTCTCTATGCATTTAGGTGTAATTAATATGGTTGTACAACCTTTTAAGTGTCAGTTTACCATGAGAAAAGACTCCTGCACCACCTGTAGTATTCAGCAATATGAATAGTTTGAACTTTAAAGATTTATATTTCCAGTACAGTTTTGAAGGAGATTATGGAATTCTGTTTGTGGTGCTCAAAGGATTAAAAGAAAACATTGAACAGCAACGCAACTTCCCCAGAACCTTTTCGCACTGTCAAAAGATTTCATGGTATCTATTTGTATAACACGAGTTGCTGAAGGATAAAACAAAAAAAAAAGGAAATTTATTCCAGTGCAGTGATCACAAGAAATAAAGTTCTTTTCAAATCAATTGTATCAGAGTGCAGACAGAAAGCTCTGATAACAAAATGTGGGCAAATTAAACAAATATGCAAATACCACAGTATATTTTGTGTAATTTGGGTGAACCAGCACTTTGAGCATATAATACACCACAGAACTCATTATCCATGCAGCTTGTGGTGATCAGTTCTCAGTAGCAGAATAAATGGAAACCTTTTAACAGGCTTCAACGGCATACTGTTTTATTTTGAATGATTCCCCAAGTTACCCCCCAAAAAACAGTGTATCACCATTTGCATATCATTCCTATTTCTACTCCAAAAACCAAAACACCGTGGGCTTAGCAAAAGATATCAAAGCTGTGCTGCAAACAAACCCGACAACGTGTATTTCTTTGCAATAGAAACTTTATGTGTGACATTTGCATCCTCACAAACACAAAATGATGAGTAAAATTGCATTAAATCAAAGAAAAGAAACAGCAAGAACAGCATTAATATCAGTATTCTGGACACTATTCTGGTCGGTATAGCGTGTGTGACCATGCAATTTAATCCACACTTCAAAAACATACTTGCACACACATGCTCCCACACCCAGATTAAACAAACTAAATGATGTCATTCAGGCGTTCCTATGTAGCTGTGTGTACGCATAAGTATCTCATATCCGCAGACTGCAGTCCTTTTAAGTGCGTCATTTCTTAGGTCTACGCAATATATTAAAGTAAAAATGGAGCAGGATTTTATGTTTGTAGAGCTTTTAACTCGTCATTGAAGTGCTCTGACAAGGGCACCGCTACGCCTCAACTTCCTTTTCAATTCTTAAAATGCTGATTTCTAAATTCGTGATGGAAAGACATTGTTCAAATAAAGCAGTTGATTTTATTTGAGAGAATAATAATAATCTGCTTTATTGCCTAGAGTTAACTCTGTCAGTCCGTCATGTGCCTGTTAAGTGTTTTAATGCCAGCAGCTGGTTAGTTTAGCACAAAGACTGGAAATAAAAGGAAACACTTAGACCTGCTCAATTCTAAGGTAAACTACAGGAAGTAACTTTTCCAGTATATAACCACAGCCTGTCCCCTTTATATTTAATTGTTTTGATGTTGCATTTTCATTAGTGAGCTTGAAGGAGTTTCACCTGTTCCAGGTCCAATTGGACCATTTTGGGATACAGGCAATTGTTTGTTTTCTAGCAAGGAGTTTGACGAGAAGATTTACATGACTTTTATGTCAATCCATTAAATACTAAGCTACAGCAGACTGAGCTAAACTTAGCATAAAGCCTGTAAACAGGAAACAGCTGGCCTGTATTTGTACTAGGCTGCCAAAGAGCCTCCCAGCACCTCTAAAACTCACTCAATAAGACTTTACATCTTGTTTATCTAATCCGTACAAAACTCTGAGGGGGAAAGCAACAATTTGTTGCAACATTTGTTGCAAATTTCGTCCTGTCCAGACATGTAGAAAAGGGGAGTATCGGTTGCCCTTTGGTGGACTATTTCTTTGCCAGTAAGTCGCTCAGAGAAGTTACTACGAAATACTTCAACTCGACCTCAGTAAGACATCAAATACACATTTTTATACAAAGGGTTTTGTATAGATTAAACCAGTGCTGTTGTCGTCACAAGACATTTTTAGCTGACTAGTCAATTAGTTGATTTAATAGATCTGAAAAACGGGAGTTTCTCAACAAACCACTTGCAATCACGTGGTTACTGGAGATGTGCTCATGTGTTTCCTGGAAATAAAATTATTCAGCATGAAAAAAAAAGAAGCAAATACTCATTGTCAAAGAAAATCTTTGTCGAGTAGAATCACAGATTAGGGTCAACCTCAGATTGAACAAACAAGATATAGGTAGACAGAGCCAAACTAACCGTTTCCCCCACGTCGTGTCCTTGTGCAAAGCTGAGCTAAACGGTGTCGGTAGTTTTATTTGAATGCATTAGTGATATAGATCTCATCTCTGCCACAAAGTAAATTAATATTTGTGTCAGACTAGTCCCTTAGCAGATACCTAGAGTATTGGTAGATTTCCTTTCTATAACTTTATTTCATGTCTATGTGGTCAGGGATGAGCAAAATAATGTGGAACCCCATCGAGATACGGTCAGAACTTTCAGCCCTCCGGTTGTGCCTTGATATAAATCCATTCAAGATCCGGCACAGGAATGGAGTTCCTCTCCCCGTCCACACCAGAATCCAGTCTCTGTGGGCCTCCAAAGCACTGGGCCAGGCGGACATTCTTCCCTCCTCTGGCTTCACATTAAAATCCAAAAAAGGTATCTCATACAGAGTTAATTCAAGCATTGAATCCACCACATGCAGCCATTGCTCCAAAGTCTTCGAAATGAACAATTCTGGGGCTGTTCTTTCCTTGGCATAAAATCCATCCATTTGAATCAACTGTTTGTGCAGTGATCTGTTGAGTTAAAAAGGGCAACAGATTCCTGCCTCCAACCATAAAAGCACAACCCTAATGGTTTGCTTGATGCCGCAAAAGTAGTAATAGTCCCATTATGTTCAGTTTCTCCCAACATTTAATAGGAGTGTTTTTTTATTATTTTTATTAGTCAAATCCTCTGCCAGATCAGTCTTCACCAGAAAACAATGTTTGCTCAGCTAGGAAAAAGTCCAAAAGGTCACCTGGGCAAACTCACTGGTGTGCACCCGTTCCATTCAAGAGACACAAAACCCCGGACATTGTAGTCAATAGATGAGCAGTAAATGTAAAGATCCACACACACACACACACAACAGACAATCAGTGTCATATTCATTTAAATAAAAACGTGTCACTAAGCTGCATGTCGAATTTGTTCCTGTCGATAAACGGACTGGATCGAAATGGATTGGGTGTAGAACAGTAACTGCGTCCAATTTTCACAAAGTAGCATTCAAGCTAGAGTTGGGTCGAAAAACAGAACATTTTGCATTATGTATTTCAAGCAAAGCATTTTTCTTGAAGTGAAAGTCCCCACAGGTGCTTTCCGATTCTTTCGATCAGACTCAAGCGGACTAAGACCACATAAACTCAAAAGGACCATAATTAAGACCAACAGCAACACTCAGTCTTGTGTAAACATGCTGACGGTGGGTTTAGGAGACTTTTAGTTCACTCCCTGCCCTCTAAAAACACCCAGGGATAAAGAAGATATACGAAGACGACGTGGAAGTGAGGAGCAGTGTGTGTGTGTGTGTATGATGTTTCTTTTTTTCTCTCTCGGCAAAAGTCTATGGAGGCCCTGAGGTTTAAGAGGCAGGCAGAGGTGCAGGAGGCGACACAAGAAATGGTACTTTCAGGGATCACGAGGGCGCAGCCGTAATGGACACTTCTGAGCGGGCGTTTGCCAGTTTAGATTGACTGCATCAGTCCAACAGACGGGCGTGTAAGGGGCAGAGATTGTATGCCAGAAGACACACTGATGGAAAATGACAGGACAAGTTGGGCCAGCTCATCGACTGGTTAATGAGCCAAGCAGCAAAGCGTCCGTCGGCCAGGTCGTCTGAGGCCCCCTCCCAGAAAAAAAAAAAAAAAGCAGGAGAGTACAGAATGTCTACCGACGAAACTAAAGAAGTCGCCGCAAAAAGCAAAGACAAGGTGGAAGGAGACAATGTTTAAACAGAAAACAGCAGACAATGTGACGCGGACTAGTCAGAAAAGGTGCAGGCCGGTTAAGGTGGGCTCCAGGGACCACCGCGGAGACAGCTTGTTTCCATCGTTTATCAAGAGCTTGGAGTCAATTTGTTTACTTTTTAAATCTTTGGGAAATGCGTGTATGTGATTAAAGTACTTGTAGGTTTACCTCGTCATGGAAGAATGTACGTTCCTAGAAAATTTCAATGATTAGGATTTTTAAATGACAAATTAATGGTTGCCACCATTAATGCACGGTCAGGATAAAATGGATGGTATTAAAAGGCTGGAAATCCTTTCACAAAATGGAGTTATTGTCACCCGGAGGACAAGATGGAACTGGAGATGGCACTGTGGTTTAAAGCAAACCTTTTCATGCATCGGCATCCGAGACGCAAAGCCTACAAAGAAAACAAATTCCTGACAAAACTACAGTTAAAAGACCGACAAACTGTGGCAGTTAAACTACTTCTTTAATGGCAAAACAAAATCTGATTGGTTTAGCGTAGACTGAATGCAATTCTAAAATCGACGCCCAAGAAAATAAACGGCAAAAAGAAAAAAAAAAAGAAAAAAAAGTCATGGTTGCAACCAAACAACTCACACAGCGGTCCACGAGGAGCGGGTTGCATGAGCGCGAGAACTCCAGGGAATTGAAGGGACGGTGGTGGAAATATTCAGGTGTGGGGATGCTTTGCCTTGCCGGGTGAGGGGGGTGGGGGGGTGGGGGGGGTCTCTCAAACTGTGCTGGAATAATTTCTCATAACACCTGATGCCAGACGAAGTGCAAGCTGTAATTAAGGCAAACGGTGGAAACACACAAATTCTGACTACAACTATTGTTTGACCGACCATTTGTAGTAGTTTAATAAATGATGAAACGTGTTTTTTGGCAGTTTACTTTTCACCCCGCTGTATGTGCATACACACACACACCGAAAATTGTAACGCAACACATAAAAGTAGGGTGGTGGTGGTGGTGGGGGTTGGTGGGGGGGCGGGGTTCAGGGAGGCGTTATCATCCAGGTCATCATGAGTCTTCGTTGCCAGAGTCGTCCTGGTTGTCGTAACGCCTGGTTGACGTCCCGCCGTCCTCCGTGGGGCTGAGGCCCCCGGCCTCGCCCACCGACTCCATCTCGCTCTCGTCCTCCTCCTCGTCCTCCTCCTCCATGTCGTCGTCGTAGAGGTCGTCGTAGAGGAGGTCCGAGCTGCTGTCCTGGGAGGGGACCCTGGTCTGGACGCAGTACTCCGCCAACGTGGTCGGCACCTTGACGCCGTCGCGCTCCGCCTCTGCCACCGTTGACATCACCTGCTTCCTGTGGGCCGAACGGAATTACACTCAAGGTCGGTGCGCAGCGCTACTTCTGCGTGGTCGGTTCTCAAACTTTTGTCGGGCCCGAGGTCGGATTACCAATTATTGTGGATCACCTGATAATCTCTGCATACTCCTTGTCCTTGCCTTTGCTGTCCCTCCATTTGCGGAACATGACGGATGCATCCACGTTAGCCGGGGAGAAGGTGTTGGGCTCATTGAGCAGGGAGATCACGCTCAGCAGGATAGTCCTGATTAGCACAGAAACACACGCATAATGTTTTCAGACAAACGTGGAAAGAACTCCCCCGTAGCTTTCTTCATTTCCCTTTTTTCAGGGGAATGACATGACTTGCGACACAAGTATGTGGCCAGATTTGAACCACAGTTGTTGTAGTTTTGTGAGACGACGCCTTGAATATCAATAGTAATATGGACTTGAGTGTAATATGGTGCATTATTACAGAGCATGAATTTGTATTACATGTATTTTTTTAATTTTTTTTTACATGAAACAAGTGCACAAATGTCCACATTATATTTAGCAAGGTTATAGAAGTATTGCATGCCTGTGTGATCAAATGCATTAAAGTGCACGAGGTTCTTGTGGTAGACGTTACCTGACATTCTGGGTGGGGTTCCACCTTTCAGAGGGCAGCTCCCCGCTCTGAGGGTCGTCGACAGGTGGGTGCAGGATGGAGATGCACACATCTCCGTTCTGCAAAGAGAACAAACCGCACTATTCAACATCGGTCAAGGCGACATGAGGGTGTCTACATGTAGCCTCTAAATGGCGCCGTTTAAATATAAACACCAAACTGGCATGATGAGGGCTAAAATGATTTGGTGTAAAAAGTAAAATGAGAGAAACACTTTACCTCATAAATGTTGGGGTGCCACATCTTGGTGAGGAAGCGGAAGGTTGGTGGGGAGTACGGGTAGTCCACAGGGAACTTGATGTGAGCCTGGGAGAACAATCGGGTTTTCAGTCCACACATATTTCACCAGGCTTGACTCCTTTCGTGCTACGTTTAAGCTTGAGGGTGAGGCGGCCCGAAGGGGGATGGGAGATGATGTTTGGGATACCGGCGTGACGCGTGGATGTGTTGAACGTGGTGGGGAATGAACAAATAACTTGTCGGTTTGCAACAAGACCAATAAAGGTCTTCCTTTAGGTCTCCTCTAACAAAAATGACTCGAAACAACTTGACTCGGCGAAGGTTGTGCAGGTCTCTCAAGGAGATATAAAATCATATTAACTTGTATAATGCAGATACCAGAACGGTGAAGAACTGCTACTTCGAGGTGGATCTTGATGATGAACTCAATCTGTCCACACTGGAGTGAGATGAGAAATGGGATTCTGTTCTCTGCTTCAAGTTTATCTGTAATGTTGTTGTAGTGTTCCACCATAAAATAACACCCAGTACCCTTGTATTTGAAATTAGGTTGGCCATTCAAATGTATGATCTAGGTACACTCACACCCCGAAGCGGTTGTCTCATACGTCAGTAATTTTAAATGAACATCAATGGAGTCAGGCGTTAGATCTCACAACAGTTGGTGCTTCGATATCGGATGGGTCTATCGGGCCAAATACCAAATCAAATAGCTGGATCAGGTGACAACGGGCCAGTCGACTCAGTTCTATGTTTATGCCTTATACATTGGAATTTGAATTCCTGTTGAAGTTTTGTTGTTGTTGCATTAAAAAGCTTTTATACTTCTATACCTTATGTTTCTTTCCAATTTGCTGGCATACAATGTATTACTTCAATACTAAATAACCATTCAGTACATTTATATCTAAGTATCATTTGTTAAATTGTATTTTACAGCAACAAATAGCAATGGCTAACTGAAGCCTAAAATTGCAATAAAAAGACTGATCCTAGTCACTTTGACACAATAAGGCACATGGTTGATGAATTAAATAGAACACTGGTATCGGATGTGTACTTGGTATCAGCCGGTACCAAAGCCCAGGTCTTAGAATCAGGACGGGCAAAGACAAAGACATGCATCTCTACTTCTGGTTTTCTTTCCATATTTCCCAATTATCTGGGTGAAAGGCATGTAGGCGTCGGTGTTTGTGTGCATGTGTGTGTGTGTGTAACACCACCCCGGCTCTCACTGAGCTGCTGGCCCTCAGATAGGACTATCAGTACTCCACAACTAGTCTCTACACATGAAAACACAGATGTCGTGACACGTGAGCTTCCATGTGGGGTTCAGCAGCAGGAACAAAGTTCAATTTTGACACAGGTTTACACAAATACTTCATCAATCCCTGCATGCACAAAACACACAACAGCCATTCCTGGCTGTAGTAGGGTGTAGGGTTTGGAAGTGTCTGCAGGCTAAATGTCACACGCCTCTTGTAAACACTTGCAGGTCAATTACAAACTCTAACTATGGCACCGGTTACATATCGGTCTGTTATTCTGTGTGCAGTTTCTTCTTTAAATGACTGCAAGGCTTCAGGCTCGAAGCTGTGATAAAAACACACATGAGGCAAAGTTATATGAACACAATTGCTGTGACTTAATGGACAACCGGATAACCCGGCCAAGGCAAAGCCTAACGCAATCAATGATGGCAGCAACACTCGCTTCTCTGTAATAGTTCGGCATTCCTGGAAGATTACGGCATCACCGCAACACACTTTGAGAAGTTTCACTGAATAGGTAACATGAAAGACGGGAGGTTGAGTCTCATCGTGCCCCTTTCTTACTCTTTCTGTGCTGAGGTGCAATTTATATCGGTCTCATAGTTAAAAATAGCCGTCTGAAGCACAGCCATCATAAGGGGAGAAGGCTGGACAAGCAGGATCAAGGTGGGGGGAGAAAGACTAAAAATGGAAGCCACAGCTATCTGCTAAGAGAATAAAAATCCTAATAAAAGCAGGAGGGAGCAGAAAGTAGTGACTCAGTAAAAGCGAGCTAGGTCACCGCTGCATTATAGTTTAAAAAAATGCTATAACCATTGTGATACCTGCTCGGACGCTTCAAACAGAGTCCCTGTCACTACTGCCGCGCTGATTTTCTAAGTAGCAGCAATCTCCTGGATACTTACACTCGAGAACACAATTGTCCCGTGTGAAAATGTAAATGAACTTTCCTCCCCCACGGGTTGACACTGTACCAGCATTGGCATTTCTCCGTATGGAACTCATCATAGTATTAGGTGCATTGGGCTGCTAACATCCAACGCCTTGCTCAGGGGCCTCTCACCAGCTAGCAGTGGACACACACCCCGTATTTGGTCCCCGCGGGGACACAAGCCACGTCCACATCGCGCCCAGTACGCATGTGCATCCTTCTTCGGCTGATTACGGAATTACCTACCGAAGAGTGTGTCTCCCCCATCTCAACAAGACGCCATGTGTCGACTGCCCCCCAACCCCAACCCTCCCTCCTGCTATTAGAAAAGTTGTGTCGTACCTTGAAGTAGCCTCCCTCATAAAGGGTGTTCGGGGGCCCGAAGATGGCAACTTCCCAGTTGTAGAGGTCAGACTCCTCAACCAGAGTGATGCGGAAGCCTTCGACCGGCTGCTCCTGCAGAGACTTCAGCTCCATCATCAGGGCCTTCTGGGAACTAGGGGTCGCCTGGTGGGCCATGTTGATCACACTTCTGACACCAGCGGCCACAAACCAGTGAAGCAGAGGGGGGGGATCATGGGATCAATGATACTGTCAGGATCCTTCTCGAATCTTAAGTTGTCGTTTTTTTACATTTTATAGTTACAATTTACTCCGCGTGAAACCACCAACAATAGATAATGGACCAAAGAAACCGCGAACAGCTGAGCGTGCCGCGGCTTAAACTGACCGCCACATGGAGAAATCAAACTCAAACAGGATTTGTGGCCTTTCGCGCTAGCTCCACTCGGGGCTTTAGTTCGCGGGGCCTTGACGGGGAAATGCAAAAGTTCTTACCAAAAAAAAAAAGTGTGTTTACCTCTGTCTCCTTTGCACTGTGACGCGTACTCGTATCGTTACAGGTGAAAACCGGAAGGTAACGTTGCGCTCATTGGTCGTCCATGCTAGCCTGCGCGTGTCTCGACAAACATACGGCTGCTCTGCTCAACGGCTCGTCCTCGCGCGGTGCTTCGGAAATTCTTTGTGTGCCCGCGTTTGACAGTTGACATGGAGCTGTGGAATCAGCGTAAAGTCACGGCGTCCCCGCGGATCATTCTCGGGCCCGGAAGAAGAAGAGAGCCTCTCTCCCTGCCATCGCTCCCCCGTGCGGCTGGTTCGGTTCAGAGGGGCGCTCAGCTGATCCCTGCTTGTTTTGTGTTTGTTTATCTGCCCCCTGGCAGTCTCAACTTCTCCACACGTCAGCTAACGCTAAACCCGCAGCGAGCAACTCCGTTCAATCGCTCTCTCTCTCTCTCGGCTCTCTCGGGCGGATCGGTTTGCGCTCACCGTCGCGAAAAAGAAAAGGAGGGTGAAGGTTTATACTCGCGAATTAACAGCGGATTTCATCGATTTTTATTTTCCTCCCATCGGTGCTTCCGGCTATCAGTGCGCGCGTCCGCAAAACGTGCAGCACGTACGGGTCTGACCGTGACGTGCGCGCACTCGACGCTAGATCCCGAATTATTATGGTGAAAATAAATAGCTTTTGGTTTACTATAATAGCCATAAAAAGGACTTTCTAAAGGTATGGATCCAAAATAATCCTCAAAACAGCTCAATTATACCTTTAATTTCACTTTATTATTCAAGGGTGGCATATCGAATCGTCCTAATTAGGAAGTCAAACATGTCCTTATTGTGTACTTTATTAGATTGTAAATAATGTAGGCCTCTACTAAATGGAAATTATTTTCATTGCTGTTGAGAATTTATGGAAAAGTGGATTAACAATGAACACATGCTGTTTTCACTATTACTTTGTCTTTATCAGTTCTGAAAACAATTAGTTTCATACTTAACATGTATCTTGATGGCTCCGGATATTGAAAAATCTGATTAAAACAAGCTCCAGCTAAATTTTAACATAACAAGCACCGTGGGAAACCATGGGCTGAGGATAATTAGCCGACATTAAAGGGCCACATAAATACGTATGAAAGGCAATGTAATAAACAATACGACTTTTTAAATTATTGAGTCCCATCACTTTGATTGAATCTAACTTCTTTTTTCATTGGCATTTCGTTTGGATTTGTTTAAATAGACCCAATTATTATTTTCTATTATTGTTGTCCAGCCAAGTTTTGGCATTCAAAATGTTTTTTTCTTTCTTCCTTTGATAAATCAAATTCAAAGAGGTGAACATTGTATTAGTTCTTGCTGAACTAATACAATGTACTCTAAAACCAACACTTCGTAACGATGAGAAGCAATGTTTTCGCTTCCACCGCTTTTACAAACAGCACCCATCAGCTACCACCATTGCCTCTACAGCTGCATGTAACGTTGCGATGTTCTGACGTCACGTAGGTGAGTGACGTCAGACAGGAACCAGTCGGAGGAATCAAGATGGCGTCCCACGCTGAAGCAGGAAAGAGATTTCACCATAAATAAAACTCTTTCTGAGAATAGTTTACATTTGAGTGCCATTCCGGCAAGACATCGTTTGGATTTCGAAAAAAACAGGCCGGAGCAGATACAGGTGAGGGGCGTCCGCGGTTCTATCTGAGCTCAGTTGTGTTTCAGGGGCGGTGGCAGCAGAGACAGCGGTCCGTCTGAATAGCCACATAATATTACAGCCAGGCCACTGGCGAAGCTACGCGTATTATCACGAACACTAGCTTTTCGACCCCAAAACCTTGTCCAGTGGCTGTTTGGTTGATTAATTCATTGGACCCACTATTGTCATATGATACTTCTTAGCCAAACTGTCACTTACGTTGAGTGTTAGCTGTTAGCGCTATTGAGCTGTTGAGCTAAAGTGCTAGGAGTGACAATAGTGATGACAGCTTAGCTTGTTGCTAATTAACACTGTTACAACTTTAGTAACACGACTTAGTGAACATACGTTATCGTACGTGGTTGTTCCCGCAAAGAGACAGCTGGGCGCTCTGCCATCCGTTTTAAGACATAATGTTTCTTTCTTGAACCTTCTGATAAATAACAGCCACTGCGATCCTTTCGTTAACGTTTTAAGTTTGAGGCATTTGTGATCACACTTAGCTAGCTAGCTAGCTGGCTAAAACGACTACTCTGGTGTGCGGTTGTGTTTGTACTCTCACCTGTTAAAATAGCTACGCAGAATATACAATTAATATGGGGTTTTTTTTGGCGTTATGTATAACGCTATTGTGCGCTATATGTAAAATATGTTCACAAACGTCGATGGTATTTAACGTCGCTGTCCTCAGATGAGAGAAATCTGATATCTCCCAATTTTCATGATCATATGATGCCCGTCACTATGATCGGTTGTGATTAGCCACAGAGTCTAGATTAAAGTTAAGTTTGATGCGGATCTATCGTTCAACTCAACGCTAGTCTTCAGATAAAAGTTGTGTGTTAAGTAGATGTGAACACTAACTTCTCTGTTGACAATGTCAGCAACTGTTTCAAGGCATGACCAAATAATGGGATTATGTGAAAGAAAGCGGTGGAATGCACAAAGCCAATGAGAAAGTAGAAGGAATTTGAAAAGAAAAAAAACCTTCCTCTGCCATGTGATGAAATGTCATTGCTTGCATGCTTTGATTAAAACGATTCTTAAGGACTAATTCCTGACCTTGGCAAAAATGTTGCACCGTACGTTGTTGATATATTGACTTTCCATGTAAATATTAACTCCATTTGACATTTATTTTTAAATAATTATCCTCAGTCACTAACTTTACACCTGGTCACCGCTCATGTCTGTTTTCAGAGTCTCTAAATGGCTGCGAGGAAGTCTGGATCAGATGCATACAACAATGGTAAAGCCCTATTTTGAATACTTTCATGTTTCACTGTTTGACAACACTGATCCTTTCTGCTGGTGCCTGCAACTCCACTCTGTTCTTCTAATATGTGCTTACTTTGTTTTGAAACTGTACGCAGGACCCATCAGCTACCTTGATGAAGTTCCCTTCAAGATCAATGATAAATTCCACTGCCCAGCCAAAGTGGGACTTCCTGTCGGTTTCTGTCTGCCAGACTGCAACTCTTTGCTGTTGGACTCGCAGGTAAGACAGACAAACTAAAAACGTGTTCTTGTGCACTAGTATGCATCTCGGCAGCATCCTCGCTGGGACTGTGCTGATGACCTACAATATTATGGCACTGGCGTTGAACACCAAGCACTGTAAATAGAGCGCTCTAAATAGACTGACACTTTAAATTAATTTCAGCAACCTCCATTTTTTTATTATGTTGTAATATCATGTGGCCCTTATACTCATACGTGTTCTTAAGGTGTATGTGTCTGTTTTTCCCTTCGCTCTATGTGCGCTCTTTTCCCATTTTACCCTCTTGCTCTGTCCTCTCAACAGTATGACTTTTCTCTGGAGAGACTTAGTGTGCGCTGGGGGGTTCAACTGGCTGAGGCCAGAGAAGCAGAAGCCAGAGCAGAAGAGGCCGCAGCCAAGCAGGAGGCAGAGAGCAGGGAGTGCTCGGCACAGGCCCAGGACATGGATGCTGGTGGTGGGAAGAGGCCCCGGTCAGCCGCAGATGACCAGGACCTTCTACCGCCAGCGTTGAACCCCGTTCTGGCAGGGCTGAGCCACAACGCCATCCTCACTCCATTGCCCGCACCAAGCCTTGGCCCCAGAAAAATCCAGCCCAGCACTCCCCAGCTGCACAGCCTCAACCTAGCTGACTTTGAGCGGGAAGAGGACCCCTTTGACAAGCTGGAGCTCAAAACTTTGGACGATAGGGAGGAGCTCAGGAACATCCTCCAGAGCCAACCCCAACCCCAACCCCAACCCCAAGCCCAACCCCAAGCCCAACCTCAATCTCCTCCCTCTGTGTCCCCGCCCGAGGTCCCCCCGACAGGCTCAGGGTCGCGTGGAAACAGCCCGTCTCCTCCCAGAATCAACACCAGCCAGGTGTCCAAATCTGGCTTTTCCCATAAACCCAATGGGTTAATTTCCTTGCTGGACATGGACAGAGTCGGGCACCCTGGTAGAACGGGGTTCGACACCGACGACCGGCCCTGTAACATCCGCTCTCTCACTTTCCCCAAGCTCTCTGACTCTGGTGACCCAGAGCCAGTGAGGTACAGCCCGCTCCCTGCTCCCCGACAGCAGCTGACCAATGGCAGCCCACCGGCTACACCCAAGACCCAAGTTATTATTGGCCCCGAGCCAACCAGCCACTCTAAGGGCGGCGCACCAAAACCGGTGAGCATGGAATTACATAGCGCCTGATTAATTGTGTGGAAAATTTTGGAATACTGATGTTGAAATCATGAATCTCATTGACATTTATGTCTTTGTTTCTCCAGGCCAACCCTGGGTCCGGGTCTGCTGGTCTGCCATGTGGTGGAGCGCTGCTCAGCATGACCCCCAGCGAGCGTCAGTGTGCGGAAACACTTGTAGGCATGGGCTACTCTTATGAAGGTGTCCTCCGGGCCATGCAGAGACAAGGGCAGAATGTGGAACAGGTGCGACACCATCTCGCCCCAATGCACAGCAATCTGGATTCATAGCATATTCATTCTGCAGAACAATTTGTTTTGTTTTGTGCTCGTGTAATATTGTTCAGTGCAGTACTTTTGTAAATATAGCATTAAAATAAAACCGTTTCATCACATTTGCCTGTTGTCTCTAAAATTAGAGAAAATAGATTTTTTTTATTTCTGTGACCTGTACAGGTCACACTACACAATATGACCGATGAAACCACTGCCGCATAATAGGGCAGTAGATGTGGGATGAAAAAAACACTGAATTTACACTACCTTTTTTCTTTTCTTTCTTTTTAAAAATAATGATCTAGCATTGGGCACCTCAAGCTTATAAGCTGTAAGGAGTAATCCGCATAAGCAGGAAGATACATCAACCCTAAACATTTTTGGATTGGAATCATTCATTCCTTTTATGGTTTCTGTTAATAAAGATGTGCTTATTATTTGTCTAAGGTGCTGGACTACCTGTTTGTCCATGGGCGCCTGTGTGATCGGGGCTTCGATGCAATTGCAGTGGAGGAATGTTTAGAGATGTATCAATGCTCAGAGGAAAAGGTCTGTACAATTTGCTGTTGGCTAACTATACACCTTAAGAGCCTGCATTGTTCATATGTTCTCATATCAAATAACTAAGTTTAGTCTTTGAAATGTGAATGACACACCAACATCTTTTGAGAATTACATAGATATAGTCTTTAAATCACATTACTACATTACTGTAATTGTATTTACATATTCCGCCCTTCCCAGGCTTTGCAGTTCCTTGAGCTAATGTCAAGATTTGGCGAAATGGGATTTCAGCGGGACGCCATCAAAGAGGTGCTGCTGGTCCACAACAACGATCAGGACAAGGCCCTCGAGGACCTGATGGCTCGGGCAGCAGCGAGCTGAACAAATCTAACCAGCCAACCAGAGCCCAACCCAGGGCTCGCCTCCCGCTACTACCCAACACAGCCCCTTTCCTTCTGCCCACCCTATCGCACTATGCCCTGCCCTCGCTTTGGCTGTGGAAGGGACAGCTGGGAGACGCTTATATTTCTCTCCGTGCTAAAACGTACCGCGTCCCAGCTCTTTTAAGAGCGTGTGCCCAGAGTGGGGTGGTTAAAAGGCTAACAATCTGGTGGCGGTGGGTTATTTTTCTGAAGAAATTCTGGGGTTAGTGTCCAGAATCTTTTTTTTTTTTTTCTACTGCAAAGTTGTACGAGAATGAGATGAATGACTGCGCTGGGATTGAGAAACTGGATAAAAAGACGGCCCGATTGGCTTCTTCTGGGAAGTTCACCTGTCTGTGGGGAAAAAACTGCAGGACCGAACGGGGAGCTGGTGACCTCACAGACCAATTTGAACTCCTGAAACTCCCAAACGTCTAAGCGGCCATCTTCCACTGCTTCGTGCCAACCTACTTAATGGCGGCGAGGATCGGGGGCTTGATGAGGCTCTCTTTAAACTGAACCAACTCAAATTAAAAGTACAAAAAAAAACAACTAAAAGAAGAAATCCAGACTGTCGCCAGACACCCGACTCTCAAGAAGTGCCCTCTCTGCTCTGGTGCCCCGCACCCACTACTTTATTCTTTCATTAATTCATGTCTGTTTATCTGTTCATTTGGGCGCTTTTTCATGTCTGCAAGATCCAATTCTGTTGATTTCCGTTATAGGAACGGCATAATATATCCTTAGTCATTATTACTTACTTACAATAAGCGATGCTATTGTCCCAGTGCGTTCTTCATTCTGCACTGGAAGGGCGTTTTAAAAGGAGTGGGGAGAAATCTGGAACTATTCAATAATCCACTGGCACTGATGTGTCACTAACAGCACACAGGCGTGCGCTCATGTTTTGTGATTATCATCTTGTTTAATAGCACACTGAAACTTTCATTTAAAAATAACTAATTTGATCTGATAATGTAAGATATGTCAACAGACGTGTAACTGTCAAGGACTTCTGTTTGCAGACTGGGGAAGAGTTTGGAAAAATAAAATGTAAGTGGGTTGTTTTTGCAGCCACGTTACAGTGCAATAGAGACATTTCACCTTGTGTTACTCTTGACTCAAGTAATTGTTGGGAAATAAATGTCAGACACATTTGGATGTGACTAGTATAGGTTTGATTACAGTGATCACTATCATTTATTCTGTTTTTGGGATTCATGCCACACAATCTATTCAAACATTTTGTGTGATATGAAGTGATGTTATCACATAAGGCAGGGTCATCTTGATTTTAGCTTTCTCTCCATTTCCACATCTTAATCTTAAAGTTACCAGAATTTGTCACCACAAGCTTAAAGCATTTCCTCTTATGTTAATTGGTTATAGTTTTTCAAAAGAATGCCGGGATCCTTCATTTTCATGGTGTGTGTCTGAGTTTTACAGTTTTACATAAATGTTTTTAAAAGCATGTCTGCTCAGTTACACCAAAGGTAAGGATGGCAGGTTCTTCCTGTAGTCTTGATTTCTGTGTTCGTGATAGAGACTGTGAGATGTGTGGTAGAAGATTAGGGATTCAAAGTCTGCTCAATGTGACTTGACAAAGTGGCACTTTGTTTGGGACCAGTCCAGTGCTTTGTTTCTCATGTTTCACAAATGCAAAGAAATACATTTTCTAAACACAAGTTTATTTTAGAACAACTCGTGGTTTCTAGAAAAACTATCGGATGGTTTATTTCCAAAACAGATCTAATTGTACCACGTATGGCAAATATACAGTACTGGTGGGGGAAAACAACACGACGCAGGCGAGGTGTCATGTTAGACGTAGCATCCTTTTTCCGAGCCAGCGTTTTGTCGGATGTGTGGTTGATGTGATCAACAAATAAGTATTTTTACCCAGTCTTTATTTGAGTTGCCTTCCCTTTTGATTTACTGTGAAAGAGAAGAAAGTTAAACTTTCTTTACAGGCAAACACACAAGTGGTATTATTGTCGCCTTACATAACTCATAGATGAGGGTTGGTTTCCACAATCGTATATAATTCCTGTTAAAGTTAATTTCCACTTGCCTCTCCTCTGACACACAAGTGGGAGTGAATGCAGTGCTGCTGGTTCTGGACCTCCTCCATCAATGCCTCCTCCACTTCTGTTACAATCTCCTTATTGTGGAGATGAATCGCAAGTAGGCTGTTATTAATTAGGGTATCATCAAGGGTTCATGCATCAGATCCATTTCTAAGTCGCAGCATAATTCAATATGTAATATCTCAATGGTATAATAAGAGTTGGCTGAGTTGAGTGTTCTTTCCCAAGCTCCTGAAATGTGATTTGCAAAATGTTTAATTTGCTCTTGAATGGTTCGGAAAATCCTCACAATTAAATGTGCATCTTTTTAGTGGTGAGACCGTTAATCGTTGCTGTTTATGATTTGATTTGATATAGGTTATTTTCTCATATGGTCATACCATAATATATGTTCTGGCATGAAGCTGATGAGAGAGCACAATGCATTTTATTCTCTCTGTTCGGTTTACTGCAACAATACAGATGAGTGTCAATCCAGGTATTGCCAACTAGAAACATCTAACTGTGCCCTAGTCAGCAGAATAAAACCTAGTTATCTATCAGAATAGACAACATATTTAGTCTGCCTGAGCTCAACAGGGTTAATAAACAGAATAACACAGCAATGTATAACGTCTGTTAGAGATGATCAGATCCTAGGTAGTGCCAAGTCATCCATGTGATTTCAGATTTCCATGTCAGCAAAGGTTTTTTTCTTATCTAAATAACGGCAACCTAACGACAAATCGGGGATGCTAAATATATGTAGAATTTAGAATATTAAGATGAAGGATTATTTCCCTTTAACCTTGGATTGTTGCTGCAATAAGTTCTTTGGGTTCACATTAACAAAAATACAAAACATATGAATAACATAGCCCAATAAATACTACTCATATATTCATATTTGAAGACTTTTAATAATCATAAAATAATACTCTTCTTTGACAAAGTTCACATTTAATATCTCACGGTATTATTGTATTACTTTATTGTATTTACTGAAAATAATATTAGAACAATAAAATATTACGATTACGAAAATCCCATATAGACATTTAAAGCCTACTTCGTTATAAGATAAATTGTTGAATTCCACAATATTCTTAAAATAGTATTGTCTCCAAACGAGGTGAAAACATCTGATCAATGATGTGACGCAGTTGGCGTGAACGAGCACGCATAACGCTCGCGTTCACGTACGACCTTGTTTTTGTTGATATTTAATTTGTGCGGCTGCGCGATGCTCGATGCTTTCGCCGTTGCTGACGCGACTTGGCAGGGGGAACATGAGAGTGTGGACCCTGTGGTAGTAGCTAGCGACGTTGTAGCAACCGAGAAAGGAGGAGGACGAGAGAACTACCACGAAGGAGTATAATAGGCAAGCTAATGGTAGCAGGTCAGCGGCAATCCTAATCGGCGACTAACCAACCTCTCCCGTATGTGATCGCCCTTGCTCGTCGCGGGACGCTGCCAGCGAGGGCCAAGGAGCGAAATAGCATATCGCCATTATATGATCCAGTGTCCAACGTCACTTTTACCCTCCATGTGGGTGAGGGAGCTGTGTGTATCAGATTATGGCGAGAAAAACAGTTAGCAGGAAAAGGAAGGCAGGAGAGCCCAAGGACCAACAACAGGTAGGCGGAAACTCGCCGCGGATCCGTATTAACTAGCGTTAGCTAGTCAGTTATATTAGCATGCTAGCTAGCATTTTGCTACTAAGTTTAGCTGATCAAAGCCATGGCAGACCGGTGATAACATTTTAACCAATTAACAATTATAATATATTAGACTAGATGGAAATAACACTCCCAAAACAATCACAACAGAGGCCCATTTAACGCTTTTCTGTTTGAATGTCAGCAACGTTAACCGTTAATGTTAGCGTGGCGATGTCCAAAGGGAGCCCGTTAAAAGACGACAGCTGGGTAAACGTTAGCCAAAGGGCTAGCTAACGTTACCGTACATTATTATTTCATTATGGTAACGTGTAAATAACATGTTCGTTGGTAGATACAATTGACAGCCCCTCGTCCTCATGGGTTCATCGATTGCCAACCTCTTATCAGTATCCCCAAAAACGACAATCCTCATTGAAAACTGCATTTGTGTTGCAGTATCCAATAATTTAGGCATAATGTTAGCCGTGCCTAGCTTTTGAGCTAACGTTAGCATAAACGTTAAAGCTAGCTAGCAGAGCTAATTTCCAAACAGACCAACCGTAGATCGGCATGTCAAAGAAGATGGAATGGACAACCGCTGAATTTAGTGACAACATTCGTCATCAGCAAGGACATCTTCTCTATCCAAGTGTCTGACACCGTAACATTGGCCTTACATTTCAAATGAATTCGCAGCATTACTATTTTTAGATTAAAGATGCTGGACGCGCTTCCTTTCTTGCATCGTATGTTGTCAAGATGTGTCAAGCATGTTGGGCCACCATCGTAAATCAGTATTATTCAAACACGTCAATAGACCTATTCTTCAGTCTATTATTTGCACACATCAGACACAACTGTCAAAGACCCCAAATAAACTAACAGCAGATCACACAACTGATTTTAAAATCCTGTTTGTGTTTTTACAGTTGCTATTGAGTGGGAATCATTAGGCCGGACGGTTAATAACCGAAACAAAATTACAAAGTGCTTCAAATTAATAATCAAAGGAAGTAATCACGGGCATAATAAAATTTAAAAATCCTGAATAAAAGAAAGATAAAGGATATTGCATTTGCCTTCTTGCATTATCAGGAAGGGAGTTCCACAGATTGGGGGCCTAGACTTCACAGGCCTTATGAATCTGCCACTGTAAGTACAGCCGTGTCTGAAGATCACAGGCAGCTGTCGAGCTCATAAAGAATCAGCAGAGCAGATACAAGAAGGAGCAAAGTCGTTCAAGGCTTAAAAAATTCAAATCTTAAAATGCGTTCTAAAATTCAGTTAACCAGTGATTGGCAGATGTTGTATGTTGCCTCTGGTATGTTTCTTAGGGACCCTTACGTTTTTTTTCAAAGGTTTAAGTACTTATTTAAGCAGCTTTAAAATTAATTACAACTCATCCATCTTCTACAGTGTGACTGGTGCGACTACAGTGTGTGAATGGTAGTTACTGATGGCAGGTGTCACTGTGTATGGTTCTCCTGTCATCAGTGTATGAATGGGTGTGAATGGGTGAATGATGTCATGTAGTGTTAAAGCGCTTTGAGTGGTCAGAAGACTAGAAAAGCGCTATACAAGTACAGGCCATTTACCATTTACTGCTGTGCTGTGAACCTACGGTTGTATATTGTGAGTATATGCCCATATACCCATATAATATGCCCATAAAAGACTCATCAACAAGCCACTCAGTGCTGCAAAGTGCAAATAAATGGTGAGACAAAAGTGTCACCGGTGTACTGAGAGATTTAGGAGCATACGTTTGTGTAAAATAAATTATTTTGTGTTCCTTCCCAAGTCTGAAACAACATTATAAACGGCCAATAATGCTGGCCAACCAATCAAATTCTGGGCTTTTGGGTACAGGAGACCTGTAAATTACTTACCCATCCTGACAAAGTATAAATGACTGTGTCATAGACAGTTTGTGTTATTGAAATGGGGATTATGACAGATGAAAAAGAATTAGATCTTATTATTTCCCATTCATTATTTCTTTCCTCAGCTGGGATGGTGTCAAGCACCAAACAAGCGTAGCCGCGTTTCTTGTTCATCACGTCATGCCCAGCAGTGGTGGTGCGGCCGGCGCTCGGTGGTATGTGCCCTGCGGGGGCGGGAGTTCAGACCCCAACAGCAGCACGAGTTAAGGCTGCAGCGGAGCCTCCGGGGCTTTGCAGCCGGCAGACTCCCCAGGATCCTCAAGGAGAGAGAGTTCTCCCTGGGGCGACTCAACAAGGTGTTTGCCTCTCAGTGGCTCAACCACAGGCAGGTGGTGTGCGGTACCAAGTGTAACACGGTGAGATGTCATTTTGTTTCTAACCCCACATTCCCCATGGTCTGAGTATGTCAGAAACTGCTGATCCACTGGGATTTCCACGCACAACCACCTCTGGGGTTTACTGGGTTGTGTGGATGGAAATGCCTTGATGATGTGAGAGGTTAAAGGAGAATGGGCTGACTGGTTTGAGACGATTGAAAGGCAACAGTACCAGCTTGTTCCACCCCAGGTTTTTGAACACTTTCCATTGATATTAAACTGCTTATTTTTTAAATAGAATGAGAAGTAAAGGTTTTTAATTATTAATAATTAATGAAAAAAATAATGCATAAACTCAACTGAAAAATTAAGTGAAAAAATACTGTGCTTTTTGGTTTATGTATACAAATAATCTTTTTTTTGTATGGCAACAGCTGAAATGTTGTAAAATTGACTACACTGTCACCCCATAGTAAAGAAACCATTATTGTCACCATGTGTTGGCTGAAGTGATAGTGGGACTAGCAGCTTAGTACACTAAAATAACAACACAGCTGCTGCCCATTTTATGAACTGTATATTGGACAACTCGATATGCAGTCACTTGCAACAGGTGGTAGAAGATGGAGGGGGGGTTGGCTGGGTCATGGCTGCAGCCTCCGCTCGACAATCTCCAAAAAGACATTCACCCATGTGATGAGCTTTAATTGTTAAACCTAATTTTTACACTGAGCTCATTTTCATGATTTTTTTTTTTCTTGCCCTATGTTTCTATTTCATGAATTTTGTCAGCCCGGCCGTTTTAATCAGATCACTGGCTCGGTTCTGATCTTCATTATACCCTTTATGTATCTGATATCGACTGTCCTTTTTTTATTTTTATTTTTTCCTTTTCCTGCAGCTCTTTGTAGCTGATGTCCTAACGGGACAGATAACACGCATCCCCATGATGAAGGACCGGGAGTGTCGTGGGACAGGCTCGGGGGTAGTGGGCGCGGTGGTGACGGGCCGGCATTACCAACCCACAGCAGGCAGTCGTGCCCGGCTGGACCAGCAGGGCTGTGGGATCCACGCTATTGAACTCAACCCCTCTGGAACGCTGCTAGCCACTGGAGGAGACAACCCTAACAGCCTGGCCATCTACCAGCTGCCCACATTGGATCCCGTTTGTGTGGGAGATGTAAGTGGTTTGGGTCTGTTCGGGTGATCTGACATCCAGTCGCGGCCTGCGGTTTCTGATCCTCTCTTTGCCCGCTGTCATTTGTTCTGTTGGAATTCTTGCAAAAATATATTGCACTGTCTGTCCCTTTGCCGAAATGTTTTGAGTCTTGAAAGCATGACATGTCGTTTGGGTTTGCGGTTTTAGACGTGGCAATTTTTGGCTCTTCCATCGAAACTGTTGAAATGCATCGGGTTGCACTTTTTCAGCGGGGGGCGCCCCCGTTATAATGGTGGGGGAAACACTGATGTTGTTTCGTGTGTGGATTCCTTGATTGCATACTCTCAACCAAAGAGCGGTGAAATAGTGTGATTTTATAACCATAACGCATATTTTGTTAGTATCGCATGTTCTCTTCAGCAATTCAGGTGAAAGCACACCGGCTTGTTTTGCTTTTACATAGCTGCCATTTGTTTTCCAGGAAGGTCACAATGACTGGATCTTCTCTATTGCATGGATCAGTGACAACATGGCAGTGTCTGGTGAGTTGGGTACAGGAGTTAATTTGTATGAGTGACTACTGCTGCATGTCCATGTCCTGTGGCTATGTGATCCCTTTTTGTATGGTTTTAATAAAAATATACTGTACTCTAGGAAGTAATCAATACATGCTTTTAATTTTTTAGGGTCCAGAGACGGCTCCATGGGCCTATGGGAGGTGACCGAGGAGGTAATGAGCCAGGCGGAGCGAAGTCAGAGTGACGAGGCGGTACCGTCATACGCCCACATATCCCACCGTGCACTCAAGGATATCCCCAAGGAGTACACTAACCCATACAACTGTAAGGTCCGTGCCCTGGCCTTCAACAACAACCATAAAGTAAGGCTCATCTTCCTGGCAAACCATGTGATTGTGCTGTCAACAAAATCATCACTTGATGTGAAAACGCAGGATATGAGAGCATTTGAGTCCAGTAGTCTTTTCTCGTTGAATTTATTGAGCAACATGTTGTTTATCTACACGAGGTTAAGCAAACTTGTTATGCAAAGAACACAAATAGTACACTTGTACAGGCACAATCCTTGATTGACAGTTGAATACTTGGCATTCACATGGACATCAAATTGTACTACAAGAGAATGTTTTCATCCATTTTGTTGGGATGAAAGTGAGTCCCAGAGAAATCCAGTATAAGTTCCTAATTAAAAGAAACTACTCGATTGTCAGAACGTGTGCTTCCTGCCGCTACACACCTTTACCATCAGTTATTTACATTGTCTTCCCTTTCCAGGAACTGGGGGCTGTGTCTTTGGATGGCTATTTCCATCTCTGGAAAGCTGAGCACAACCTGTGCAAGGTAAATCCCATTGCTGCAGTGTGAGTAATAATGGTGTGATGCGTAGAGAACGGGGCGACCACAGCTTGCTGTGAGTTATGTGAGATCGCTAACCAAAATACTACATATTCTATTCTATTGCGAGGCTCGCGGCCATGGATACGCGCAATCGTGTGTCCAAACCATACAGGAAGAAAGGACAGTTCTTTACATCTCCTTTTCTTAGTTCCCAATAACCATTCTTTGGGGTTTCCCTTTTAGATTCTGTCCACCAAGCTGCCTCACTGCAAAGAGAATGTGTGTCTGGCGTATGGACAGGACTGGTCGGTGTACGCTGTGGGTTCCCAGGCCCATGTTTCCTTTCTGGATCCACGGCAGCCTACACACAGCATCAAGTCTGTCAATTCAAGAGAGCGAGGAAGTGGTGAGTAATCTGTACATTTTGGGAAGGGGGAGTAAGCTACAGCAACGGCAGAAGCGGGGAACCTCCCCAAACTACATCATGACGATGTTTAAATACTGATGTTTACTTTTGACTCGCTGTGCATTCAAGACGTCTGTGTCTGTGCAGGGATCCGTTCAGTGAGTTTCTACGAGCACATCGTGACAGTGGGCACCGGGCAAGGTTCCCTTCTCTTCTACGACATCCGGGCTCAGAGGTTTCTAGAGAACCCTTTGAATTCAGGCGGAGGGTACCGAAAGTTCCCCGGAGACGGCATCCTCAAACTCTCTACCGGGAAAGGCTGGCTGGTACACTTTAACATTTTTTTTTTTATCTGTTTGCCATAAATACCTCTCTTTATTAAGATGAAGTGCTTCCCTGGAGTCAACTTGACACAAATGTTGTAGCATTTTTTGGCACTGATTTAGTTTTCACTACTTTTTCCCTCCTTCTGTCCTCATGCATCCCTTCCGTTTTCCTTTCCTGCTCTCCAACTCTCAGAATCACGATGAGACGTGGAGGAGCTACTTCTCAGACATTCATTCCTTCCCCAACGCGGTGTACACCCACTGCTACGACGATTCTGGCACCAAGCTGTTTGTAGCAGGTGGGCCGCTCTGCTCCGGCCTGCACGGCAACTACGCAGGACTGTGGAGCTAGCCTTTCCGTCTCCTCCATCACTCTTCTCACTACGTCCTCGTCCAGGCATTTTCCCGACCGGTCCCTCCATCCTCTCGCTCCATCCTCCCGCAAGTCCGTTGACAACACTGTCCTCGGTGTTCCTCTTGCTCTTGTTGAGTGGTGAACCGGTTTTGCTCACGTGTGGACTGGGGAGCATGACCTGCCGCGCCCCCCCCCGCAGCAGTGTCCCATCTTTGAATATTGTTGCGTATGTTTGTGTCCAGCATTCCTCCACCCCTTCCTCCCCCAATTATTCCTGTGCTCCTTTCCACCTCAACCAGTACATTTTTCAAAAGCTTCAAAGTCTGCCACGGAGTTTTGAGAAACATCAAGATTAGAAGAATTTCAGAATTAAAAAAAAAAAAATCCAACCCCCAGGGATTAGGCTGTGGTATTTTGCCGGCTCGTTTTTTTGTATGTTCTGATTGTGTTCACCGCTGCTTCCTCAGTGATAAAAGACCGTTTCTTTGTAAAATACCTGTGGAACTTTTCGGTTCCTTTTCGTTCGCTTACTGAAATGAACGGCAATAAAATGAGGGAGAGAGGAAGAAGATTTACTGAAGAGATGATTCCTTTCGAAGGACTAATCTGGAGTGCAGTCGGACATTTAATAGAGAATATTTACTGGTTGGAGCAGCCCGTCCTGCCCCACAACAATCACAAAGAACTTCTCCCTGCAGAAGTAGAACCCAACCAAAATGGAACTTTGTGTTCATATTTGTTCTTACCAAGATGATGCAAAGGAGAAACCGTAAGATTGCAAATGCATTATTGTTCTGCTACGAATTAATCCCAACAAAATGCTTATTTTATTTTTTGTGTGTGATTTGAGAGGCAGACCTGCTGATATTCTAATTTTCTTTACCTTTATTTATTTTCCCCTTTCACCGTCACATAAATTCCATTGGTCAGGGTTGTTTATAGCTGCTTCTTTCGAAGGATATATTGTCTATTTGCCCTTTGCTTCATGATCTGTTCTCTTCGACCTGAATACCTTAAGCCGATTTGACCATTGGTGGTGTTCAAATCCTGATCTGTAACCATTCTTGTGTTACTAGAAAATTATTTTTAATTTCGGTAGTAAAAACATATTATCAAATATAATTGATCATATTTGGGACTCCTCGACAGGAACTAGAGAGGACTTTGATTTTCTTAACCATCCAGTAAAAAGGATGCAAGGACGACTGAGTTTTTTGACTCGAGCCTGGCATTAGATGCTACAGGCATATGCTTTGGTTTTTCGCAGTTGTAAAACTTTTTTTTTGTACCAAGGAGTAAGTGATTTTGCTTAGTTTCCTTGTTTGGTAGAGGCAGGGTAGGCTTGAGTTATGTTCTTGCCTTCCTCTGGTCTTTCTGTGAAAGACTGCCACAGGCGATCATAGTTTTCCTTTTCTATATGGAACTTTTATCTAGTTTTCATGAAAATGACATATTGAAAAGAGAAGCCCCAATTACGACAACAAATTGAATAAATACCAAACACTGTTAAAGTGTATTTTATATATAAATGTGTATCTGTATGTGTAAAATACATTGGGACAATTGCATACATTTTATGTATATGTCTGAGGAAGTGTGTGGATTGATCTGTCTTACTTAGTGATGCTCTGTTTTTTTTTTATACATACCTCGTGAATGTTTTTACAAATGACGAAATCTGAGGATATTGTAAGATATAAACATCTGAAAAAGCAAGCTATTAAATCTCTGAAAAAGAGTAAACAATAAAAAAAGTATATTGATGTAAACGTTTCTTTTTCCGTGATTGACATTACTCAGCTTCAAATATTACCTCCTATTAAATTGGTTCACTGCAAATGTAGATGTTGCCATTAATGCAATCGAACTATATGAGAGCCTTCAAGACGGGAATGTTATATGCTGTAGTTATGTGCGTTTCCAATAAACACAAAAATATTTATGCACATACCATAGACATATTTTAGATAACGTTAGTACAAACCTCCCTGGGAGTGAGTGTGTCCGTGACCCGGAGAGCGGAGCATCCACCACCACGGCAGCGCGCGTCACGTGACCACCCTGTCTTCTGCTGGCTGAGTGAAGCGTGTTAGCAGGTAATAAAAAACACTATTTTACTCACGTTTCTTCCAAGTTCAGTTCATGCGTGTCAACGTGTCTAAACCGCGTACTCACGCGCGGTCGCGCTGAAATAGTTTGCGGCCGGCTTCGTTGTGTCGCTTACCGCGGGCTTGCGAGGGATGTCTTTCGCAATTTTTCTGTTGTCTTGTTTCCCGGCGAGCAATGTCGGGATGGGATTGGGCTCCGCTAAGAGGCCTCTTCTGTGGATTACATTCGGCTACGTTGTTGGCTCGCTGCGCTGACGTTTACGCGCAGTGGAGCCGCTGGTTGACACGGCCGGCGTCGTTAGATAACCGAGAAGAACTATGAATCCTCACGAGAAACGAGGGGCCCAGTTACACGGTCGTTTGCTGTCAACTTGGACCAGGTTTCGGTAGCACCGTGTTAGCTTCGTCCCCGCTGCCCCGTTCGCTCGGTATCGACGGTAGTGTCAGCATTAGCAAGTAGCTAACATGAGTCGATGCTAGCGAGGACAAAGGGACCCCAGTACCAAAAGCGGCAAGTCGGTCCGTGTTAAGGTCTAAAATGACACTACAAGAATGTGATTTATTTTTTTCAAGTTGGACATGCAATCGTCCCATATGTCAGAGTAAAGGAAATAAAGTCACCCAACGGCATTGGGCTGACGTTAGCATTGCATCAAAACAACGCTGCGCTCACTTTATCGGTCAAATCAGCTGTAGCTACGTGTGAGTTCGCTGTAACCAGGTGGAAATACATTCCGACACATACGAGTAACATGTTAACGTTGTGTTGACTTCTTGTCATATTGGGACGGTCGTGTCCCAAAAAAATGTGATGAACGTTTGAGATGTGCGGGGTTAACGTCACCGAATGGCTGTTGTTATTGTTTATGTTTTAGACCGCCCCGACTCGTACGTTAAATGACAGGCTGTGTTTCTAAATTCAGTAAATTGTGCAGAGGCTACTTTAGGGTTCTCGCTTATCAAAAGAAATGTAAGATTTTTACTGAAATTACATTTAAAGCCAGATAGCTTTGTTCAGACCAGCAGCCAATGGCTGCAGTGCATTGTCTAACGTCACTCAGGCACCGTGAACTGGATTGCTATTGTTCTCTGACATAAAACAAATGATTCACTGGTCATATTTGTTATGTTATTATTCTCTCAATGGACACCATTGCTATAAGCTTGAAACACAAATTTCCCTCCAGGGTATTCTTCTACTACAATGCATTGAGGACCTTTTCCATTTATGCCCAAGTGCATAAAGCCCTGTATGTGGTTGTGAGAAGCATAAAAACATGAATGCTCATAACCATGCATTCACCATGCAATCTATCCCGTTAGGTTCGCCACATCGTCTTATACAGAGAAGAATGCAGTATTTTAACGCAGTAGTTCAGTTTGCAGCATGTTTGTGTGTGCGTACACTATCTTGCATATAGAGGGGATGTGGGGTCAGGGTGTGTGGTGTTCGGATCACACTCTGAGGTCGTCGCTTGACCTAGATTTTATGCAAAGCTGTTTGTCACCGGACCAACTGAGTGTCTTACAGCCTTCATTGGAGCAGTATTTATGATTGTGCAATAAGGCCATAGCTATGCTCACAACACATATCTCTTGTATTAAACTATTCTTTCCTATATGTACTCAAATAAGCTAAAGTATTGTTGCTTTGTGTTCTTGATATGATGTGCGGGTTTAAGAGCTGTTGGTCAATCTCACTCATCCTTCCATGTTTCTCTTTTTTCCTTTGCAGATTTTTCTATTTTGTACATACAGAGTTTTGTATATACTGTATATGATGAGCTCGCTGGGCGGCGACAAGGCCCGGGGCCCTCGGGAAAAAGCGCTGCCTGCTGCCACTCAAACATCACAACACCAGAAACAGATACAGGTAAGCCACCGCAACCCCATGAATAATTTTAGGGAAAGAAAAATCACACGCAAGAGCATGCGGAGACAGCACCCCAGTGTGCACACCGACTATCTTTGAGAAGAAAACCACAGACTTCCCTGGTCAATAATAACGAGGATTTTATTTTTTTATTATTGCTGCCAAATAGTGCTTTTGGTTTTAATAGTGACAATAGAAGGCTCTTGCTTTTTATCCATATAGTTAAATGTATACCTCTGACAGAGTCTATTAAAAATGAAAATCATGATATTTGTAATGGACTTTAGTGGCATATTTTTTTTGCTCATGTGACCCAAATTTCACCCATTGTTCTTCATGATGCAGGCTACTGCCGAGCAGATCCGGCTTGCCCAGGTGATCTATGACAAGAATGATGCTGACTTTGAGGACAAAGTTAACCAGGTAAGGAGCACGTTGACGTTTACTAGGCAGAGTCAGTGCAAGCTGTCAATCTATCATGACTCCAGTCCTCTATTTTTGACAAAAATGCACATTTGATGCCATGAGTGACACGTGCTCTTGCTGTGGCTTGTACTGCTATGTTCTGAAAAAACTGTATTGGTACCCCTTTGTCATTGGTACACCTTTGTTGACTACTAGACCAGGAAACCGGAACACGGATTACTAAAATATGTTAGACATCCAATGCTAATATGACGTGTGTGTGCTGCTGCTCTCCAGCTGATGGAAGTGACGGGGAAGAACCAGGATGAGTGCATGGTAGCACTCCACGACTCCAACGAGGATGTTAGCAGAGCCATCAACTTCCTCCTGGAGAGCACCTCGGACATGGTAAATGGCATCATGTCTTACTTCATCACATCCCCTGCTGGCCTACTGTATTGTGAAATATGTATTTTTAAGAAGGGAAGGCAGGATGTTCGACAGCCCTGTATAACTGTTTTTACCTCAAATTGTGACCTTTATTATGGAAATTGTATGAGCACACAATTGTTATGGGTAAAGAACAAACGTTGAGAGTAAGTCTGAAAAATGTATGAATTCGCAAATTGTCCTATTGTACATGTGCTGCCACAAATACAATATAACTTCTTGTATATGTCACTGTAAGAAAAGCACAGGGGAAGTAACCGTAACAATAAAGTTATGGCTGTTGGTTTCATGATCCTGACGTTGTGCCTGCTCACTGCTGTAGCCTCAGCCTCGTGATACAGGACTTCGCAAAGACTGTAGTTGCTGTGCTGCTCACAGTAGATTATCGTTTCGTCTCGGACTGTTGGCAGGCTTACTTGAGAGTGCACCAAGGCCACAGCACATATCAGACCGGAGCCCTTTTCTTTGTATGTGGATGACAAGAGTTATTCAGGTTAAGAATGTTGACAATTTGTCACGGGTTTAAAATTCATCTTGAGGTGTCGTCAGAAGACACAAGTGGTTCAGCCCAAACTTGCAAAAGTGCAGCCTTATTCACAGTTACCTGGATCACGGCCAAGACGTCTTGTAGTTTTGCGTCAAAAAGGCTTGTAAAGCGAAAGGCCAGCCATTGCGCAAACCTGTTAAGACAGCTGTATTGATTTAGAATTCTATCTGTTCTGTTGGGCACTAAAGACCGATGAAACACAGGTGAAGAACACGGCCTGTTTATGTTCAACACAGCGACAAGAGAAGGACAAATTACAGAAAGATAGTTTATACCTCTCTGCTCCTTTTCCTTAGTCTACATTACATTACATTACAGGTCATTTAGCAGACGCTTTTATCCAAAGCGACTTTCATCACACTTTAAACCCATGGCTTTTTCACATTTTTGCCCAGGGAGCAATTAGGGGTTAGGTGTCTTGCTCAGGGACACTTCGACTTGAAACATGGGGGAGCCAGGACTCGAACCACCAACCTTGCGGTTCCCAAAACAAAGCATTTCGACACACCACTACTAGATTTCAAGTTTTGTGACCTGCTCAGAAGATACAGAAACACTAGATTGAACTTGTATTTTCATCAGCACAGAGAGAACAGTCAGTTTTATCTTGCACAATGAGAGTTGAGATGTTTGCTTTCTAACATCAGGGACTTTCAGCATGACCCCCCCCCACCCTCCCTCCCTGCTGAGTGGAAGGTCAAAGCAACCACTAAATGTCTGGCAAACACTCGCGTGTTGTTCTGCCGGTGTGTTGCCTGTCCTAGTGAGTGTCGCAACATTTCTGAAGAATGCCAGCTGGCACAGATGGCGAGCAGAGGCTGTAGAAAAGCCAGTCGGACAGCTTCCCGGTTGTTTTGCGGTCTTGGAAATTCCAACAAAGCGAAAAGCATTTGTTCTCCTTTTTTCCGTGGAAATCTGTTGATTGTAAATAATGCAACCTGCTGATTACATTTGGTCCTACTATACTGCTCACACACCTTTTTACTGTAATAAAGGGAATGTTTGCAGAGTTTATATTTTGCTGTAACAGTAGGGGGAGTCCATTAACTGCCCTTTGGCACAGATTTTAAATGTTCTTTTATTTAAAACTGCCTACCTTATGCTTACTGAGGCACATTGTCTATGTTGATGCCGCGTTGGCTATGGTTTTAAAAGTGTACACATGAGCTACATATTGTGTGGTCTAATTTTGATGTACTGTTTTAAGTATTTAATTTTCCCTCCGTTTAGACCTCATGGGAGACGGTAGGGAAGAAGAAGCCCCTGGTGAAGGAGGGTCCATCAGACAGCAAGGAGAACAAGGAAAACAGGGAGAAGAAAGGAGAGAGGGAGGCCAGCAAGGGCCGCGCAGCGGCCAACCGCAAGGGCAGGGGCGCCAGTCGCAGTAGGCCGGGTAAACCTCGCGCTCATCTAGATCTGGTTCAGAGTCTGCCGCCGCTTCTGCCGCGCCATGTTTCAATTACACAACACTAATGTGTGTTTGCACGCGTCCAGCGCGCCCAGAGGAGAACGGAGTGGAGGTGACGCCAGTAGACCGTGGCTCAGATCGAGGTCGCAGGGCCAGAGGTGGGAGCCGAGGTGAGCACGTGCACAATACAAAAAGAAAAACAACCCGTCAGCACGCCGGACCGTGGAATGGATGTCGTTGACCTTTTTAGTGTGAATGTCACACAGGTTCTGGAGGTCGAGGCAGAGGCAGAGGACCACCAGGGAGCCGGTTCTCAGCCCAGGGCATGGGGTATGGTGGCAACGCACATGCACACTCTCAGGGGGTTTCACATTCCTTTAGGTATAAATGAATTGGTTTCAAAGTGTTTGTTTGTTTGTTTGTTTTTTTTAGGCCAGGAAATTTCTGTTCTCTTTGGATTTGGATTCTGAAGTGCGACATTTTTCTTGCAACTGACTTTTCGGAGTTTCCATACCCTTCTGTTTGTTCTTTAAATATTGGGGGTCTTA